CAGCCTATACGTAGCTTGAACTGTGATGGGCCACATATGTCTTAGCTATTGCCGAATCCCCAAGACGCCTTTGTTGAATGTTTCTCACACCCTTGCATCCACCGTCTGCACTTCCACATTCATCTCCCGGAAATTTGGAAACAGGAATTGTTAACCTTCCCGGTCTTTGCTGTAGTCATGCCTCACGGGTGCTCTGGTACTGGCGAGTCTGCCCGTCTCCACGGCTTTCCGCTTTTTGATAAAAACCTCAATGCCTTCGAGAGTGCCGATTCTTTCGCTCTGGGCCCGCGCTCCCGCAGGCTCTTACCCTTGCTTTTCCATTTGGTTCTCTCCAGGGACCCTTTATCGTAAATTCCGGCGCCGCGGGCATCTTCAAGCCAATCGGGGGAGGCGCCGAGTACATAGACGAGGCGGTCCCGGCGAATGAGAGCCCATTCCTCGTGCTCTGGAACTCGGTTGGAACAAAAAAGGTTTCAATCGTTGTTTCAACTCGTTAGCGTAGGCCGAACCTGGCAGCCCGCCCAGAGTTTTTACCCTTATCCGGTCCTGGAAGGAAACCGACTTTCCATCCGTCCTTCCCCCAGCAGGCAAGAAACACTGGGAAGGAAGACGATCAGGGATCTCCAACGGTGTTGGCACTATTGCGAATAAACTCCGAATTCCAAGATGGGACCTACCTAGAGAAAAAAGGGAAAAACTCAACCACTCCACTGGGTGAAAGAGGAGAGAGGAAAGGACCAATTTGAAGGCCCCGGGGCCGGGAATGCGGTAGCGGTCTCTCAAGCCCCACGCTCGATTCTGCGAGATTCATTTCGATCCGAACCTTCGCATCTACTCTCTCTTTTAGAGGATGAAACCACCGCCTTCGCTATCGCCCCTCGCTTACTTGCTCAACCTCGCCTAATCGCATTGATTACTTTGCCGGCCCTTTCCAGATTCCAATTTCCTTATTTGAGATCGACCATTAGACCAGTTCGGTCAGATCAGTTCCATAATCTAGCTTGCCCGGGAAACCGGGACGGGCTTTCCGTTCTTTTGTTTGGTTACGGGACCGGGCGCGTTACTGAATGATACGTTGTTCGGGAAACAAAACATATAAGACTTAAGTGTTTCGCTATCGCTCTTTCGCCTTAAAGCCGTAACTTCGCTCTTCGATCCTTTCGCTATCGCAAGAATTATAGCTATCCGGAAGAGCGCCTCAGCTGGCTTCGCGTATTACGGAAAGGCCGTATTGCCCGAAGGGGGCATTGCTGCCCAAGAGCTTAGGTGAGTGGTAAGCGGTTAGGAGGCGTGCCCGAAATGGGCAGCGGCAGCAGTGTGGTTCCAGGTGCTCGTCGCGTCATTGAGATCTGTTTTGACGGGGGGCGGGGACTTCGATCTGCCTGTAAGTCGGGTTGAAGAGAAGGGGTGGTAGGCTATGGGGCTCGAACCTACCAAATATCACCGTTATTGAGCGGTTACGTTTCAACCAATTAAAACTAATTAAGCCCCTACGGATCTCTACATGCAATTCGCCTTTCACTTCTGGGAAGATGCGGACGGAATAAGGGGTTCCTTTTGCTCTATCTGCTTTTCTTCCTCTTCCCAGGAATGGAATGAAGAATTAGATAAAATCAAATGATTATCTTATGTTTATAGATAGATATATGAATATTCTATATCTTATCTATTTTATAATAAGATAATGATAAATTACAATAAAACGGAACGCGACTCTAAAACGGGACGGATGGCTCTCTATTTGCTTGCAATTCGCCGGCTGTCGCCTTTTCGGGTAAAGGTTTTCGCTCTATTTGATCAAAAGGCGCTACTAAACTACATGTAGTACAGCTTAGTTTTGTTGTAGTACAAACAAGGGAATGCCGTTCGCCCCGCAAAGCCCTACTGAAGTACCAAAAGGCGGCGCTTCTAGTGACTTTTCGTTAACCCAAACTCTTTAGTAGTGAGTTTGTAGAGTGGTAGGGGCGACCATGGTACTTCTAGGGGCGACCTTCAAGTATTTTCAATAGTAGTTTCACAAACAAGCCCCACTAATTAGGGCTTTTTTTGAGTTTTGTTTCACTTTGGTGCTAGTTGACCCTATTTTGACTCAACTCAAGCGTTTAGACCAAAAATAGACTTCCATTGTTCATAGGAACAGGTTCTCTTAAGAGCCGTAGTGGGATGTAGGCTTCAGTGTTTTCGGTACTTTTTCACCACTAGTTATTATTTTCATTTAGTAGTAACCGGTCTGTCACCTAGTGTAGGCTTGCTTCCGCCTCAACGTTGTAGCCTAACGACTGAACTCGTGACTACACAAGCCAGGCTGATCACTGATAGTGTATAGCTTGTCAACTGAAGTTAGCCGTAGGCCAACTGATAGCTGATAGAGCAGATAGATAGAAGCGCGGGGCCTCGTTTTGAGTCGAAGTCGTCGCGAGCAGAGCCGTTTGTTTCTACTGTCGTACTACGACAGTACCAAAGGCGAAAACTGGGCATTAGGTTACAGCTGTTAAGAATACTCTCGATGTTGACTTTGTATATACTAATGGCCTTGGTAAACCTACCGGTTACTTTTGATATTCAATAGTTAGCGACGAAAGGGGGAAATTAGCTCAGGTCGGTTTAGAGTTGCTGGTCTGTCACGCCAGAAGTCGCGGGTTATTCGAAACCCCCGCCCGATCTTGCCAAACCAAAAGGTGGAAGAAAGTCAGGAGTTTTGGAATAGACGGAAGTTCTAACAATCAAGTGGGGGTTCCCTTGATGTTCTTCATCGCGGGCCGGTCCCCGAAATGATTATCCTTCTCCTCGGTATGATCGCGGGAATAGCGAGAGGTTTATGCAGTCCCCCCCCCATACCATAACTCATCCAACACTTCCACGTTCCCGAAACGGGATCCCGTTCAACTTTTCGTTGCCTATTTCTGACTTCCCCTCTAAGGTTTTACCTGGCCTCTCAAATAGACGATGATCTCTCTATAACAGTTTTGTCATGTCAATGCCGATTGAACCAATCTTACCAGCTGCCAAATTTTCGGATGATGCGTTGCTCCTATCGAAGGCATGGGCCGGCCCAGCCGCGGAACCTGTCTCTTGGATTGGCCACCCCCCCCCCATCCTCCTCGGGATCAGGACCGGCCGGAAGGAAAGGAGAGAGGACCGAATCAGGCTGCTTCGGCCGAACCCACCCTTACCCTTACTTCATTCAGAATAGGAGAACCAGGTGCCTACTTCCTCGTCCGTGAGCGAAATAATCATGGTAGAGGCAACCGATGTGAATCTGGGTCAATTCACGAATCGATTTCGGGGCGGAATGTCAAATCACCTTGATACTGAACCCGGATCGAGCCTTCTTGCTAAAATATGAAGAGCTGGTAGGTCGGAGCGTTGTTCTATAGGTCATTTTCTGAAGGCTCCGTTTATAGTTTTTTCATTTTTGGGGTGCGTAACGTTGTGGTTGTTCCCTCTCCTTTCAGTCGAGATTCTTCAAACCTCCTGGCCGAGAAAAATGAAGTCCAGAGGCATCTTCCATTAACATATCGATTTGGCGTTTTTTCCGCACCATATTTTGATCATGCCCTCTTCTTTCGATCCGAATTCCCAGCAAATCCTTGACTCCTCGAATACAATTGGATATTTCACACCTGGCGAATCTTTTACCTCTTTCCTTCCTAGAATGTTCCCTGCAAAATTATGACCTTCGCTGGAATGTGAGAAATATATCATGTCGGATTGCTCAACCCGTACTTTGGTATTTACGTGGAGCTGAATTAGGTTTTTCCCGGGTTGTTCTTCGTTGAATAACACGCGGGCCGTACTCCCTTGCTTTCTGGGGACATTTGATTCCGGAAGCTCCGAGTACCGGTCCGTGGCGCCAAGTTTTTCTTCTCTACCATGACGAATTCAATTGATTTAATTGTAGGCCATTCGCTCTTTCCTTGTTGCCTTCCCCCGATTTCCCTATCACTAGTGATTACTCCCGATCCGAAGCACCCCTTTTCCATTCATAGAGAGATCCAATCGTCAAAATATCAATAATAAAGGCCATCATTGGACAAAATCCAAACAGATCAATTCTTGTTGAGAGTACTGCCCAAGGAAAGAAAAAAGGTTACTTCCGGGATCAAGGATAATAAATAAAATTGAAACAAAGATAAATCGTAATATCGAAACGAACTTCTGGCATCAACCGGCAAGGATTCGAAACCACATTCGTAGGCCGACAATTTTTCTGGATAGGTTCGAACTAATTTGGAAAGCAAATGCGAAAAGGAAGACCCGAGTGGGATCAAAGAAACTAGCGGACTTGATCCACTAAATAGATAGAAATAGGTTGCAAATTCTGGACATCATCCACAGCCCAACTTGGTTCTCCTTCGCCTCCTTGCTCGCGGAGCGCCCATACCGGAAAAAAATCTAAGAAGTAAAAAAAAAAGCCCATCCCGCAACCTTTTTAGGAAAGAGGGGGCCTTTGGCTCGGGCGACCACGATATTGATAAGAAGCTTCTTTTTTCATTCTTGGACAATTAAATACGAGAAGATTTGGCGTTCAATATTTCGCGTTTCACCTGATAGTTTATGGAGCTATTCATCCTTCCGCCTGGAAAATGATTTCATTGCTTCTTCCAATTTATCAGGAATCAAGCGCTGCGCATGCTTGTTGCTGATTGGACCTGGGAACCCTTAGGTTTTCGAGCATTGGATTTCTCACCAATGTTTTGCGTTGAAAAAAAAAAAAAAAAGAAGTACAACACAAGACAAAAGAAAATTAAAAGACGAGAAGAATAATGATCTATAAGAAGAAGAAGGCATTGCGTTGCGATGCGACGGTGGATCCCAGTCTCACTGTTGTGCTTTGTCTTTTATACGATACAAAGCGATACTTGCCAATTCTGAGAGCCCAAAAGTCCAAGCCAACTTACGACATGAATTGCCAATTCTGAAGGCCCAAAATACCGGGCCGACTTATGAAGGTAGGCCCAAAGAGACGATGGAAATCCAACAGGGAAGAAATTAGTAAACGATTGAAAGAAAAATGCTCGAGTCTAGACAGACAGGAGACAGTGGAGGAGGAAGAAACCGGAGTAGAGGGAGTTTGTCTGATTCAGCTATTGATACTAATTTTGAAATACATAATTATTCAAATAATTGATAAAATGGAGGAGGATGATATGGATTCGCTCTTTGAGGGGATGGTGTTGTTTACGCCTTCCCAATTGGTTGATGATCAAAAGAAGCAGCAGCAGCAAGAAAAGGATGATGATCATCATCATAATAACGATTCAGCAGAAATCTCGCTCCCTCCTCGTGAATCTGAATCTCGACTTGATGCTGCTACTGCCACCATTAAAACTGACCCGCCATCTCAACATAAGGTCCAGGAGCCTCTCGACGAGAACCTATTCTCTGACCTCACCCTCCAAACCCTAACTACAGAATCAGATTCCCTTCCTACTGCTGCTACTCTTCAAACAGCAACCAACTCTCGTCAGATATCCAGAAAGAAGAAGAAAGCTGCAAGCCTTAGAATCGGCTATGGTAGAGGAGGATCCTCTATCGATGATCTGCCTGCTAGTCCCTCTGAAGATCAAAATCTAAGTCTTAAAGATGATGACTCTACTGCATCCAATGATATTATTCATGATGATGATAAATCCGATCTCGATGCTTCCCAATCCCAATCCCCCACTTCTACGTCTTTAGTCGCAGAATTGGATGTCAGTGCGTGTTCGATCCCAGATTCACAATCACTATCAAAAGATGATGAATATGAGCTCATCAAGGCCCAAATTTCTGAGAAGCTCCACCGCTCTCGTCAGTTAGCTGCCTCTGTTTCTTCAGCTCGCAAGGATGCCATCAGGAGGAGAAGAGCAGCTACTGAGGATCTCAATTCAGCCTCTGCCAAGCACAGGGACCTCGAATTACAGTTGGAGGCTGCCTGTGAAGCCGAAGATTTCGAGGCCGCCGAAAGGATTAGCGACAGGCTTGCCACCACTGACAAGGAGAGGCAAGCTCTTCTCTCTGCTCTTAGAGACGCTGAAGCCCATTGTGATGCCATCGATTCTAAGATGCACGATGTTCTGAACTCTCAGATTCTTGCTGAGCAAGAATGCGCAACTGTTCTCTCTAATTTTGCCAAGGTTAGCATACCAGCTACATATCACAATTTGCATTTTCAATGCCTTTAACCTATTAGCCTAATTAATTTCTCTCTAATCTTAATCTAATCTCTGTAGAATTAGGATAGAACTCAAAAATTCTTTTCTTTTTTTTTTTTCTATTGAACAAAAAATAAATAAATGATAGATTAGCAAGATGATATTTCATGTTGCACGAAGTTCCTTTGAGGAATCCCGCTTATTTTATTCTGCAAATGTCTCTCCCAGGATGCAGAAAAAAACGCAGATTTAGTCTCGGAGAAAGCACAAGTACTCTCTTCAAAAGAAATGGATGAATGGTTCTTGTCGAGTGAGGCCTTGGAGGCCAAGAAGATGGAGTTGGATGTCGAATTACACTTCATAAATGAAGCACGTCTTGCTGTGAATGATTCCATAGAGCATTCAATTGAGGACTATAGGAAGGAGCAGGAACGTCTACATGAGAAAAAAGATGTTCTAACCGATGAACTCCAGAAATTACTCGCCTTGGTCAAAGACAAGGAAAAGGAGATAGCAGAAAATGATTCTAAAATCAAAACAATTGAAGAAAGGATTGCTGATGTGGTCTCTGGTTTTCAGGACAGTCAATCCAGCATTGAGGCCAAATATGATAACTTGCAATTGGAACTTTCTCAGATTCATTTTCATAGTGAAGCTTTATCAATAAAAAAGAAGGAAATTGATAAGTTACTTGCTGAAGGTGAAGACCTTGGAGCCAATCTAAAGGAACTAGCCAGAGTCTCTGAAGATGAAGCAAAGGCATACCAGGAAGTTGTTGAGCTCAGGAAAAGGCTGATGTTGTCCATTTTGAATTCCAGGGAAGACAAAGTAAGGCTTGCAAAGGCCGAAGAGAAACTTATTGAGGATGTCCGAATGCTCCAACAGGATGTTTCTTCTTTAAGAGCCTCCTTACAGGTTTGATTTTGCTTCCAAGATTTCATTGTGGCTTTCACTTATTTATTTATTTTAAGAATAACCTGCAAATTAAGGGTTTTTACCCTTAAGACTCTTCAATTTTAATTGTTATATTATATTTCTAAGTTTGGAATGTGGCTATCACTAAAACATGAATGTCAGATTTGGCTTTTTGAATAACCTCTAGCAACATAAAGGAACCATGCATTAGGGAGTAGATCATGGCTAAACTATAATAGTATTCCAGAAGGATTGAATAATTCATTAAATGGGTTGGCATGGTTGATTGAGTGCATAATACTTCAATTAAATACCAAGTTTGATTGCTTCTACAATGGCCAGTTCTCCCTCTAGGAAATTCAAAGACTTTTGTGTCAAAGCAAGTAGTGGAGAGGATGAATAGCGTCAGACTTCCCTTCTGCACCTGGCCTAGTTCATAGGCCCTCGATGGTTCATTTCTTTCTTCAGTCACAAGGTGAATGAAAGCCTTCTTTTCTTAGAGTAGCTTCAGAAGTAACGGCTTCAAGCAAGGATTGACTTGACTTTTAGGCTGACTGGAGCATTTCTTACAGCAGTGTTGAAGATACTGGAACTAGACAATAAAGGTGTACCCAAGGGGGTAGGGCAGTCTGTCATATGCACCTTTCTCTTGCTCTTTTGCAAGGAGGCTGTTTCCATGACTTGAACTCTTGACCTTCTGGTTACAAACAGCAACAGCTTACCATTGCACCAAGTTTTGGCAAACTGAAAAGTGTTTCGATTCTTAATTTATGTTGTAACATGTACACAAGCAATAGAGATTTCTGCCTACTAATTATTATATTTTCACCATGTAGTTTGTTATTCATATGTGTTTGCATTCTCTTGGTCTTTGAATTAAATTTTTACTGCTGAAAAATTAAATCAAGTAACTTCCATCTTTGCTATTAATGCCATTCAATTGCTAAAATAATATCACATGATTTTTTCTAGGAACTGTCTTCAACAAAATCAAACATCCAACAATCTATAGCATCCTTCAAGCAGAGGATCTTTTTCATTGATAAAAGAGTCCCAGAGCTGGAATCTGAAAAGAAAGTTGCTGCTTCAACAAGAAATTTCAAGGAAGCTGCACGAATAGCTGCTGAGGCAAAGTCATTGTATGTTGAGAAGGATGGTGTGCAGATTGACTTGGAAAGAACTACAGCAGAGCTGGAGAAGTTAGAGGAAGATATGAAAAATACTGTTAGTAGATTGCTGGATACTGAACACCTGATTTCATCCAAGGAAAAAGAGGTTGCAATGGCTAGATTTCAGAGGTTACTTTTAATTGCTGGCGCTGCTACAGCAGAAAGGGTTTCGGCTTTAGAGCTCGGTGACTCTGAAGAAGCCAACCTCCTACTTGCAGAGGCAGAAGCAGCAAATGCTGAAGCAAAAAAACTTCAACCTATATATAATTTCAACAAGGAACAGTTCCCAAATTTACCAAAGCATTTCATCTCCATGGAACTTGTATTTAATCTTGGCAGGAAGCAGTTAGCAGATTTAGCGGCATCTGTTGGTATTTCTGCACCTCAATGATTACAAACTAGAGTGGAGTGGATTTAGAGAGGATCAGTGAAGAGATATTGGAGGTGCAACATTATTCCTAATTTGTAGTGAGTATCAGAAGCTATGAATGATTTTGAAATTGCTTTTGATGGGACAGCTAGTTACGACCATCATCTCCATGGCATTGTATGGTTCTTCAAAGGTGCAGATGCCTTCAAAGATGACATTTGATACATCTTACAGTTTTGCTGATCACAGGTTCGGCAACAAGACTTCCCTATGCTTATGTTCTTTTGTGCAATATTGATTTACCAGGACAAAATCCTGTCTAGGAGAGGGGGTGAATATGTTCTTGCTTTTTGCAATTTTTTTCAGTTCTCTTCTTTGACATGATATTTTTGCATACCATTTTTTTTCTTTCCAAAATTTAAACCTGCTTGGTTATGCATGAGAAAAATAAAATGTGTCTTCTTCTTCATTTCTATTTTGCACAATTGAAGCAGTGATTCATTTGTTTTTTAGGATTTTGTAATTATAATTTTATTTTTTGTGGATTACATGGAGCCTCTTTGTCACCTGGAACATGCATAGAGTTTAGGAGAAGTGTACTTACGGGCTTGAATGATACGTGGTGCTGCTTTATTATGAATTCTACCTTCCAGCCAAAAATTGATGTAATTAGCTCCAATATGTTGAATGAGTACAAATATGATAAAGCTGAGCATTTTTTTTTTTTTTAGGAAAAACAAATTATACTTTCAGGGTGTTAAATGGTTCTTTCATCCATGTTTTTTATCTTATCATTACCTTTTGGTAAAGAATAAGAATTCAGTTATATCATTTATTCTTACATTATTGTTTCTGATTTATAATAGTTTTTGGTCCCTATTGTTAATCACAGGGGGAAGTTACATTTTCGTCTGATAATAAATGATAATGTCAGCCTAAACACTTGTACCTGTTTCAAAGGCATACTCTCCACATAACCCATTCATCAACGTGAAAGCAACACCAGATCAGAACCTCATGAGGCGAAAATGCTTCTTCAGTTTAGAGCTGGTCATGAACAGAATTTTTGGGTGGTTGGTTAAGGTATTGCCAAAACCATTAGCTAGCCATTGTCTTCTCATCATATCCGACAAGATAACTCGAAGCGAAAGTTTACCAAATCCTGAGCAGACAAAAATGACAAGGAAAAAAAAAAATTCTCGTCACCATTTCGCTTGAAACCATATTTTATTTTTTTTGAACCAAATGGAATCATTGAATTCAAAGAATTGAATCGAAATTGGTGATTCAAGAACTGATTCAGGTTTGAGAGAAGGAGAAAAATGCACTAGAATCGGCCTAGACTCAGCAGTTCAAACTGGTCTTCCGACTGGCCTAAAAATTTTTTAAAAATAATTTAACTTGATTTTCTGTTAATTATTATTTATCTGATTTCTAATTTTTATCAAATACGGAAAGTCACTTTTGTAATTACTCAAAAAAAATGAAAAAAAAAATAATTAGTTATTCAACTTCTAATTCTTAATTAAATATGAAAAGGAGAGTTAAATTGAATAAATAATTAAATACGAAAAAGTTAATTATGATCAATTATTCGGGCAATTGGGATTTTTTTTTTTATATATTTGAAAAAGAGAGGCACTTGGGATGCTTATTGCTTATTGACGGTAGGCCAGTTCGCATATTCTCCTTTCGGTAGCAATTTTTTTTCTTTAATGTTTTTTTGAAGTTTGAATTTGTTAGTTTTACAATCCATATCGCTCACAAGTAATGTAAACAGTACATATAATATTCAGTATCATTACATATCAGAATCCAGTATTGAGTTACTCTTCTTTTTCACTTGTACCCAGGTGTTTAAAAAAATCGTTGCAACAGATACACAGAGCCATGTGATTTTGCCTTCGGAGCTTACAGGTGGCGGGATAAGGCCGCTTTTATTATGAATCAAATGGAGAGAGAGAGAGAGAGAGAGAGAGAGAGAAGAACATTTTACGGTATATAAGCAGTTCACCCTACCTCCCTCTTCCCTGTATAAATTAAACTAATAAAGAATCTTGGGAGCTTCTTTCGTAGCTTGTACCCCAATTCTATCAACATAATGAAAACAGTTCCATGCAGCCAGCTGAGGGAGGAGTTTGGGAAAAGATATCGGCGGCACGCTTAAACACACAATTCACAATTCAATCTACAGTTGCAAACTCACCACACCAGACATCTGTCTTTTTATCCTTTTTTGCATCATCAAAACAACAGATATTTTGATCAAACTCACCGGCGAGCAGCAAATACCGATGTTAAGTGCAGTCCAAACCACACTCCTCTAAAAGTGGGCCATCCGACTTGGCTAGGAATGGATCTATGCGAACCCACAAAAGGGAGAAGATGGAAGCAAGCAAAATAGACCAGACGATTATGATTGTGGGAGTTCTGTTCTGTCGACCCAGCAGACCCTTTAGGAAAGGATAGAGGTGAACTATCACCCAGAATGCAAAGAAAAGCTTACCAAACAGAGGCCCCCACGACTCGTACCCATTATTTATTGCATTTGAGACGCCAGCAACTACTCCTATCAGATTTATTATCAGCAACGTTGTTGGTGGAATGAGTAAGGTTGTCCATTTAAATGCATATAGCTCCGAAAACTCTTCATCGTCTCCTGCTTTTGATGTCACAGTGAAGTTTGTATCAACACCAGCCAGAACCTTTAACAGACCCTGGAAAACAGCAAATAGATGTGCTGACACTCCTCCAATCACCCAAAATTGCTCGTTTCTCCACCAATCATCAAGCCCAACTCCACTCCATCTCATTTCCAGTATACTTGTTGCAAAAATACAAATGAAAAGTGACAAAAACCACAAGCTTGCGGCGTTGCTTAGCTGCAATGTGGGAACCAAATAAATTTAAATTCGCATATACTATTCACATTTTTAAGCGGCATTTAAAATAAAATCAGGGCATGCTCTCAATGATCAATCATATATATTATTACAAACAGCATACCTCTGGAGTGATAAATTTCCCGGTTAGCAAACACACGGCAGGAAGAGTACAATATGCCAGCAGGGGAAGAGATGTCAGTGGATACACTGTAGCATTTATGTAAGACAAACGCTCTAGCCACTTCAAACCTCCTCCATAACCATACCACAGAGGACAGTGCCTGCTTAAAAATATTTCAACAGATCCAAGAGCCCACCGAAGGACCTGATGTAGACGATCGGAAAGATTGATGGGCGCAGAACCTTTAAATGCAGGCCTGTCAGGAATGCAGTATATTGATCGCCATCCATGGCAGTGCATTTTAAAACCTGTCAATATATCCTCGGTAACCGAACCATAAATCCATCCAACCTGGAGAATTGAAAGAAATTTTATGTTGGACCAAATCCAATAGTCGTACTTATTATACAAATTAAAATATCCAATAAAAATTTTAAACATTCCTTTTACCTCTTTACCCCATTCTGTTTTATCTTCATAGCCACAGCTAATAACATGGATGGCTTCTTTAAGCAAAGATGCAGGGCTCGCACCTTTCAGTGAACCACCATCCTCTAGAAGAGTTGATGCAACAAAGACCGGAGATTGTCCGAACTTCTTTTCCAATTTATTTTCAGGCATTACAGCAGCATTTTCATCTTCAATTCCTGCATCCAACTCATTCAAGTTAGCATTAAAAAAAGAAAAAAAATCAAGCCAGTTGGACCTGTTGAAAGGAAAAGCTTCATGTGAAAGAAGCAATATAAAACCACCTACAAAATTAAGGAAGCACCTAGACAATTTGGCATGAATATCAATCAAATCTGGAGTCATAGAGAAGTGGTTCCCATATGCATAATTATTCTAAAGTATCCCACCAAATAAATGATTAACTGTTTCCACGAGCACACATCTGAATTTAGCATTATTTTACACTCTGGAATCTACCTTGCAATTAAATATCAGGCAACCTTAATGAGATCAGCAAAGAAAATAGTTCCATCTAACAGTCAAGCTTCGGTTGCACAAGATATCCATGCAAGTATTTTCATTAATTACTGCCAAGTATGAGCCTGTCTGGAATTGCCATTAATTTTTTTCTTTTTTCTTTTTCTTTTCTTTTTTCTTTTCGTGAATAAGCATTCCATTAAAGTAGTTGCTGAGAAAAGCATCCTCTAAAATGTTGTAATTAAAAGCAACTAGAAATTGCTTTTAAGGTGTATTGCTAATGTCTTATCAAAACATCTCAAGTTTTAATTGCATTTTGTAAAAAGTAACTTTTCAAAACGTAGTTTGAAATGCAATGCCAAATTGAAACTAACACTAATGGTAATTGTGGATAACACAAGTGTGGACAGGAAATTGGTGAGTAAATGATCATTTGCAATCAGTAGTGTTACCTTCAATGCCCTCTTCAGTACCCTTCAAAACACTCACAGGTTTAGATGTCCTTGAATTCTTCTTCTGCATCTCAGATTTAGGTTTGTCAGTCTTCTTCTTCTTTATCCTTCCAGAACAACAACATCCACAGCACCACTTAGGCAAGCAATTGCACGTCCTACTCGGTAGTTTCTTTGCTTTTGGAGCATCATATCCATAGAACGCCTGCCTTCTGAACACACAACCAGTGCCAACATATATAGGTCCTTGAATGCCATCCAAACCTTTCATGTTTATCTGTATTCAAATGATGGATTAAATTGTGTACAGAAAATGAACAACTTCGAGCATAAAGGTCTAATAAGCAAGTTTAGATAAACTAATGCTTACATCAAAGAATACAATATTCCGATTGGCATATCGATCATGCCTGTCAATGCCATCAAACCTTTGTGGGAACTGGACATAGCACACTCTCTTTCCAAGCAAAGGATCCATCATGAAACACATTGCTTCTCTAATAGCCTTACTATTATTGAAGTAGTGATCACAATCCAAATTCAACAGATAAGGAGCATTTGTGAGCACAGCAGAGACCCTGACCTGTTTGATGGATAGATAAAGTTTAAATAAATAACATCCATGTCAACTATAATGGTGCATATAATTTAGCATCTTTTTACTTTCTTTAATAACTCACCAAAGCATTCATTGCTCCAGCCTTTTTGTGGTGGTTAAATCCAGGTCTCTTTTCTCTGGAAACGTACACCATTCGTGGTAGTTCATTTCCATCTGTGTCAAGCCCTCCACTTTGGCCAAGGAAAACCTATGAAGGAGAAGAGTTATTATTCCAGAACAATAGTCAGCCAAATTAATGAAATCTTGTTCACATACTTGAATCATCCCTGGATGATCGCGAACATTATTCCCTGGCCATGGAGTCCCATCCTGCATTGTCCACCCTTCTTCTGGGACCTTTTGTGCCTTGGCAACCAATGCATTAATCCGAACTTTAAACTCTTCATACTCTCTCTGCAATCCAATAAGAAATGTGGTTACTAATACTGGCCAACTGATACAGACACAGAGAGGAAGAGAGGTAGGGGGAGTTTAAATGTTGATGATGGAAGCTTTAGCACCTTCATTGCTCTCCGTTCCTTCACAAATGAAGCCTGCACCTTATCTTTGAGATAATCTATCTTTTGAGCAAAATAGAACTCTGGTGCCCTTGGTTCAATGTTAAACTTCTTACAGAAAGGGACCCACTTCTTTGCAAATTCAGATGTTTCTGATAAAGCCTCAAATGTCAGCATAGCAGCACCATCATCAGAAACATAACATGAGACCTTGTCAACCGGGTAATCCACTGAAAGAATGGACAGAACTGTGTTTGCAGTCACCAGTGGTGGTTCTTTTAATGGATCAACTGTACTTACAAATATATCAATTGGAGATAGTTGAGAAGGCTGGCCTTCCTTCTCATATCTAATAACAAACAAGCCAAAAAAAAAAAAAAAAAAAAATAAATGAGACCTTGTAACCGGGTAATCCACTGAAGAATGGGACAGGAACTGTGTTTTGCAGTCACCAGTGGTGGTTCTTTTAATGGATCAACTGTACTTACAAATATATCAATTGGAGATAGTTGAAAGAGGCTGGCCTTCCTTCACCCCTCATATCTAATACACAAGCAAAAAAAAAAAAAAAAAAAAAAAAAAAAAAAAAAAGAGCCATAAATTCATTGAACTACTTGATCCAAAATAGAACAGGAATAACAGCAAATGACATTATCAGTTACCTGAGAGATAATCGATCCAGATAAGTTTCCCTGTCAATAGGAAGCCACTTTGGGAATTGATCAAGGATCCATGAAAGAGCAAACCAAATCTCACAAATAACAGATATGAGCCACAATGGGTACGCATCATTCACAGGGTGTGTGACTCGATAATGGAAGAAGAATCCAAGAATTACAAGTCGAATGATGATGATCATCCGGTAAGGATTCATTTGGCTGGAAGAAATAGGTAATTTTCGCGATAATGGTTGTCTAGCCTCATCCATTCTGATCCATGAGCAACAAATTTCAATTCCAAAATCAGCAATGTTAAGATATTTAAGTTTAACCAGCAGGAATGGAACTTTGGAGGAGGGAACAAAGAAAAAAAAAAAAGAATCAAAACTGTTGCCATTCATAGCAATGTTGGCAACCAGGTTTATGCTTAAAAACCACTGATATTGATAGTGTAAATTAATACTGCACTAAACATCATTTTTGACATGAAAATTCACATTAAAGACCAAGCAATTAACAAAAGATCATTGCAAGCATATTTGGAACTCTGAAGGGTAAATAAAACTGAATGTACTTCATATTTTCTGTACTAGAATTATTGAATCATTAAAGAGGGAAAACGAAGAGCAACTATGATCAATGAAGTATCTCAATTAGTTGGGACTCCACTTAATTATGGAAAAAAGAGGAACCCCTTTTTTTTTTTCTTTTTCTCATTGGTTAAATAGGAACTTCTATACTCGTGCACGGAAAATGAAGATTCAGCATTATAAATAAGCTAAGATTTAGGGGAGCTTACAATGGCAGATCAGATGCATCACCATCACAGTCCCAGTCTTTGCCGCCATTTTCATTCTTCATCATCTGCAGTTTTTCATGCTTTTGCTTCCAACTCTCCATCCTCTCCTTCCAAGCAATACTTCCATAGCCATAAGCAGCCAAGTCCTTAGAAGGATCCATGGATCTAGGTTGCACTGCAAAATGGGGACAGAGACAATAAATATTGGACTCTGTAGCAGAGAAGCAACAGGAAAAAAAAAAAGAAAGAAGATCCAACTGATTGAACGATTGGTGATAAAGTTGGAAAGTTCACAAACGATTACCAGGGAAGGTAGGATCTGAAAAAGGAAGAGGGTGGATTCTTTTGCCGCCACCAGCGCCATTAGACATGTAGGAAGGGACCAAAGCATGTTGTTCTGGAGGAATGTCATCCACCTGTATCGACATCCAGCAATTATGATGCAGCAAACTTAAAACAAACGATAAAATATGTAATGCTTAAGGATAGATAGCTAGAGTAGAGAAATTAGGTGAAGGGAGGTACCGTTTGACCGTCAGTAAGGAGAGGAACTTGGGTTAGAGGATGCAGAGGTTGATAGAGATCAGAAAAGGCGAGGCCATGGTGAAGCATAGCCTCCGGTCCAAGAGGATGCTGCATATCCTTTCTACCCCTTGTTGGATCGAAATTGAACTCATTTTCCAAGTCATCGATGTCATCTTCTTCTTCGTCTCCTTCAACTCTGGCACAGCCTGCTCAAATATGATCATACAATTTTCAATTCATTTGGCGGTAGTGTTGAAATTGAAACATATAGAAATGAAAAGAGAGGAGATGGTAAATTATTTGAGTACCCTTGAGACGCTTGAATCTGGTCTTGCACTGAGGGCAGACTTGAGTTCCTTCCCTGCGCTCGTACTCATAGCAAGTTCTGCAGATTGGGAAGGCACACTCATTGCAGGCAACAAACAGCTCTCCATCCACGGTTAGCCCCACATCGTCTCCACATATGTGGCATATTTGTCCGCTTAACTGCTGTAACGGTTTTGGCTGCCAAATAAAAAATAAAAATAAATGCATTCTGAATCCAGAAGAAGAAAAGATAGTAGAAAAGGAAAAAAGTACAACAAGCTTACGGCAGATTCACCATCGCGACGGATGACAACTAGCTCATTCCTGTTATGAGAGCCGGCCACCAAGCCTGCACTCGCTTCCATTGGCCTCTCTAACAATGCAGTAGAAAAGAAACTGCAAATTTCAGTTTCAGATCTACCAGAAGTAAGTCCAGCAGCGATCAATTGCTTTTTCTACCGGTAAAAGAGAAAAGCGACAGCGACAGAGGCAGAGGTCAACCTACTACTACTACTACTACTACTCATCTGCTCAATGACTCGCTACTGCCTCTGGTAACTGAGCATCTTAGTAGAAGCTTTGCTTGCTTTCTTCTTTTGCTTTTTCCGTTTCCCTTTCCTTGTTATCCTTCTCTCTCTTTTATAATTCGTTGCTTGGCTTCTCAATCAACTATCAAACAATTAAAAGCCCACTTCTGAATGGAAATTAGCATCTTCTTCGTCTTCAACTCCCCAGTTATTTCTTCTTATTTATATAATATTTCAAAATTTATTCAGTAAATTCTCAAATCAGCAGAAATCAGTCAAGTAAAAAGAAGACAAGAAACGAGAAAAAGAAAATCAAAAAGAGGTTCTACAATACAGTCTCCTCTCTCTTTCTCTCTGTAAGTCGGTAGTTGCCGCTCATTTTCTGTCTAGTAACATTTTTTTCACCTTACTTTTTTCTTATCGACATCTCCGCCGACACTACTAATCGCGTCATTAGATCATATGCTAATTGCTACGATAAAGGACGACTTTGATATTTCCGTGTTATTAATAATTGGTTATCGCAGCACTGCAGCAACTACAATAAAATAATCATCCATCTTGGAGGAATATCTGCCAACCATTTACAAGAATAACAGTGGCCCCTCCCTAACGGGATATACTTATTTCCTAATTATAAGCATCAGAAAAACCAACCGCTGTCATTTTTCTTTTTTATATTTTTACACATGGTGATTTCGGCCCATCCATTAAAAATAAAACAAAATAACGTTGAACCGTTGATGGTCATGTGGGATTTTGATTTTTCAACGGTGTGCTGGCTGGCTGGCTGGCTGGCTGTCTGTACCTCTCCGCCTCCTCTCAGTATCTGACCCCACCCCATCATGTAGATGGCCTATTGCTTTTTTTCGGTGTCTCTTTTGTTTACAAAGTCAAACGAACCAGGTGTGTCATTTTCTTTATTTTAGTGGTTAAATTTAATTTCATTATTATGATATTTAGTTAATTTTTTAAAGAATAACAAAAATGTTTTTAATTCGATTTAATTATTTAATCCCATATATAATATGGCTTTTATTAATGAATATGATTTTTATTAGATTCAGAGTGATCAGAGTATAGACAAGCTTTGCAAATTGCGATCGTTTCCAGCTAGCTATGTTATGCTGAAGTGTGTAAATATTCAGTAGAAAAACGACAAGCGGCCCGTTGGCACCAGGTCGCGTGTCTCGGCCTTTGCTCAACCGGGACCCTCTCATATCAATTTTTTGGTGCCTCTATTACCCATTAATTTATGATTGTCGATTTGATTGGCCTACTTCGTCCTATCACTTTTAATTTATGATTTGTATTTTCGGATGAATATTATGCATATCAGTTTTCAGGAGTCGTTGGTGTTTCGATCATCTGGTTTGGTCGGCTCCAATTCAATTGGACTAGGACCGACATGGTTTATCTTTTCTATTAAATTGGACTAAATGGCAAAACCCTTAATATCAATAAAATGTTGATTGAAGTCGTTAAAGATCTCAATCTCCGCAGTGGTGCGATTCGAGGCCATTAAACCTTTTGATCTAAAAAACAAAAAAAGGCAAATGGTTTGATTGCATACCGAGCCAGACGTTGATATAGATAGACTTAAGATTAGTTTCAAACACTAATGGTTTAGATATTATAGTCTCATCTCCACTTCAATTCCTGATATATAAAAGTGGATTCTTAATTTTCTCGTGGATTCCTATTTACCCGAGGTATGAATTTTATAACTTGGTTGCTCACTTATCTCATGCGTACAACATCTGTCGTGTACAAATACTCAATGAGCATAAACATATAAACAGTAACAAATCTCAATCATTTATATGTAGGAGACTAGTGTCACTTCAAGTTAAATAGTTGACACAGTTATAACCTAAATGATGAATCATTTACAAGTAGTAAGCTTCTATTTTATCATCATCATGCATCATACATTGGACCTAATCATGTCTATAACGGTCGATGGCATAATTAAGACTTATAGTATCTCGTGTTGATCATGGAAATAAATAGAGGTGATGATCATATATATATAGTAAAGTGTATCGTAACGCTAAAAGTTACTTAAAAAGTTACTGTCGAAAATAATTTTTATGACCGGTCAAAACGCTAAATACTATTTTTTACGGTGTTCGGTAACATGGCGTTTGAACTAATTTTTAAAATTTATATATATTACGTTTTATGAAAAGGTAACTCATGTAATGTTTAGCTTTTGGGTCCGTTCGGCAAAATTAACTGTTTTGGTAGCATTTAGTTGTTAACTGTTTAAGTAATTTTTCATGAAACGCTAAAAACTAAACGTTACAAAAATTAACTTTTCATAAAAATGCTACATTAACCTCTAAAAGCTTAGTTCAAATACTATGTTATTAAATACTATAAAAAATATCGTTTAGTCAAAACGTTAAAAATTTCTTAAAAAGTTATTGCTGAACACAACTTTTAGCGTTTTATGAAAAGCTACTAAAACAGCTAACAGCTAAACGATACTAAAACAACTAACAACTATAAAAACAATTAATTTTACCGAACAATATCTCGTTTTTCTTTTAGTTTCTTTTTGTGTTTTTTCAATAATTCTTACATATTTGTCTGTTTAAATTGCATTAAATGTACAAATCTCTTATAGGTTGGTATATGTTAAGCGTATCTTTTCTATTATTATCTAAATGTACAAATCTCTTATATGTTATTATATGTTAAGTGTATCTTTTATATTATCATCTATCTTTGATATCTTGATTTTTTTTTTTTTTAATTTTGTTATACTTTTTTTTTTCATAGAGAATTTCTATCCATAATAGCTTAATTACGGGTTGCCAGCAGTGTTCCTCCATCCGCCAAATTTTAGATTTTTTAAAAAATATCTTATAAAATAAAAAAATTTGACATTTTATTTATAAAATAGTAAATTTTTTAAACTGACCCTCTTAAATTTTAAAAATTTTTTACCCTTGAATATCTTTTCCGGTTTCCGCCACTATCGACCTTGTTGAGGATTTTTTTTGTGCATTTTTGGTCTGCAAGTAGCCTTTTTTGGCAATTCAACATACAAAATAGATTATTAGTTTCTTTAACCGGAGAAATTGGACCTTCATACAGAAGATAAAACCTCATTTTCAAACTTAATTCTATTGTGATTTTTTTATAAATTGCTCCTTAATTATAAAAAAATAATAGTGTAATTTTAATCAAATGAGCTTTTAAAAATGAAGGTAAAATAATCTACTTTTTAGAAAGTAGAATTATTTATATAAATAAAAAAAAACTTGAATTTTTTACTGAGGAAGAGAAGGATTGTCCTCTAGTACATAGCCTCAATATTATTTTGAGCCATTTGGATGCATTAATTTTTTTATTTTTTAGAAAAAAACCACACACCCATGTATTATGTATTTCTTATTTCTCGTGTCTAAAATTGGTGTGAGATATAAAATATTGAAGGGTGCTTGATTGAAGCGAGGTCGTAATATCCGTGGTTACCTTTTGGGTGCGCGAGGAAGAGACGCCTCCTATACTCCGCTTTCCTAACCGTGACCGCCGTCGCACGCACACATCGGCGCCTGGTAAATGGGAGCTAATCAGTTTAATTTCGTTGATGTTCTATCTTTATTGTTTTCATTCAATTGATTATTGTATCAGGAGATCCCATTCGTTGACAATGAAATAGAAAGTCTCCTTTTTATTTTATTTAGATCCACATAATTGAGACGTTAGCTACCGGTTTTTAGAATATAATAGCGATATATTTTTAATTTTGTATTATCGGCTTGCTGGCAATCTATCTGTTTCTATTTCTATCTGCGGCTCTCATCTGTGCATAAGTTTGTCTTTTGTCTTAATAAACTGTCTGCAATCGTCTCAATTTCTGGTTAGTAATTAGTTGTAAGCTCTAAGTGAGGTAGATAATGTCTTTCTAATTCTATTGCAGGGAGATTCTCTGGGTTATTTTGCTTTCCAGGGAGTGTTTATCGTCTTACCATGGTTTCTTCGTCAGCGCTTGGTCAAGAATTTAACAACTCTTTCTCATCTAGAAAAAGGTTGAAAGTTTCAGATTTTGAGCATCAGGAACTAGATTTGCATACCTGTATTGGTGCCGCATCACTTCAGTCGAACACAAGCGAATGCTCATCTCGTGGGTAATGCACAATTGCATTATTTACTCTCTTTTTTGTTATTCCAATGTCAAATTTTATGAATTTTCAGTTTTTTGATTGTTATCATGATATAATTTTGCTCATGCTATGTCAGGTGTTTTAATGCCAATCATGCTTCTTCATCATGCAGCAGTTTCGATGAAAAGATTTGTTCTAATACTGTGTTGGAGACTAGTTGTCAATTGAATGGAAATAGTGGTGACGTGCCGGAGTCTAGTAATGCTGGGGGATCATGGACCTCTTTCCCGGACAAGAATTACTCTGGTTATGTGCCCCCTGCTTTTGTGAGTGGGTGGATGTATATTAATGAAAATGGACAAATGTGTGGTCCTTATATCCAGCAGCAGTTATATGAGGGTTTATTGACAGGATTCCTGCCTGAGGATCTTCCCGTGTATCCCAATGTAAATGGGGCGTTAATCAATCCTGTACCTTTGAAGTACTTCAAGCAGTTTCCCGACCATGTTGCAACTGGTTTTGTATATCTTGGCATGGGTAGTTCAGGAGCATCCTCACCTACAAATTGTTTTTCCTCTTTCAATATGGATTTGACTGGACATAGGCAGGAGGGCTTTTTTCCGCATGGTGCTCAAGTTTCTCAGCTGACATCCCATTCATATTTGCATAACCATGCTTGTAGCTCCAATCTGCCAATCTCAAATTCCAAGGCAGATACCCATAATACACCATTCCCACTACCGGTATTAACACTTCCTTTTGCATTACATTACATATGGATCCATTCAGCCAGTCTTTCTATCTCTCTCCTATGCATAGTTCTTCTATAGATTATGCAGCACTTCATGATTTTCATTTCTACTATTTTGCTTTCAGTCAGGGGAAGATACTTGTTGGATATTCGAGGATGATGAAGGGAGGAAACACGGGCCACATTCTCTTCTGGAACTTTATTCTTGGCATCACTATGGATATCTCCAGGATTCATTGATGGTAAGCTATGAAACCATTACTATTATCCAATCAGCCATTTTCACTACTGTATTTGAATTGAATTCAGTTATTTATTGGGAGTTGATGAGTTAGGGGAACTAGTAAAGGTTGCTGTTTTTGAGGATTTCTTTTGTTAATGTGAAAATGGAAATACTTTTAACTTTTAAATTTTTATCACTTGGAGACAAGAAGCTGGATTCATGAGTTCTTATCTGATTATCTATAAAAGGCTGATCAGCTTTCCGTTTGGATACAGTTCCTTTCTGCTTGAAATTCATATTTGATATGTTGCATTGCTGCATGTTGTACTTTGGATGATAGATAATCCAAGATATCTGTGGCCCATTGTGTTTAAAAGATCAAATTATCCTAGCGGTTAGTATTTGGGGTAGACTAAAATATTTTATTCCTCTCAACTGTTAGCCATTTTGTTCATAATGTTGTTGTAGTTGGTTAGTGCGACTCAACTTGTTGAACTGCTTCTCTCACCTTTTAATTTATTTCGTAAAAGGTTACTTTCATTTATGATTTCTTGTCCCTTGGATTCTAATCCTTGCCACTAAGTGCTTCTAACTATTTTACCGTTCCTCACTCTGATTTTGTTATATCCTGTTTGGCAGATATATCATACTGAAAATAAGTTTAGACCACTTCAACTGTTATCTGTTGTGAATTCATGGAGAATGGAGAAGCCTGAATCTGTCTTTGTATCTGATGCCAAAACTGAGACTAGCTCACTACATAGCTTCATATCTGAAATCTCTGATGAAGTTTCTTGTCAACTGCACTCTGGAATAATAAAAGCAGCTCGTAGAGTCGCGTTAGATGAGATAATCAGAAATGTCATATCAGAGTTTGTTAACGCAAAAAAAGCACATAAGAACCTTAAGCTCAATAGTCAAGTTGCCAAAACATGCTCTACAGATGAAAGAATGGTAATATCATACAATTGCATGAATATTTGAAGCTGTAGTTTTTTAGACTTGATGAATACATTATATATTTTGTAACAGTCTGAAGTTCCTCCCGAGAGATATAATCATGCTCCTCCTGAGGCTGAAGCTGCAACCTGCAATCATAGCTCTGATCAGGCTCAAGTTGATCAGGTGTCTGTGCAGTTCCATACAAGCACAAAATCTGTTGGAAGCATTGACAACTTCTGGAGGTCATATGCAGTTGTTTGTAGAATTCTTTTCGATTGTTGCATGGAAGTCATGTGGAATGCTGTTGTTTATGATGCCATAGCGGAGTATTCTACTTCCTGGCGAAAGAGAAAACTTTGGTTTTCTCATCGGAAGGTTAGAATTCCTACTAGCATCAGGGATCGTGGCAAGGAGACTGAAAAATCACCCCATGAACTTGTATGTACTGAACTTTTTTAGAGGTGTTTAACTTTTGTTATTACTATTGCAATTACTAGTCCTCTTATTAATATTTGTGCAAGTATAATAGCTGAGTGATGTTTCACTGTTTTTACAGTTATCCAGGCAAGAGTCTTCTGGTTGTGATGTTGATTGTTCTCCTGGTTCTGAAATTGTGACGGTTGAAAAGGATATTCATGCAGAATCACCTATAATTGCTTCATTTTTTACTATGGGAGAGGAGTCATCTAAACTGGATGGCCTATCATGCAAGGGTTTTTTATACAATGGCATAAATTGCTGCTTAGAATGCGTGGAAAATGAGCTACATTTGTCCACAAAGGTGTCTTTGGTTGAATATGTTAAATTTCTTGTCAAAGAGGAAGCCATGAAAATAGTTAAATACTCAGAGGATGACAACTTGAATGAGGTAACAGAAAGTAGTTTCTGCTGTCTATCTCTATGTGTCTGTCATACCTCTTTTTTTTATGTGAAGAAAATTGCTGGGGATGATCATTGAATGAAAACTTTATCTACAGCTATATTTAATACTTATATATTCTTGTTGTTGCAGGAGACTGTTGAATCTTCAGGTCAGTGTCGCCAGACAACTGAATTTAGTTCTCCAGAGTTGGATGGGGAACTGAGGATTGACTCCAAGATTGAGACATCCAATGATTCTCAAAGTTCATTGATAGCTGGAATGCCCTCTGGCTCCTTTGTATCTGAAAATCGTTTTTCAAATTTTTTGGCAAGTATTTTTGAAAAATCATTGGCATGTGTCGAAGATATTATGGATGACCAAAATATTGATGAGTCACCACTACCTGGACTTGAAGATAATGCTGGAATTCTTGTCCCTTCACCTATATGTAAATTCCAACCTTCAAGATCAGATGAGTCTACTCCTAGAATCAGAGAATATGTTGCCATGGCAATAGTCAGGCAGAGATTGCATGATGATGCACTAAGAGAGTGGAAATCATCGTTTATTGACGGTATCCTTAATCAGTTTATTGGATTCCAGCTTAATTCAGAAAGGCACTTTGAACTTTCCAATGTGGTATGTGTTTAAACTTTTGTGTTCCCCTTTGAATTTCTAAAACTTGATCTCCTCTGATCAAATTTACTTGTGTTTGTTCATAAATTTTTTCATGTTGTGTTAGGGTTTTGAAGCATCCGAATCCTTTCAGCTAATATTTCTTCTGAATGTTATAGGAAGGTACATTTAATGCAAAAAAAGCACATGATGGCAATACTTCACTGGACAAAGTTAAGGATCGTTTAAGGAGGTCTGATAGTTCAGATGCTACAGTGATGTCTTTGGTCACTGGTAAATACACATATTACCGCAAGAAAAAGTTGGTGCGGAAGAAGTTGGGGTCATCTTCTCAGTCTATGACTCCAGTTGATGCAGGGTTACAGCAACAGCCTGTCGAGAAGTCTCAAAAGCATCACATTATCAGAGATTTTGCTGAGAACATAGAAGTCAAACCTGTTGTTGCAACTCCCAAGAAGAAGCAACTAACCAAGGTCCAGGCTGTATTATCTTCCCAGTCTAGGTCTTCAAAAGCCATTGTTAAAAGCAATTCATCAAATGATCAATCATTGTCCAAAAATGGTACTCATCAAAAAGTAATGAAGATTAAGCATGCAGTTGCAAGACCTAGTACGTCATTTTGCCAGAAGTTTTTTTTCTGATGAAAAATATTTTACATATTGTAACTGTTATTGACTCTATTATGTAGATAATAAGGTCATAGAGCACTCTGTAAAACCTGCTCGGAAGAGTGTTTCAGACTTCGGTAAGGATCGTGCTAATGTTAAGAAGGTTATTGATAGCAAAATCCATAATGCTGGAAGTGACAAATCACTGACTCAAGATTGTTCCAAAAATAACCTAATTGGTGAGCAACTTCATGATGTTGTAATCATTATGCTCTCATAAATTTTCTAATGAATCAATTCAGGACTTTGTGCTTAATGCTATGGTTTTATTTGTCTATTTTGTAAGTAGCCATTAAGACGTCAAAGTTGAAAAGGAAGCATTCAGAGGGTGTTGAGTCAACAATGCATCCTACAAAGATTCTGAAAGTGGCCAATTGTGCTTCCAAGCAAGCTGCAACTAGACAGGTTACATTGCCCAAGACAAAGTCAAGTAAATCCAAGAAATCAAATCCTTGCCCTAAATCTGATGGATGTGCACGTTCTTCAATTAATGGCTGGGAGTGGCACACATGGTCACGTAATGCAAGTCCTGCTGAAAGGGCGCGTGTTAGGGGCATTCACCGTGTTCTTGCCAACCTTTCAAGTTTTGAGGCTTATACTTCTCATTTGACGAATGGTAAGGTTCTTTCTGCGAGAACAAACAGGGTGAAGATGCGCAATCTCCTTGCTGCAGCTGATGGTGCTGACCTTTTGAAAGCTACACAATTGAAGGTAATTGAAAATGTAATTCATTTTGGAGTGGGCTATATTTTCTTTGATTGTTTTAATACTTAATCTTCTTTAGGCAAGGAAAAAGCGCTTGCGTTTCCAACGGAGCAAGATTCATGATTGGGGTCTTGTTGCCCTGGAGCCTATCGAGGCTGAGGATTTTGTAATTGAATATGTTGGTGAACTAATTCGTCCTCGAGTAAGTTTAATTTGAGTTTTTAGTTACTGGTGCCAGTATATTACACATTTTCAATTGCTTCATCCTTTTGCTTCCGATTTCTTCTTCATTGTTCTCCTATAGTTGTAGCAATCAGTTCTATCCCCCTCCTTTTCTGGTTGAATATTTTTGTTGCTTTTTAATTTCGTGAACCTACTCTGATTGGGTATGCAGATATCCGATATACGTGAGCGTCTTTATGAGAAGATGGGAATTGGCAGCAGTTATCTTTTTAGACTTGATGATGGTTATGTGGTTAGTATTCCTACAGTAGAGCTTTTAGATTGAAATTAATTATGCTAACTTGTTTGAGGATATTTTATATATTGTTGCCTCTGGCCCCACCTTTCCTCATATTTGCCCTGAATTTAGCTTTCCATGTGTTTTGTCCTGTAATTCTACCTGTTGCATGTTGTTTTAATGGTCTATTTAATTAGATTGCAAAATATTATGAAACACTTTTCCCTATCCCATCCGAAATCATTTCCAGCTTAAATTATTTTCAGGACACAGTAGTTGATGGTATATTGAAGGGCTTTATAGATACATACATTTTCTTCTGTGTCTTTGATTTGTGTTTTTTAGTAATATTTATATTTATATAGATGGACATTGGGCTGGTGTTTGTTTTAACTGCACTATTTTTATTTTTATTTTTATTTTTTATTTTTTATTTTTTTTTTTATATGGATGTGGAGAATCTAGTGTTGGTAACTTTTGAGATACTAATTGGAGATGAATGAGCTTCATGTAATCGTGCAAAACTGAATTTATTTATTCAATGTCTATATGATGGTATGAGCTTGTGTAGCAACCAATTGGCATTGCTATTCAATTTGCAGTATTTGGAGCTTCTCAAAACATGGTCTAGGAAGAACCTGGATGCTATAGCTTTTTGAAAACCATTATTCACTGAAAGTAGTTAAACAACCTGCATGAAAAAAATGTTCAAAGTCAATATTGAAAAGCAGCACCAAACTCAATTCTAAGTAGATCCATAGCAAATATCTTGTCCAAACAACATAAGTGACATCTATTGGGGTCAGAGACTTGCTAAACCTTCTGTTATCACCATTGGATGGATATTTTTCATTTATAATTCCATGATATATGCTATATTATTGTCGGAACAGGAAACTTACTGCTGCACATTCTTTCTGCATTGTGTAGGTTGATGCTACAAAACGTGGGGGAATTGCAAGATTCATAAACCATTCTTGTGAGGTACCTGCACGAGTTTAATTGGAAAATATTTGTCTACATAAAAATGGGTTTATTTATTGATTCTTATAATTTAAAGTTGATGGTCTTTGCAGCCCAATTGCTACACAAAGGTCATAAGTGTCGAAGGTGAGAAAAAAATTTTCATTTATGCGAAACGACACATAGCTGCTGGGGAAGAAATCACTTACAACTACAAATTTCCTTTGGAGGAGAAAAAGATACCATGCAACTGTGGTTCCAGGAAGTAAGATGGCTATGCATGTCTTTAACTTTGTGGCAGTGTTTGTTGCCAGTCTTGATGGGTTTTTATATTCATTAATATTTTTTGACACATTTTCTTCAGGTGTCGTGGATCATTGAATTAGGAAGTATTCTCAGTTGCCATTTTTGGTAAGTGCAATAGTTAATTATTTCTTGTAAAGAACTTTGATTTAGATTATTTGTGATGCTTTCTTATCTCATGCTCATATTTTTGTAGGCTATACTTTGGAGTTTTATTCCTGACTCTGTATGTTTGCTATCAACAGATGTCGAAGGTACGTCTGATTGCTTTCTCCTCCAAATTATGTAGATGTCCAGTTGTACTTCGAGCTGTTAATTATAGTTCTTGCTCATGCCTTTTTCTTTTTTTAATTGTTTTTTGCATTTGATGGGGGTGCTCTTGATATAGAAAGGCATAGTTAATTCTTTACTTGATATGTACAAGCCACAAATGCCTTCTTTGGCTGAATTTATAGTGGTGCAGATCACCGTAGCTGTGAACATTTGCAAATTGTTAGTATTTCAAGTTCTGTTAAAAGTGATACTAACCTATGGCTTATTCAACCTGGAATGCATATGTATTTCTTGTTTGGCAGGCTTGTCAATGCGCAATTGCGCGTGCCTGTAGTTCAAGAATATTAGGTTAATTAAATTCCCTTTCCCTTTCCCTTTCCCTTTCTTCCATAGTTCCATGGTGGGCCTTGAACTGGCAGATTCAACCTTGATAAACAACCAAGTGAACTAGAAACTTGGGAGATTGGACAAAGTTGCTCTGCACATCTAGGGTATATAAGAAACGTACTTTCAGGTTCAGCAAAGCAAATTGAATGCCTCTTGAAACTTGTCTAATTAGCCAGTTAGCTTTACACTTTTACAATGAGCTGAACAAAAAAAAAAATGAAGTTCCATTAATTGATATAATTACATTGAAATTTCTATTTTAAATATTACTTTTCTATTAAGTTTGTTTTGTCATATTTTAATGAGATACTTGTTCATGCACATCCACTCGACAGTCTGATATTTTTTGATCTATATCTCCAATAGAAAGGTTTTAGATTGGAATTATGCAGGACAATGTGGTATCTATTGCATTTGCTATGCTGCAGAATGCTTTAACTTGTAAAGCTTGGCTGGGGCTTGCTTATTATTCTTTGTTATTGATTTTCCAAGTTAGTGAATGTGCTTTGTTATGATCATGCAAATTCTATTTTGTAGCTGACGTTTATTAAGGAGTTGGATTGTTCAGCTTGACTTCAGAGTGCCTACCTAAGAATCTGGTGCTTGGAAGTATTTCATGTTTGTAACAAGATGAATGAGCTGCAGTCTGGTAGCAAAGTGCATTGGCTGGGTTTATCGTCAATTGTATGTTCCTAAAAGCCTACTGTTTGAATAAATTTGAATATTATTTTCACTTATTCATCAGCTACGATTCCCCCAACATTTTTAAACAGTGAATTAAGTAAAATATCGGGTTCATAATTTCCATGTATTTGGTTACAAGGAATGAAGTTTAAAGATGAATTTATTTAAAAATTGTTTTTTCTTGCTAAATTGCTTTTCTCCTGTACCATATAGCTATATGGTGACAAAGCCTGGGTTTTATCCCAAGTGACTGTTGGATAGAGTTCATTGTGTTTGAAGTTCATATTAGTTAAAAATAATAATAATAATAATAATAATAATAATATGGAACATGGTACATGTTTGTGGATGATCTCTTTCTTCTCTCACTCTCACACAACCAATGTACAGACACATGGTTTAGTAAATTTTTGCTCTTGTATTCAACTTCTGCTTCTTTGTTTGGAATTACTATGATAATGGGATTCTTTTTTTGCACTGATTATGGCACTATCTAGTTTGTGAAACCTAAGTGGTTTCTAAGTCCAGGGTTCACAATCACAGCATGTTTATTAACTTGGCGATGCATCTGGATACTCATTTCAATGTAATAGGAATTGGGAAAAAGGTTAATGGTTGAGTGGATGTGGGCTTTTGGGTCAGGGATAAAGATGCTAAATCTGTAAATTGTTGCCTTATACATGGACAAATTTAAATAGGTGAAAATAAGCGTGTATTATTCTTCTTCTGATTAAAATGACAGATGATTATGCGCAATGTGGTTTCTTGAACAACTTGAATTGTAATTTTTTTTTCTTTGCTGCCTAAATAAACTTAAGACATTTTGGCGTTATGCCTCCTGTTCTGTATTCCTAAGTGGTGGGTTTCTAGGGCTGGAAACTAGTTATTCAGAACTTAGCTTAATAAAGGCTTTGCTTGAACTTACACAGTAACATCAAAGAGTGAAGCTCAAATTTACTTTAAAACTTCTTTAATAAACATAATGTGGTTTGGCTGGGTGAAGCTCAACTCATTTGAATTTGTAGATAACCCATTACTAATTTGATTTTTGAATTTATAAGAAAAATAAAATGACTTATTGATTTGTTTCTTAGAAAATCTATAGAAAGTATGATTTTTTCAGTTCTATATATATATATATATATATATATAGCTCAAATTTACTTTAAAACTTCTTTTAATAAAACATTAATGTGGTGGCTGGGTGAAGCCTCAACTCATTGAATTTGTAGATAACCCATTACTAATTTTGATTTTTTGAATTTATAGAAAAAATAAAATGACTTATTGATTTTGTTTCTTTAAGAAAAATCTTATAGAAAGGATGATCTTTTCAGTTCTATATATTATAAGTATAATATATATATATAATTACTGTACTATGGTCTCCAAATATATATACTTGTACTATGGTCTCCAAAAGTTGCTTCCTTTATCGTATTTATAATATTATAATAATATTAGAAACCAGGAATATTTCATTTTTGAATAAATCTGGACTGGTTTCATTTACAATTGAATCGAATTGAGAAATCTATTAGTTTAATTTCAATTGGTTTAGCTCTGTTATAAATGAATTGGAATTGAGTTTAAGTATAAAGCTCATGTTATAAACAGAGTTCAAGAACCAAAATTTGACTAGGTGCAGCTCTTTTGCAGCCCCATAGTATTCTTTATAAAATCAAGGTACTCTGCTCATCTATTTGTTCCACTAATGATTCTGCAGATAATCCATGTTTTTGCCGGTAATCTAGCCTCTGATTACTTGAGTCACTTGCGCTCATTTGTTGGGACTGAGGATTGGTAATTTTTGCTTTTGGTTTGCCAACTTAACCAAATAGTGATAATGATAATGGCAAGGGCGATGGGGTTGATGCATTGCTGTTTTGTTTCAGGTTCTGAATGATAGGCGTCAATAAAGGCTGGGTTGTGTGGTTGTGGTGGTTTTTCCATTGAATTTTTCACCTACTGGTGTTAGATGATGTACAAATTACTCGTGGATTCTTGTAGATCTCTCTCTGCTGCAGATGAGTTTCTCCTCTTAGAAAGTCCAAATCTTAGAAATATGAATTTGTTTCATGCTTACATGACATTTTTTGGATTTCAGTTTGTTGTACAAACATGCATTGTTAAATCATATATTCGATAAAAATGAAATTTTATTTATAAGAAGAATCATAGAAATTATACCGATATGCTTGTTTTCCTTTTTTTTTTTTTTTTTTTTTTTTTTTTGCTCTGTTTTCCTTTTTTTTTTTTTTTTTTTTTTTTTTTTTTTTTTTTTTTCTGGGTTAGTGATGAAGTGCTTTGGTCTGCAACTAAACATGTTCTTTTATCTTGGATCTTGTTATGAAAAATCAGTGGAACTGAAGAAATCTGGGGTACGTTGCTCTTTTTTTTCCTTCGGGATAAAGTATTTATGTTATGAAAGAGTACAAAAAAAGATAACTAATACTTCAATACAGGAGAGATTGCAACCTGTGTTGTCGTGTCAACCTGAGTTGATGGAGAGCCATCTAGAATATTTGCTTGTAAAATAATTAATGTCTAAAGTTTTACTAGCTTTGGTGAGATTAACAAGCCCAACAATCTTTAATGGGTCATGGCCTTGATCATAAATAACTTCTTAAATGAAAATCTGATATCCAGTTTACAATTGGTGATGCTTCAAACTAACAGGGAAGGCAAGGAGTTGCATGATTTAACAAGCAAAAAGTTTTGTACTTGAGATGAAAGTGAAGGCAATGAATGGATAAAATATGCTTGCAGTATTTATGTTATGAAAGAGTACAAAAAAAGATAACTAATACTTCAATACAGGAGAGATTGCAACCTGTGTTGTCGTGTCAACCTGAGTTGATGGAGAGCCATCTAGAATATTTGCTTGTAAAATAATTAATGTCTAAAGTTTTACTAGCTTTGGTGAGATTAACAAGCCCAACAATCTTTAATGGGTCATGGCCTTGATCATAAATAACTTCTTAAATGAAAATCTGATATCCAGTTTACAATTGGTGATGCTTCAAACTAACAGGGAAGGCAAGGAGTTGCATGATTTAACAAGCAAAAAGTTTTGTACTTGAGATGAAAGTGAAGGCAATGAATGGATAAAATATGCTTGCTCTGGTGCCAATTAGATAAAAACCAATTCTTGTAGCTTCTTCTAGCCTTTCGATGGGCAAGGTAGGCAAGTCACGTGGTTAAAACTGGCATGTATGGAATCAGAAACCAATCTCGTGATTGTTGTCCATAATAGTTACTTGGTCAGGTGGGATATGATGCCAGTCACCGGCACTTCAAGTCTTCAATCATGTATTTATTTTTTCTCTTTTGGCAAAATTTATTTGCATTTATGGATGAGAGGCTGTATGAATTTCTTTTTAATTGTGTTGTTTTTCCTTAAATTTCTTTTGGTTGCAGGGGTTCAAGTAGAAACCGTTATAGCTGTTGGGGTGGAGATCTCTTAGTGGCCTCCGGGTATGTTTCTATTTCTGTTTTTATGAACTGTAATAAGAGAATGGAGGTTCTCATCCAAATACTAATTGCAAGTACTAATCAAGAATCCTATGTTAATGGAACACTTTCCTCTCATCCATACATATATAAACAGTTTCACTGAAATTAACTAATGTAAAAAGAAAAAAAAAATGTTTAAAATATGGAAACCATAAATTTGACACTATAATGTCTTTGATTAGTATACGGAGTATCATATAATTAAGACACAATAAGGTATCATCAGATAACATAATATAATTAAGATACAATAAGGTATTATCAGATAACAATAACATCACACAATTTGTAATCGTGGCTCTCTTGCATCCAATTGCAAGTCAGCTAGTGGTTTAATATGAGGATGACAAGTTCACAATTTTTACCTATTTCTTGACCAAGGGAAGGATGTTCTATGAGGTTTTATCAAATTATGAAGTAGGCCTGTTCATAGAGTAACTCCGCCTGTGTCCTTTTGTTTTGTTGATGCACAGCCGGTCCCAAGCCCGGATAAAGGAGGAGGGTTGTAGCGAGTCAAAGAAATTCTTATATTATTTCATTAAATTAGAGGGTATTAGGAAATAATTAGCGATTTAATGGAATTTGATAATCCATTGATTAATTCAACTATTGAATTGGGAGAAAGGTTGTAAATTGTAATGGGTAGCAAAGGTTAAATTTGGCAGATGCTACCATTTGACATTTGTCGAACAACTCCAATTGTCCTAACAATGAGGAGAATGATGTTGCCATCTTTATTTTTCGGTGTTTGCCATGCAAGTCGTCTTATCATTTTTCGTTTATTTTTAAAATTTGTAGTCAATCTTCGAAGTGTTATATATTCTTACTTCTTTCCTCGTATTTCCAGCCCCTCCCAATGGCTATCCTTATTATTATCTAAAAATAAATAGGTTGTTAATAATATTAATAGGTTGTTTTGATGTGCTTGGCACTGGATGTGTTCCTTTGCAAAGAAAGAAATAAATATTAACGGTAATGGCATGCAATATAAGATTTTACTGTAATGAAATGTAATATGATATATATAACATTACACTAAACATACATGTAATTATAATTTATTATAGCCTGATTCATAGTCCAGAAGTTAATATTTGTTTTTTTTGGTTGTGAATGTGGAGGAGGGGACAAAACCCAAACGAGGATTACAAAAGTTGTCTAGGCCAAAAATCCTATCAGCATCTACCAATTCTATAAGAACAACATTATAATTTATAATCTTGCAAACCTATAAGAAAGCCATATACTCACTGCTCTTTTGATCAAACATTATAATTTATATTCATTGCAATAAATCCTATGAAGTTGATTAAAAAAGAGGAAATTTTGCGTTATGGAGGAATTAATTAGGGGTCTGATGAAAACTGTAAAGTGATTTAGGGGCCCAAAAAGTATAAAAGATAAAAAGAGGGTATGAATATGATGTGAATGTTTTAGGAGAATGATCAGGCAGGCGGCCCTTTGCCTTTGCTCTCTCTTTTCTGGTCCCAAAACACCCCACACCGTTCCAGCTCTAACTTTAATGCTTTCTAATCCTTTATTCTTTAATATAAACTCTAAACCCGATACATTAATCACCACCCACCATATATATACTGTTATTATTATTATTATTAAAACAAAGAAAATAAAATTAAATAGAGAGAAATTTGTATTATCACTAGTGAGACTGTCCATCTCCCTCTCAGTATCTCTATCACTGCGATCTTTTTCTTTTCTTTTTTTTTTTTTTTTTTCGGGTCATGAAAAATATGGCATAAGCTACGAGTAAGTGAGTTCTTAGAAAACGGGCCCCAAACAACAGAAAAGGTATAAAGGAAACTGAGTAACACAAAAGAAGTAGTACTCTGAATAGTGGTGGTGGAATGTTTTAGGAGAACATAGATACAGTAGTGACAGGCAAAAAAGAAAAAAGCGGCCCACATATGAACTAAATGAAACCTCACAAAAAACAATTCTTCCTCTTTCTCATGGTACACCGGGTCCTACCTTAAAGAGGAAGGCAAGCTCACTACTACAACCAAATCATTTTTTCCTGCGTAATACCAGACATTCTAAACCTATCTAAAATGAGTGCTTTCCTAAATCCTCTCCGATGTCATAATTCATATTCGTGACTATTAACAAACTCTAAGAACCCACAAATTAAACTATTTTAATTGACGCTCCTCATCCAAAAATCCGAGATAGTCTACCATATCTGGTAGTATTCTATTATTATATGATTATTACAAGATACTATCACATACAAAAATAAAACTTAAAATAGAGACGAAATTTTGTATTATCACTATGGTAGACCCTGTCCATCTCACGCTGCGTCTTCACCAGTATTCCCACAATCTCGATGATCAAACTTCACAAAGAGCATGGACTTTGTTTCTTTCTTATATATTTTCTTTTTTTTTTAGTCACATATGCCGTTCTGGTTTCTTTTGAAATTGTCGCTCTTTATCTTTGGGACACTCTATTGATGCCATTCTTATTGACTTCTGAAAATAGATTAGAAATGGAATTGAATATTAGAGTTTAATGAATGGTAGCCAAATATGTCAAGATTTTCTCGTTTCTAATTCAATTCGCTCTCCCTCTCTTGGTGTTTTTCGGCGAATAAACATAGTCTGCGGCTGCTTTAACTAATAATTTTCTAATATGTGCTCAATACCTCTATACATTAATCTGTTTGTTACAGAGGAAGGTAAAAATATCTACATTTGACTGGATTAAGCCTCTGCTTCGTTGCTTTTCGCAAGGGAACGGAAGAGAGAGAGAGAGAGAGAGCAGAGAACAGACGAAGTAGTGGCGTGTGTGTTTCTTGTGTGTTTATTTCGCTTCGTATGCTGTCGCTTTTTGTCAGTGAATCAATCCCAAGTCTAGCAATTATCTGATCTAAACTGACATGAGTATTCCTAGAAAGTCCAATCCAATCTTGATACTTGAAGAAATTGGACAATTAACGCAAAGAAATGTGAGGATCGGCTTTTTTGCGCCTACTCATACTGAGTTTCTCAGTCTGCTGTTCTGCCTACTTTCTCTGAACGTGAATTCACAGTATAAAGCTTGGACTTAATGTACTATCTACTTCAATTTTCCGTCATCATATTCTCTTCTAACCGTGCGATTGGAACAAGTTCCAAGGCAACATAGATAGGTTAGGCTTACTCTGAAGAAATCCATGTGTGCCTACGTCCAATTAACCAACACTACTTTCATACCTGTGCGCGGGCAAGGTCAAAGCGGAAGGTTTGAGATGGGAAGTTCCTAGAACCTGCAAGATACCGCTCTATGGTTTTCCCTCCAACAGTCGAAACCGAGGGAAGTATGTACATGTCTCATCAACAAATTCAAAGAATTTTTCTCAAAATATTTGGTTAGTTTTCTTTGTCTTCATGATTAGTGGGGTCAGAATACTATGAGATCTGAGAAAATTTCTACTGCCTTTTTTCAGCATCATATAGCGGTGGCATCATTCAATTTCTGGTTTTCCTAAAAAAGCATGTTTTTGCTATGTGAGGCAGCAATATTCTATCCTATCCAACATTCGGCAAATTTTTCTCCTACTCAAGGGGACATCAGTGTTTTAATTAATAAATAACATCTAAAAAAAAACATGACCAAAATCGGATACTCCTTCTTTCACTAAAAGTGTGTGTCCGAACAATTCCGTTCAATCTCGTATTGACTGCATTGGCTAATCTAGCGCTTTTTTCTGAGCATCAATCCACTCTTCTTTGTTCCCCAGGGTTAGAACCCGCGTTAATGCGTTTATTACCTTCTTTTTTTTTTTTTTTTTAAACATTAAAAATTTATTACAAATTATAGTGCTTGTCTCTGAACAGAACACCTTTTTTAAGGGCGTCATCCCTTCAACACTAACCCAATCCAAACGTACTATGTTTACTCCATCTGAACACTGAAAAACCAAGTCCCATATTCGTGCGCTCTAATCATTAGTTTTTTTTTTTTTTTTTTTTTTTTGTCTTGCCTTGTCTTTTTTTTTCTTTTTTGGAATATCCATTTTTGATTGATTGATTGATTGATTAATTAATTTATAATTGCTGATCTTTCTCTTTCTTTCAATTCTCTCTCTCTTTTTTTGGGTTGTTGTGTTTCTTTTTCTTTGTCTTTCTCTCTTATTTTGTTGGGAGTAAAATCTACATGCTGTCAGCTTCTGGTTTTGCAGGGACACGGAGAGAGAGAGAGAGAGAGAGAGAGAGAGAGAGAGTGTGTGTGTGTGTGTGTGTTTATTCGCGTGCTGTGTCTGTGTGAATCACAATCCACAAGTCTAGCAATTATCTGATCTAACTTATAGTATTCTAAAGCCAATCCAATCTAATTGGGAAATGGACAATTAAGAAAGAAATGTGAGGATCGGTTTTTTGCGCCTTCACTGAATTCTACTGCTGCTGCTACTACTGCTACTAATACTACTACTAATACTACTACTAATCCTCCACTTTTCCGGCGAAGAGCTACTTCCGCTACTATACACTACTTATATTGCCAAGTCAAAGCGTGTAATGGGTTCTGAGCAGAATAGGTTCCCTCAGCAGGAACGGGTATGCGTCTCATCATTAATTTCTCAAAAATGGTTTGCTGTTTTGGGTCAGATCTAGATCTGAGAGTGCCTTTTCATTTGCATTTTTGGTTTCTACTTTTTTGCTTTTAAGCTTATCCATACTCAATTTCCTTCTCAGATCTGTTTATATACTTTAACGCCAATGTTCTTCTTTCCTAAGTTTCCCCAATTCTCTTGTTGATGCATGGACTAGCGCTTTCGCTTTCTTTCTTTTTCACACTTCTTTTTTTTTTAGTTTTTAATTTCTTTCTCGAACATTTTGGGGTATCCTTCACCTACACAGATCTGATGAACATGCCCTAAGGATCATATGTTGCCTTTTAATTCTGCACTATGACTCGACAATCTCAGGTTTATTCCTTTTTTCTGCATAATTTTATGCTCTTTTTTGAATTTTTTTTGAATCAGCATTTGTATATTCATTGTTTGGGGCTGCGAATACATATCTCGAACCAGTATTTGAAAATTACACTTCTCCTTCCAGTTTTTTATGCTGTCAATTTAATTATTCATATTTGGCAATGAGTCGTGGGATTGGATTTCTGATCTTCTATAAGACGTCTTTCCGTTGTTTAGGGTAGAAGGTAGAAAGAGGGGTTGATCAATAACTGATGGGAAAATCTAAAAATAGACTCTTATAAAAAAGAATGTGCCAATTTACTCGCACAAGTTAGAGACCTAGTTATGTTCAAATCAATGGTTAACCTTTAGTCTCTGTCTGGAATTTAGATTACATAAATAATGTTGCATTAAACTATTAGTGGATTTGCAATAAGTTGCAGTTAGCTGTCTCATTAAGGTATTTATTTATGGCATATACAAAATTGAAGATGCTTATGGCAGTCAACCTTAAGGCTGCTAATTTGACATCAGTTTCCTGTTCGTTGTTGTCTAGTAGCCAACCACAATTTTGTACAGAGAAATTTAGAATGGGAGGAGTTGACAGAATTCTTTCTTCCTGAAAAATGTGAGTAATTAGGACTTAAATGTCTAACTTATTAGTTTCTAGAAAGCAGTCCTACTACATTGTAAGAAATTTCTGCTCTTACATTTTTGCTTGCGATTCAAAAATTTGGGAAAACCACACTTGAAAACTAGACGAAGAATTATCAATTATTTGAGGGGAAAATAGGAGGATTATGTTATAAATTTATTAATTTGATTCAGCAGCAAATTCATCAAATAAAAGGAGTAATCCTATGTTATTGTGAGTTCTTTTTACTTTTTTCTTAATGGGTTCATAGAATAACTTTTTAACCTTCAAGTGTAACCAAAGTATGAATGGAATGAAATGATGATACTTCTGTTGTGACATTTATTCACACCTTTGCTCCTCATATGCACCAAGTGAGCAGATGTCTAACTTTGCAGCATATTTCCCTGGATTATATTGGTTCTTGCTTCTTTGTGATGCTTGTTTGTGTAAATACATGCATTTATGCTGAGTATATGCATTCATAGCATTTTTATCTGAATAAACTAGGCTTTGATCTCTCATCAACGTTTTACAGTATTTCTTTCTGAACCTAACTTTGTTCTGCTATAGACAATGGATATAAATAGCAGCACTCTCAATAATTTTAAATGCTTATTTTCAGAGTGGTGAGAATGTGAAGGTTTTCATAGTTTTGAGAAGGTTCTGACTTAAAGACTGAAGCTGATCTGATGGGTGTTGCATGTTTTAATTCTGTTCCTATTATGTTTTTGGTATCTTATCTGGGTTGGTAATACTTTACTTCTTTGGCAGCGAAAGAGATGGGGAGGATGCTTGGGCGCATTTTCTTGTTTTGGTTCGCAGAAAGGTGGAAAACGTATTGTGCCTGCATCTCGTATTCCAGATGGTAATGCAACAGCTTCACAGCCAAACGGACCTCAAGCTGGTGTGCTGACCAACCAAGCTACACAACTAGCTCCATCACTTCTAGCTCCACCTTCTTCACCAGCATCATTTACAAATTCTGCTCTCCCTTCAACAGCTCAGTCACCTAGTTGCTTCTTGTCATTATCTGCCAACTCGCCTGGGGGTCCGTCATCCACAATGTTTGCCACCGGACCATATGCCCATGAAACACAACTAGTTTCTCCTCCAGTTTTCTCAACCTTCACAACTGAGCCATCCACTGCTCCTCTTACTCCCCCACCAGAGTTAGCTCACTTAACTACGCCGTCTTCCCCAGATGTGCCTTTTGCTCAGTTCCTCTCATCTTCTATGGATCTTAAAAGCACTGAAAAGACCAATTACATTGCTGCTGGTGATCTTCAAACTACATATTCACTCTATCCTGGAAGTCCTGCCAGCAGTCTCATTTCACCAATTTCTAGGACCTCAGGTGACTGTTTATCATCATCCTTTCCTGAACGAGATTTCCCCCCTCAATGGGATCCTTCAGTCTCGCCTCAAAATGGAAAATATTCAAGGAATGGTTCTGGCAGACTGTTTGGGCATGATACTACTGGTGCCTCCATGGTATCTCAAGATACAAATTTCTTCTGTCCTGCTACATTTGCACGATTCTATCTTGACCATAATCCGCCATTTCCTCATACTGGTGGTAGGTTAAGTGTTTCTAAGGATTCAGATGTTTATCCTGCTGGTGGAAATGGCCACCAAAGCAGGCACAATAGAAATCCCAAGCAAGATGTGGAAGAGATAGAAGCTTACAGAGCATCCTTTGGGTTTAGTGCTGATGAAATTATCACTACCCAACAGTATGTTGAGATTTCTGATGTAATGGATGACTCATTTACCATGACTCCTTTTACTTCAAATAAACCTACCATAGAAGGAAGTACTGAAGCTGCATCTTTGAGTGACAGTCAAAAGGCACAGACAAACTTGCCAACCCTTAAATTGAAATCAGATCGTGTATGTGGTGAAGCACCAGTATCATGCGATAGATATGAAGGTAAACCCTTATACTTGTGCAGTCCATGAGAATCTGATATGTGCAGGCGTTTGTTGTTTTGTTGTTCCTGTTTTCTTCTCATCAGGATGTGTCAATTTTTTTTACTGTGGTCCTCTTCCTCTACCCTTTGCGTTGCTTCCATATTATGTGGCAATATTTTTCTACGTACTGCTGAATTTGTTTATCCATGCAGAGAAATATAATAGTATTGTAAGCTACTTTTTCAGCATGAGAATACTAATGAGGTTCCCTTGTAAAACCAGATTCTAAATCAAGACGGCAGACTGGGGATGTCTCTGGATCAAGTACACCTGGTATCCATGCTCTGACTGATGATGACGATATATTTTCAAAGATGACATCGTCTAAAATCAGCAGGAAATATAATCTGGGGTCGTCATGTTCTGATGCGGAGATAGACTACAGGAGGGGAAGAAGCTTAGGAGAAGGCAAAGCAGATTTTGCATGGCATGACTAAAATTGGAGAAAAAAGAAAGTCTTGTCAGTTATTTCCGTGTATTAAGTTGCAGATGCGATATCTGTCATACTCTTTCTGTTTGGAGTTATATTTGATAGGTGGATGGTCTAACATATGATCTAACCTATTCTCCTCCTGTCTTTCCTCCTTTCCTGCTCTTTCGGGTTGTGTGGCTGATATCTATCTCCGATTGATAGTGTTGTGTTCTGTGTTCCTAACTTACCCTCTTTGCTACGAGTTATATATAATATGTGTGCGTGCGTGCGATGCAGCTAATTATATAAATATTAGTATTATATTTGGGAAAACAAACTTTTGGTTCCAAGTTAGTTATGGTGCGAAATGTGTTTTCGTAAATCGTTCAGTAACAGAAGCCCCCATTGGGTGAATTTTATTGTTGATAATACTAGAATACCAAGTTTATGGCGTTTGGCACCGCAATCGTCAAAGTTAATTAGGGTTTGCATTCAGTAGGATGCATGAATCTGACTCCACAGCCTTCATCATTTGTTTTTCTTCTTGACAGTATTTTATTTGGCATCTCTCTGTTTGCATGTTGTAACACGTATTTCAATTTATTTTAGATTTTGAGAGCTTCGGTCACAATAAGTACGGATGCGGGGTGCCCGCCTCTCACATAACTTTTGACGTTATGACCGTTGAAAGTTGAAGAACAGACGAGCTGAAAATTTTGTAGGAAGTAAAGACGTGGCGTGACGACAACGGTTGACTGTTCCCCAGCTATGACGGTGGCCGACAAAGACAAAGGATCTAGTTAATGTAATACTTTATGTAGATATTTTATGTATTGGATAAAGAAAGAATTCCCGAGACTGTCCAAATAGTCAATATTTAAGAGGGAAGGGAAAGGGAGCGAAGAAGGAAATTTCCCCTACGCGCTGCCTTCTCTATCAACCTGTGAAAAAACAGATGGCCAAAACCGTGTGCGCAGCTCACATGAACACATCCATGATGTACATCTTAATTTCTTTCAGGTCTCAGCGACAAATCTTATCCAGACTTTAGTTTTGGCTGGCTATAAATAACCATAATCTTTTTTACTGTCAAGCTATAAAAAATCTTCCTCATTTCTCATTAGTTATACAAACTATCTTGACCTTAATATCGATCATCATGAAATCGGACACTATTTCATCGTCATTTTCCCCTTGTACTTCACCCAATGCCAATCCCCTGTCTCCCAAATCTGCTTTTTCTAGATTGCGTCGCAAATTATCTTCAAGAAGATCTCACAAGCCCTCTCTTTCTCCTTCTTCTTCAACTAACAGTAATAGCTGCACCGAGCTTCAACGGGTGTTCAATTACTTCGACGAGAACGGAGACGGAAAGATATCTCCGGCTGAGTTGCAGAGCTGCGTCAGGACTCTGGGAGGGGACCTTTCTATAGAGGACGCGGTGGCTGCAATCAGCTCTTGTGATACGGACGGAGATGGGCTATTGGGATTCGAGGATTTCCAGAAACTAATGGACTGCAATTCTTCTGAGGAGGACAAGAAGGAAGAGCTGAGACAGGCTTTTGGGATTTACGAGACTGAGCCTGGCTCTGGATTCATTTCCCCGACCAGTTTGAAGAGAATCCTGAGTCGACTGGGTGAGTCAAGGTCCCTTGACGACTGCAAGGCCATGATTCGTACTTTTGACCTCAACGGAGATGGCGTCCTTAACTTCAACGAGTTCTCTGTCATGATGCGCTGATTCCCCGTGTATATATGTATTTTTATAAATTCATTTCAATTCATTTCATCTGTACAGTTACATTAATATTATAGTTGACACATCATTATGAAATGCAAGATTCCTTTATTTCCAACCATCTGTAAGATATTGCCTTTGGTTTTTATGTTTCTACCCTTTCCAATGCTGCATGCTTCAAATTCTTCTAGCAACATTGATTCGGCCTGCCTCTGTAATATAAATTCAGGCGCTAAGCATATCCCTTTCTTCAAGAGTGACAGTAACAAAAAGCAATCCATTGCTTGCATTCATATGTTGAGAGTTGTGGTAACAAATTGCTTAACTTTTGCTTAAAGAGAAAAAAATAAAAAAAATCTTTTGAGGCATGCACATCATTCAATCCATCAGTTGATGGTAATTTCATGCCATGGTCTCCACGTTATTCAGCAATTCTAGTTCTAACAAGCCACTCGCCAGAGTACAAATCCATGAATAAGTAAACAGAGTTGCAGAGATTACAGACAATATATTTTCATGAAACAAACCGCCTACTTATAACCGTATATCTCTGAAGAAAAGACACGGAATGTCTCTGAATATCATGTACTTATATTCCGTTAAGGGTAACCACAACTCTGCGTGCAGTAGGGTGATCACGATGTTCACACAGCCATATCCCCTGCACCACAAGAAAAGATGGAAGCATTAAATGATTGTATTACTGTTAAAGCTAATTATATTTTAGTGTATTCTCATTAGACATTCTTGCAAACAATACATAGAGGAGGGCTGCTTCGAATTCTGATAATGATTGGTTTTGTTCAATCACCAATCACATCTCAAGTAAATTTTTTTTTTTTTTTTTACATGTTAAACACAAAAATAGTTTTACAAGACACTGTACATACTTCCAAGGAAATTTCCAAGAATCATTTTCATGATAGTGTCCCGTATTACTGGTTTTGCACACTGTCCCAACCAGCGTTTACTAGAGCTACAGCTTCAGACATATATCAAAGAAAAGAAAGGCAAAACTCCATCAAACTCTAGGTCATGGGCAGGCTTTTTTATCAATGCATTTATAGACAAAAGAAAAAAAAATCAAAATACAACCATCAAGATGCAGATCTAGAAAATTGCATCATTGTCATTGTAAACCAAGGGAGCCACAGCCCACAAGTTTTCTGATTCTATATTTTTATTTAGTGAAAGATAAACTCAATGATTTATCTAGCTTACATATAACGACCATATTATGCTAAAGCAGACAAGGGCATTGAGTCACAATCAATGAATAGTCTTAAAAAAAATCAAAACAAGCATCTTCAGTCACACACCTGCCAAGTGCCCATATTAAGCTTTCCATTTGTGATTGGTATCCTGCACAACAATAGAAACTACTTAAAATGGTCTATGCAACTTTGAGTTAAAAAATATCATCCTAACAATGAGAATGAAGAGTCCTCACGTGAGTTCACATCCAAACATTGATGACTTGATGTGTGCTGGCATGTCATCTGGGCCTGCAAAAGTTTTCACAATACAACATCAACACAGCAACACCAGATTTTAAAAGATTTTGAGAAACATTGCACAGTGCAGCGGTGGAAAGGGGGGGGGGGGGGGGGGGGGCAATACACATCAACACAGCAACAGCAGTTTTAAAAAGATTGAGAACATTGCACAGTGCAGCGGGTGGAAAGGGGGGGGGGAGGTGGGAGGACCAAGTCATTATTTGTTAATTTTTTGGCGGGTAGCCTGCTTCCTCCCTTCCGGGGGGGGGGGGGGGAGGTGGGGAGACAAAGTCATTATTGTTAATTTTTGGCGGTAGCCTGTCCTCCCCTTCCCACTTCATTCAGTTCATAGAATAACCATTCAAGTTGTACTCTATTTTATTCTACAAATAAAATAAAGCCTTCAAGTTTTTGTTGATACAGATTTCCATTGTGACGTTCAAAATTGGAACTTCTAAGACTCTGAAAAATAAATATAAACAATGGGGGCATCGGCAGAGGGTTTCCACAAAAAGTCAAGATTCGTCATTGTTAGTCTAATTTTCCAACTTGATAACTGACTTAAGGAGAGAGATGGCCTGGGGCATTAGGATTGAAATTCTATGGCTGATAAGGTGCCTACAGATACTAGTTAATAGCATAGCAAAAAGAGAGAAACTGCAGTATAAAACTAACCTTCCAGTGTATGCTTCCAAGGAGCAGATCTCCCCTGAAAATTTAAGGAATTATTAGCACAGAAAGAGCCTCGATAAAATAAAACATGAACTGTAGGATAGAAAACAGACTAAACAAACCTCTGGAACTATCTTATTGAGGAAAGTCTCGGTGTCATCACGAACATCAGAGTCATAATTCTCGTTGATAGTAAGAGAGGCGCTTGTGTGGTGTACTGAAACGCAGAATTGAAAAGGAGAAAAAGCCAATCAATCATCAACAATTAAATTCTGAGATTAAAGGTTGCTGTGACTTACAGAAGAGATGAGCGAGGCCGCACTTGAATTCTGATAAGTCTGGACCAATTTCATTCAAAATCTGGCTTAAAAATCAAAGGTTTTAATTAAAATTATGAAATTTGGAATCAATTGACCAACAGATAGGAAAGACAAACTATAATGAACTGCAAAATGAAATTGTAAAAAAAAATAAAGAAAACCTTGGGAGTAATAAGATGGCAGCCTCGGCGCTGTGGAGGTAGGGTAATAGTCTTCTGTGCCCACTTGGGCGAGGCCGTAGCCATGGAATTGGAATCGCTATTGAGGGAAGAAGGCTTTGCAGTATAGAGAGAATAGACGCGAACCACCGGTGGAGCCGAAGCCGACAACCAGACGGGCTTTGCAGCTGACAAAGACACAGAGGAAGAGGAGCCTAGTGTCTGCATTTCAGCCCAACCCACTGCACGAAGAAATCTTTGGAAAGATATAATCTTGGTTGGTGTTTCTTCTGTATCTTAAAATGGGCTTCCGAAACGGTTGTGGCTGTTCATCGATTGGGCCATGCTTGTGAATGTGATGCTTGCAGGTTGCTTTCGCTATCACTCACTCACTAGTGGTTGCTCGTGCTCCATTTGCAAACTACAGATCATGGGTTCCAGTCGAGGTAAATAAACTTGTTCATCACAACAATAATGTTTTTTTTTTTTTTAAGTTGCAAGTGCTTTTTGCCCCTAACATTTGGGTTAATGATGTTTTATACTGAAATTACAATATGCATTTTAAAAAAAAAAAAGAATTACAATATGTGATCCATTTTTATTTTTTTGAAAGTATACAGTATGAAATCCATTGATCTTTAGAATTTAACATTCCTGTAAATCAAATCACTTATTTTAGACATTAAAATTTAATTCGGTTAGCGATCAAACCAGAATAAACAACCCATTGGTTATAATTAATCAAACCTATCGGTGCGAATTTTTTTTTTGAAAAAAATAATCGAACGGAACTGAAATTGGTCGGTTCGCTTTGATTCTCGGATGAGACCCGAATATTGCTCGCCCCCTACTCCCATGGAATTTACGCATGAAGTTGTGGTCTTGTTACAGGCAGGTGACAGTTTATTATAGCATTTATTAATTGCACTGTCACGGTTCCTTTCAACCCCGAATATATTCGAGTGCGGTTGGTTGACAATTCACCGCTTTCTATATAAGCAATCCCAGTCTCAAATGATCAATTCCTTTTTTTTCCTCTGATTTAAAATAATAGATATTCATTTATGGGCATTAACTGGCGGTGGAGGTGGTGGTTGCTGGTACTGGGAGTGGCCGTGATAGTCGCCAAAGATGCTAAAGCGGAAGAGCCACTCGTTACTCGAATTGCTTTTGGATCATGCGCCAACCAAAGCGCTCCTCAGGTTTCTTTCTAGTCTCTAGCATTTGATTATCTTACGAATTTTTGCTTTGATCACTGATACTTTATAACTCCTTGTCATTCGTACCAAATAAATGAATTCCTTTTTTTTTTTTTTTTAACACACACACACACACATATAATGAGAATGGCAAGGCGTATCCGGTAATTGTCCGTCTGAAAATAAGTGACTTTGGTTGCTTGTAGCCTATCTGGAATGCAGTAATTGAGTTTGATCCTCAGCTTTTTATATGGCTGGGTGACAACATTTATGGAGACATTAGGCGCCCTTTTAAATTATTTGGCAAGGAAAGGACCATTGGTCCATGGAAGAATGTTCCCAGGTTTGTTCCTTCCTCCGAGCAGGAAATGGAGTCCAGATACCTCAAAGCTAAGACTAATCCTGGCTATTCTCGTCTTCGACAAACTGCTAAGGTGCATATCATTAACATTTGCAGTTTTCTTTCCATTGTCCATGTAATAATGCACGAAATATTGCAGGTAATTGGCACCTGGGATGATCATGATTATGGATTAAATGATGCGGGGAAAGAATTTGGTCGAAAGGTTACTAACCAGAGGCTTCTTCTTGATTTCTTAGATGAACCTCAAGACAGTCCACGGTGACCAATTATTTTCCTTCAATAACTCAAAATTTTTTTCTACTGATTAAGAATTCTATAGTGGTTAAAATATTGTTTCTTTCCCATTTGCTATGAGAATGTCTCATCTTAAGAGGTTTTATACTGTGCTTGGATGGCCAATTTAATCATCATGTCTTCACTTTTGTAGGCGCAAACAAGATGGTGTCTATGCATCCTATACTTTTGGCCCTATGAGCAGACAAATTAAGGTATAAAAGAGAATGCTTTCTCATACTTTATTGGTGGTTTTCTTTTTCTATGCAGGGACCATGTTTACTTGCTTCTTTTCCATCGAGGGGATGAACTTTTAATGCATGCTAAATAATAGTGGTTAAATTTCTTTAGATTATTCTCTTAGATACGAGATACCACAGAGACCCTTTGCGTAGTGATGGAAGTATGCTGGGGATTTCTCAATGGACATGGCTAGAAAAAGAGTTGAATGGACCAAAAACAGCAATTACCATAATTGGATCTTCTGTTCAGGTATTATAAAATTTTGTATTCAAACCCTAACCAGGTTTATCACTGGATTATATATCAAATGCATATACGAGAGAACTCACATTGTGGATCTCTTGGATAGAGTCATTATCTTGTGAGCCTTCTGATCCTATGTTCTGATTCTGCATAAGGAAGGAATTTTAGTGCATGTCCATTGCAGTACATTTGGCTGTCTTTGGTTTGCTGGCAATGGGAGGTTGATGGGAATGTAGTTCACATTGTTAGTTATCACATTACCATTAGAATGAAACCTTTGACTCTCTCTTTTTTTTTCCCTGTTCTGTCTCTATCTGCTCATGCAGTTTCTAATTGGAGTTTTAGTCTGTTATCTTTGGTTAATTATGCTATCTGTTACCACATAATTCAGGTTATATCAAATCTTTCAGCAACCACTGGTCCATTGTTTTATTTGGAGTCTTGGGGACGTTTCCCAAAGGAGAGGAATCGCCTATTTAAGTTGATATTAGATAGTAAGGTGAGATCCTTCCATAATAACTCTCAGTTGTTCTATTACTCCCAAGTTTCAGTACAAAATACTGTATTCATTAGGTTTTTGTACTCTTGCAATTTTGTTTCTGAGGTGGAAAGATGCACCCTTGTCATATTTGCTATTCGTATTTTCTTATACAGAGAGAAGGAATTTTTTTCATTAGTGGAGATGTTCATTTTGGAGAAATCTCGCGCTACGACTGTGCCACAGGATATCCGCTGTATGACGTGACATCAAGTGGACTAACCCAAGCAGTTGAGAAGGTAGTCCCATCTCCATTGAGTTTCATAGTGAGGGTTGTAGCTTGGTTGACACCAACAACAATGAGAGTAATGAGCAAAAACTGCAGATTCAGGTCATGTACTTATGGTATGTTCAAGAATTAGATTTTTCAATAACGTGTGAATCCTGGTATTTTTTTTAGCTCCACTGTTTTTCTTATTTGTATCTAAAAAATTCATAGATGAGCAATAGATGGCAGAATATCAAAATTTATTAATTTAAAAAATAGGTTACAATATCTAATAAAAGGATTTCTTCAAATAAAAAAGTTAGTCCTTTGATTCGGCTCTTTTTGAAAACATCATTCAATGCCTGTCAAAACTTGCTCTTGAATCAGTAGAATTTTCTTCTTCAATTCGGAAGAAGCTACGTTGAATCTCCAATGGCTTGGTAGAGTTTGTTCTTGAAGCAAACTTGTCCTTCTTCAGTTTAGGTTGGATCTCCAAGGGCTTGGTAGAGCTTGTTCTTGGAGCAAACTTGGTCTTAAATCTATAAATGATTTCTCCTTCAGTTTAGGGAACATTCAGTTGAATCTCCAAGGGTGTTGAGCTTGTTACTGAATTGGATTTATGACTTGAGAGCTAGATGCTTGATTTCAATTGTAGAAAACAAACGTGACTACAGGATTAGATGTATCTTGATCTTGAATGAATTTATATTATAGAAGAAGAACATAGTCGAATAAAAAGAATAGATTAAAAATTCAATTAAATAAATTAATTGATTAATTACTTTAGTCAACCAATTCTTTAATTGATCCAAATTTCATTGTATACAAGGCCAACCCAATTTTGGAGCAATTGAAATAGATTGGAGTGCAACTCCTATGACCTTGAAGCTTGAAGTGAGGGATGTGAATGGATATCCGGTCACTAGTGTAAAGTTTCCATTGTTGGAACTGCAATCACATAGCATGAACTCTACAGCATCCAGTAAAGTAGAACACCAAAGGCACTGCTCTCTTGAAGTAAAGTTGCCATGGCTTGTAAGATATCGCCTGGCAATTTTATTTTATGTCACATTGGCCGGTATGTCTTTCTATACTTGTATCCCTTTAAGCGCATCCTGCATAAACTTTGCCAATTTGATGAAGTTGTTTTTTGCTTACTCTTTTATGGCGCATGGAGATGTAATTAAGTTAAAAAGCATAACAAAGAAAAAAAGAAAATATAAACAATGATAAAATGGGGCTACCAACATTCTACTTCAATTAAAAAGTATAATAAAAAATGAAATCATCCAATCTGCTGTCCTCTGGCCAGTAATATCATCTTGAAAATTGTAACTATGCATCTTATGAGTTGTTTGAACTCAATAATGCTTCTTGCCATTAGTTTCATTTGCATCAAGTTCAAGCACTTGCTTTTGCATCTAAAGACATTATCTTTTTCTGTTCCACTCTACTAATTGTGATGTTTCCAATCATAAATTGCAGTGTTGCTTCTTGCTGTGATAGGATTCTTGTATGCAGTTATATCAGCCTGCAGGCTATGCTTCTGCAAACGGAAGCTTGATTGACCATAATATTTTGATGTTCAAATTAAGTTTTAGCACTCATAATTTCCTCATCTGAAGCCAGTTTCTGCCTCATTAATTTGGAACCTTTTTTTCTGGATAGATTTAAATCTGTTTTTGCTAGTTCCACCGGATGGCGTGCATTTTAGAAGTCCAGGGGAAACATTGCCAATGGTCCTCTCATGCGTCTCGTCTCCACTCTAGTTTGATTGTGGTGGTCATCAGTTTATATGGTGCGGCATGAGATGAGATAGTGGTTGTAAGAATGTGTATATTTGCATAATTACAGAATTTTTTATTCCAGCAACAAAATCATCTCTGCTGCTAATTAGTTAAACAGGCAGGTTTTATTAGGGGACAGCTCATGATGTTCATACTGATCCATTATGCACTTCTGCATCTAGCATTGGGTAGACTTCAGCAGTGGGAATTTTATTTTCTTGATTAAAGAATTCTCATTTATCCTTAATCTTTTCACGGTGTGAAAACCTGGTATGTAGTATTCCCTTTGTCCCAAATTGTTTATCTATATTTTCATTTTTGGGCCACTTGACTGAGGAGATATTTACTTTTTCTTTTATAATCATTATAAATGGTTTTAAATTTTAGGAATAACCTTTTTTATTTTAAAAAAAATAAAAGATAATTTTGAAAAAATATGAATATTTTGTATGATGTGATTTATAATTAATATGTTTTCTAAATTTTGTTAGAAGTCGGTAGAACAAGCATTTTGGTACGATGGAGTAATATGGATGAGCTGGCTTATTTATTGGTTTATTTATTTGACATGGCAGTGTAATAATGGAATTGGAAGCTCAGGTAATCAAATTCATATCAGATGACAGATGACTTTGTCAAAAGTTATAATATCAGTGGCCAACTAAACTGTGTTCATTTTGTAATTGATTGATTTTTGTTCAGTTTTTTTAACTTGAGCGACAGGGCAACGTTCAGTTGTCTGTCGACAACAAATAGTATTAGAAAGGGATGGGAGTGGTCAAAAAGTCAAAGCTCTCCGCTTATTGACGCGTTCGTGGCCTTTGAAGTTCAATTTTTCCGCTTATTGACGCGTTCGTAGACTTTGAGGTTCAATTTTTTTTTTTTCCTTCCTGAACTCCGACGGTGACAGTCGAGACCTGAGCCCATCCTTTCCTTTTTTCTTTGTTTCAGACAAACACAGACAGAGAGTCTCCATGGATTTTGATCCTTGTAAGTTGGTGGCGTTGGCAGTGGCGGTGGCTTTGCTAATTCATTGTAAAGTAGAAGCTCAACAAACTTATGTAAACAACAAGCAGCTGGCTTGCTACAACACTGCCTTCAATTTCACTAAAGGATATGTGTGCAACGGTGTAAAATCGTCATGCCAATCGTACCTGACCTTCCGATCAGCCTCTCCCTACTATACCACTCCTGTCTCCATCGCCTACCTTTTGGGGGCCCCAGACTCCGCCACTCTTATCGCTTCCCTTAACAACTTCTCCTCCGATGTCGCTTCTATCCCTCCCAACACTCAGGTCATTGTTCCGGTCAACTGCTCCTGTTACGCCGGCCAGTACTACCAGCACAACGCCTCCTACACTATCAAGTCCCATTCGGAGACATACTTCAGCATCGCCAATGATACATACCAAGGCCTCTCCACTTGCCAAGCCATGATGGCTCAGAATCCTTACGGCGATAGAAATCTGTCGGTGGATATGCATCTGGAAGTTCCTTTGAGGTGTGCTTGCCCCACTTCCAAGCAGACGGCTTTAGGGTTCAAATACTTGCTCTCCTACATGGTCACCTGGGGCAATTCCATTTCTTCCATCGCTGAATCATTTGGCGTCGACCAACAGGCCGTCTTGGATGCCAACAACCTTTCCTCCACCAGCATCATCTTCCCCTTCACGCCGATTTTGGTTCCTTTGACCGCAGAACCAACTAATATCAAACTGCAGGCCACACCTTCTCCGGCCGCACCTTCTCCGCAGATTCCCACAGTTCCTGTCGTTGGGGGATCCAACTCTTCCAGCAACACCAAATGGATATACGTGGGTGTTGGGCTAGGAGTCGCTTTGCTTATTGTTTGTGGCGTGTTTGGATTTTTGTTTTGGTACCGCAACCGCAAGCATAAGTCTGGTGATAAGGCCAAGCCTGTTACTAGTGTTTCCTCTTCAGAACCCAATGATTACAAGACGGTGGTACAATCAGATTACTCGGCGCTTCCAGATAGCAAGTCATGGTCTCTCTCTTCTCAAGGCATTCAATCAGCCATCGAGTCCTTGACTGTCTACAAATTCCACGATTTACAAATGGCCACGGCATATTTCAGCCAAGATAACAGAATAAAGGGCTCTGTTTATAAAGGATCATTTAACGGAGATGATGCAGCGGTGAAGGTTATGAAGGGAGATGTTTCAAGTGAGATCAACATTTTAAAGAAGATAAATCATTCCAACATCATCAGGCTCTCTGGTTTCTGCGTACATAGTGGCAACACCTACCTTGTTTACGAGCTGGTGGAGAATGGCGCTCTCAGCGATTGTCTCTCCACTCTCACTTGGAAGCAGAGAGTTCAGGTTGCTTACGATGTGGCTGATGCCCTCAATTACCTCCACAGCTACGCCGATCCTCCCTATATCCTCAAGAACCTGAAGGCCAGTAACATTCTCTTGGACGGCAGCTTGAGAGCCAAGATTGCTAACTTCGGCATGGCAAGAATGCTTGAAAACGAAGGCCAAGGCGGTCTGCACCTCACAAGACATGTTGTAGGAACGCAAGGATATATGGCCCCTGAGTACGTGGAGAATGGAGTGGTTACCCCTAAATTAGATATTTTTGCATTTGGTGTCGTGATATTGATTCTCTTGTCTGGGAAGGAAGCTGCTAGCGACAAGGAGATGCTCTCAGCATCAATAGACGTAGTGCTGGAAGGGGAGAATGTGAGGGACAAATTCAACAGATTCATGGATCCTTCCCTTGGAAATCACTATCCCTTGGATTTAGCCTTCTCTCTCGCCCACCTCGCTAAAAGCTGCGTTGCTTATGATATCAATGCTCGCCCTTCCATGCCTCAAGTTTTCGTTGCTCTATCCAAGATTCTATCTTCTTCTCTTGATTGGGATCCATCCCTTGAAACCTCCTCTAGGTCTATGACCAGTGGCAGGTAAACTGCTGCTCAACAATATTAGAATTGTCCTTACTCAGGCGGATGCTGCTAAAATAAAGCCTATGTTTTGCATTTGTAATATAGCCTATACATGCAGGGTGTTTTTGTTATATGCTGGGAATTCCAGTGTTCAATTAAACAATAACTTCTCTTCACATCAATGGTATTACTTCATATAATAACACTCTCAGGGAAGTATCCAAGTATCTGATACAGTTCAATGAAAATTTTCTTCAGGAGCATCAAATCATTTCAAGTGCATATACATTCTCTGGAACGACCCATTATTGTGGTCTTTTCTAATGGCTAGAATGCTCCTCTAGGTTAGCAACATGCTAAAGCATTGCAGTGTTTTAAAACACCTCCCGCATCCCTTGAGAGATGCTATGGGTATACTTGTCTCGTGTAACTACGCCATCAAAAGGCCATAATATGCATGGACCTTACATCTGTCTCCACCAGTATGGAGAGCTGCAGTGTCGCACACTTGCAACCACAAGTGCCAGGAGTGCCTCAACAACCCTTTGATGCATCCATACGCCAGCTTAACCCAAGGTTGAGGACATCATTTGATGCAGGATCCTTGAAAAATTACCCTTCTTCCCTTAGACTTCCACATATGTGCACTCCTGAGGTGTGCTCAGCTCATTCCATAAGCTTTGGTAAAACCTTCCAATATCTCACACAAGAAGGATTAGTATGAATAGCCCGAAGAACCCATTTCAGTGGGCTTTGACAGAATTCCACGTTGGATGAAGAGTCAAATCCAGCTTCTGATTGTCTTGCAAGCAAATGCATTTGAAAGAAGAGTTCTGCAGGTCTCATTTCTGAGAAAAATATGAATCATGTCAGTGCATAATCATGTCAGTGCATATATATTGTCTAGCTCACACATCTTATTTGATAAGCAATACAAAGATTTCTCATAACAATATATTGACAAGTTGGAAAAAAATTTTCCAGACTGCTAATTCAATTTTTGCAGACACTCACAAATATGCATATTTATCTTACTTGCAACACAAAGTAAATGATGAATAAATGATAGTTATACACATCAATTCATCCACAACTAGACTTGCAACTTGTGAGCATGCACACGTGCATGCATGGATCACAAACATACCTGGTGGCCAAGAATACCATTCTTGCCGGAGGTTCTTCTCCCATTTCTGCTTAGAACCAAGGCTCCCTTCTGCTTGTGCTAGCAACAAGGATACAATAGGCAAGGGAACAATAGAATTTGCATGGGCTTTGTTGAGACTCCTAATAGCAAGTGCTAAGTATTGCGAATTACATAACTGTCTGGCAAGCTCCATACATACAGCACCTGCGTTCATTAATGACTAAATCAGAAACGTGAAACAAATCCACCAGCCTATGTTCCATATTTATTCAGCATTTATCAGTAGGAACTAGCCTGCCTTCACACAAGTAAGGAAACTCAGCTGTAAAATTTAGGAAGCACCTAGCAAGTAGCACCCTGGCGAAGTTATGAGACTGGTTTTGTTCATTGTTTTCATAATAGCAAACTGAAAACACCAGAGAAGTGATCCTTAACTTCTGACCAAGTTCCAACAGGAAATAATTTTATTGGTGTTTTCAAGACATGCCATTGTTTGGGATTAAGGCTTCATTGTTGTTGCTACTTCAAGACATGCCATTAATGTTTTATGAAAAACCATAATCCCAATATAGAGCAGTACAAACTTGAAATTACGTCTTTGTTACCAACTTGACAAATATAAAGTAGGGATCTTTCACACGTATTAATTTTAGTGATTTAAAAAAAGTCAAATTAATCCGATATTTACTAAATTTAAATCGGAACATTTTGAATTGTAAGTAATATCAATAGGCATTCAAAAGTAATATGCTAATTTTGATGAATACCGTGACAGAGAAAAAGACAGCTGTCAGCACCCGCCAGAGAACAAGCTTCAGCAAGGGATTCTTCAGCAGATGAAAACTCCTTATTCCATAAAGATACTAGACCAAAAACCAAATTAAACACAGCCATCCACATATTCCATGAAGTCTTCCATTCTTTTGGGCATTTCTTGAAACTAAGGTCGAAGATATTTGAATCAATTTGAATGTCATATTGGGATTCCATGATTTTAAGACATATCCATCCCATATGATAATCTGTCCTAAGTTCCAGGCATCTTATATACTCTTCCTGAAGCTTAACAAGGTTGCCTTCAGCAGCATACGCTCGACATAAGAGCAAGTGTCCAAAAAATAGGTAGTGATGAGGGAGGGAAAGTGACACGGCATTTTTAGCATGCTCAATACAATCAAATAGATTTCCACCTTGCAAACAAATTTCAGACATACAGAGAAGAAGCTGAAACTTTTGATATTGATATGACAAGCTTCCTCTAGAATATAGCTCATTGGAGAGTTGCACTGATATTAGTTGCTTTAGCATATGACGAAGTTGCTGAGGGAATCTCTCTTCACGTGCCTTCTGTAAAATATTAAGTATAAGCAAATATCGTGCATTATGGTTCCATGGTTCTTGACGCAAGTATCTGCATATAAAACCAGAACAGGAGAATCACATATATTGCACCTAATATTTTCACTAGAGATGAAGGAAAACTTGGCAGTCAATAAGAGGAGCCTATCAAATCCTGCATTTATCTAAATTATCATATCACATACACAATTTAAGACAGGACCTTATTATTTACCAAAAGACAACAAAACTAATATACAAATCCTAAAAAGATGAAGAACATGCAGCTTTCTTGAAGATAACAGGTAAAAGTTACCGTACTTCAGCAGTTCTTGAATGGCTTCAGATCCATGCAGACACTGATAACCACATGTTGGGTAAAAAAATTTTGGGTCTTTATTTCCAATTGCATAGCAAGCAACTGCTCCAGCACCAAGGATCTCATGTCCTGACCTAAAAGCTACTTTACTGGTACCGTATGGAACATCTATGACGCAGCACCTAGTTGCTAGATGAGTGTCTTTCCATTCTTCAGTGGATAGCAAAAGGTGACCCAGCAAATTCCTGATCCCATAATGTTTTTATCAGAGGTACAACAATTTTACATTTAAAAGCAAAGACAGTATTAACAAAAACTTAGACGATCAACTACAAAAACACAAATTGTACTGTATAATGTTCTAGCGATGTGATCAATGTGAATGCACTTACACAAAACATCCAGGGACGGAAGTTTCATATTTGGCTTAAAATTAACCTCTAAAACAAATAAATTATGATGAAAATGCATGTATACAATAAGGCCAGAAAGCTATTGAATTTCTGACAAGTTCATCTATAACACTATTAAACAATCGCATGTCAAAAATTGAAAACTGAAGGAAAAGTCAATAGAGGAATTAATAGGCTCAATATTGTTTGAGTCAATTAGAGTTTCATTTCCTTCAAAAGTCTTTTACTCATCAACCTATCCACTCTGTCCTTATCTAGATCAAAGAAGAAGTTCACAAAGAATGGAATCATAATTTATATTCATCTTTGTTCTATCAGTTTGATTTTTCTCATTCTCCTGCTAACCATATCATCATATAATGATCAGATGAACTAATTTCAGCGAGTGCTTAAACAGTTTGATCAGTAGGTCTAAGCCAAGTGGCAGAAATCAGGATGTAGATGCATATGAAGGCAGACAAAAAACAGCAGATACTGGAATTTTCATCATTGCTATTTATGGTTCTTGTTTCAAAAGTCAATGTCGTACCTCATCAATTTGCTGTTAGGATACTTATGAAGAGCTTTTTTCAGATAACTAACTCCACTTTGAAACCCAAGGCAAGATTCAGATCCATGTTTAACCTGCACGACCCCACAATAGAATTTCTATAGTTAAATTCAGAATAAGTAAAAATGTGCTGCTCTCACCACACAAGATCTTCAAGTTTCAATAATAAAAGCAAGGAACTTACCAATTTGTCAAGTGCTATTAGATGGTGCATTCCAGTGACATCTTCATGAGATTCAAGTGAGTACCGACTGCTTGAAACAACTGACTCAAGTCGATTACTCTGATCAAGAGCATGTATAGCGGACAGTATAAAGCTGACTTTTGAACTCTGAAACAGTTCTTTTGGCAATTCCAAAATGCTAGTAATTGCTGAATCTAGTCCGCAAATGCAATAAAACAATCTGCATAAGAAACTAATAGCAGCTGCTGCAGATGCTCGCTCCATTTTAGGTACACTAGCAGCCAGATTTCTTGCCACAGAAACAGCAAGGTCACTCTTACCAAGTTGCCATAAGGATAAAGCATATATCTGCATGCCTTCAGCACCAAGCATACCTTGAAAAAAAAAAATCATATTGCATGTCTAAAAAACCACTCTCCATATCCTTTTTATGCTTCTAAATAAAGAAGCAACAGTATGATCTATGTTGGAAAAAACTGAGTTCTAAGATTTCAAAAAACAAACGAGGTCTCTTTCCTAAGTTTTATAACTCATTTATCCAGTTGTTGTATCACACTTCATTTTACATCATTTTATAAATTTACGGAAGTTTGCATAACATGAAAGAGCATTAAACCAGAATTCTGAAACCATGATACATCGGGGCACATGTTCCCTGCAATATGACCCAAAAAGTAAAATTGACGAAGCGAAGACTGCATTATTCAAGAAAAGATGCATGTGCTAGCAAACCTTCTTTCTTCAAATTTTCACATTCATGAACTGCATCTGCAACATAACCCGCCTGCACCAAATGATAAAGATAAGATAAGAGGAGTTTGTACATATATATTATGCACAGCAAGAGCAGATTGAGTAACTTATAAGCATTTCTATGGGTCTAAGACAAGCTTAAAAGAACAAACATAAAAACAGGGCCAATAAGCTTACCCTACAAAGAGATCGTGCCAAGTTAACTGCTATATCTCGGAAATGAGATTTTGAAGCATTGTCTGGTGAAATGTTGATTGCATAGGTTGCTAGCCTATACGAAGCAACAGCAGCTTGATACTCGCATCGCGCCTCACAAACTAGCCCTTTCAAATTATGAGATTCTGCATAGTGAGGAGCACGCAGAACTGCCTGCTGGATGGCTCCAAATACCTGTATGATACCCAGTTATTAAATAAACTTGTTCCAACGTCCCTGTTATCAATTGGGTCAAAGAAGAAAGGATGGCTGTTCTCTCTTCTAGAGGGACTAAATTATGCTTCATCGTAAATTATCATACCTGTGAAGATGAAAGATGACCTGAGAGCAAAGCAAGCTTAGCAAGACCAATTTGGAACTCTGCAAGCTGCCAAACGCCATGCAAGATATTAGCTGATTATCAACAACTAAACAACAACCGTATGATACCTTTTCCTACTAATCAGGCAAGAAGGAAAACTTAAGCTGCACATATATTAAAAAATAGGTACAATTGATATATTAAATGACAGTCTCCTACTCAAAACATATTCCAACAAGACAAAAACAGGGATAAATCTTTACAGGTAATATCTGCACAGCTCGTAAACAGCTCTCAAAAGCATCATCTGCAGCAGGCTCCCTAAGGACCAATTATTATTTCAACATGAATAAAACTTCAGGAATAATACGTAAAAGAAATATGTATTTCACCTATGAGAAGAACTTAACAACCTACCTAGCATGAGCATCAGCAGCCATTCCTGCCCATGGTAATGCAAGTGAGGGATCTAAACTTCTGGCACAATCAAATGCCTGTCTTGCCAATATCTTCTCACCTTCTTCTCTATAAAGCTGTAGAAACAACAAATTTAGACACCTATAGGTAAATCAAACAGAAGTGAACCACCACTCCAGAGAAACATCCAGAAAGTTCCATATTGGACAAGTGAAACCAGAAGAATTGGGAGACGAGCTAAAGAACAGAGCAAATATAATATTAGAAAAATTAATTACTATCGAAAAATAGTGTACTGACAAGAGCATCTTTAGATGAAATCCAGCACAAACAAAGGCCACACATATAATATCAAGCACAATCATCCTGGAATAGGCAAATGATACAGAAACGACGGACCATGGACTGCTTATATTAAATGCACTACAACAGCGAAGTGCTATTGACATGGCACAAATATGAGAAAGAAATAGTGTCATGAATATTACAGCATATGAAATCAAGCCAAACAGAAAATGCAGGAAATATATACAACTAAGAACCTAATGTCATTTCTAAAACATAAAATAAGTCCAGCCAAAAGATCAAGAACATTGACTACTTATGAAGTCTAAAAGATATCCACATTACAAAAACTGAATGCATTTTCGAGAGAAAAAGAGAGATAACCCATGCTATTTGGGACAGTACCTTCCCAAGATAAGCCCAAGCAACAGCTGACGATACATCCAATTGCAAACCCCTAATCAAGGCATGCTGTTTCATTGCACTATGACCAGATAAACATCCTAGTGTCACCCAGAACTCATAATTGTCACCCTCAAGAAACAAGGCCCCAAAGACCATCTTCTCTGAAAGCTGCCTGGTGAAAAAGATAGTTAGTTAAGATAGCAAATGTATGGTAACTCAAGAAATCAAATATAAACTTTCATACCAAGGATATATTTCATGCCCATAATTCTCATTCATAGAAGAAATGAGATCCAAAGTTATTGCAATGTCGATATAGAGATTAGCTTGCCATGGGGACAAGTGCAGAGCCCGTTGATAAGACCTTCTGGCAGACATTGCAGCCAAACGACAAGTTTGCTTCCAGGAAGAGATTGAATCATCAAAAGCATCTGCACCAAATTCCGTATCGCAGTCCCCTTCCATCCAGGGACAACATTTTGCATAAGTGTGCTAGCAAGAAAAGAAACAAGCGTCAATTATTCATTAATGCATGAGAACATGATCATTCAACGTGCTACAATTGAACACTGATGAAACAAACAACAAGAAGCAAATTCAAGTAACCACTTCCCATGTAAGAGATGTGCATATAGTGCAATTAAGGAAACAAGCTACTTTTCAGCTAGTCAAGGAAATCCCCTTTTATACTGACAAGATGGTTCTAGTGACACTTGGATGCATGCATAAGTAGATTCTTCAATCAAATTTGTCCTGAATTGGAGAATCAAACTGAAATTGTATGTCAAATTAGTCATATATGTTTACCAAAAAAATATCAACACATGAAAAAGACTGATAGTGGTATTGGAGTGTCAAAAATAGCATGGCTAATGAACTCACAGAATATCATTTTCCAGTGACCACTTCAAAATTTGAAATGGCTCATAGTTGATAGCTTTTAGATACATTTGAAGAAGGAATGTACAAAATTTTTAAATAATTGAGTGTCATTTTTTGAAAACCTTCAATGTAAAAGGCAAATCCCCTGTACATGGTATGAGTAAAAATGGATATCAAGTCTGGCATGTGGCATTTAGATAGGCTTATGGATTAAAAGAAAAAAGAGAAAGAGAATCTTACTTGAACGTCACCATGCAACTTCCAGATACATGAAACATTTCCAGCCAACTCGGCATTTACCTCTGCGACTCTCCCTGCATCCTGAAATCATTTAGGAAGCAACAGTTAGGTAATGTCATTGTGATGTGAAAAAGCTGTCGCAAACTAAAAAGGAAAAAAGGGAAGACTGTTTGAGACATGATGTAGACCAACTTGTAATAATGACGCTCCCCACTTGAATGCGCCCAAATTCATACATTCCTTTGACAAACCTAGGAGTCCAGAAGCTAGACCATAGTTTGCAGATACATTTTGAGTTGAAATCTCCAGAGCTCGCTGAAACTGTTCAACTCCCTAAAAGCAGAAAGACCATATTATAGCATTTGTATGAACAGAATCTGAATAAATCCAGAATTGAAGCTAGAACATATTATAGCAAGTTTAGTGTTAAGTTTAGCATATCCGTTCTGACAAATTCATAAATACAAAATTCATCCAAAGACTTGCACTGCCTGAGTTTCCAACCCAAAAAAAGGGTCTAGTTCCGTGAGAAAGAATGATCAGAAGTTACTCAGTATAGTAAGATTCAGTATTTAAAACATCGAACCCCGATCATTTCTCATTCAAAGGTTTCAATAAAAAGAAAGTAGAAAAGTACCAGAATAAAATAAAGTATTAATACCTTTCTGAAGGAACCGAGCATCAAGAAGATATTTCCACTTTCAATCAAAGCAAAAACTCTCGTATTCTCCAACTCAATGGCTCGCCCATAGGACTGGTTAAAATTTTGTAACAAGATGGTAAAGAAGGACCCAAGTGAGCACCTCATCCAGAATCAAAATTCAACTGCCACATGGCTTACAAACTAGGACAGAAAACGGTAAGAAAGGAAACAAAACGGTTACCTTAGTAGCAGCAGTAAACATGCCAAGTCGCTGGTAGGCAAGACCCAGAGCCTAAACATTTGCCATTAATAGTGCAAAGCAATACCAAGAAACATCAAAAACACTTCACATGAATGCGTGTGTAGTAAGTAAGGGGGCGGGAAAAAAGGAATTGGAGAGAAGTAATGTGTTCTTACTTCCCATAAATCAGCGCAGGTGGGATAACCTCTAATGGCGTGTTGAAGACTCTGAACGGCTTCAGACCATCTGGTGTGATGAAGATGGAGGTAACCCAATCTCCGAAAAGCCCAAAAGGCCCTTGGAGACTTCTCCAAGGCTTCCACGCACACTGCCAGCTCCAAGCTCTCCCTTCCAGAATTGTCCAACAGATCACATAGGGATTCCCCAGATTCCGAATCATCAGGGTTGAGAGTGATGGCCCTCTGATAACACTTGATAGCCCTTTGAGAATCGGCACCAAAGTAGAAATGCCCCAAATATCTGAAAGCATCTGCATTGTCGGGATTCAATTTGGCCGATATAACGAAATGTTGGGCGGCTTTCTCCTTGATTTCCTTGGATTCACCTCCTTTCTCCCACAACAACAGTCCCTGCATAATATACACGAACATGAATTCCTCTTGAAAAGAAAAATTTCAGAGAAAATAGTATAGAGTTATAAGAATCGAGAGAGAGAACTACGAGATCAAAACGAAGAGAGGGGTCTTCAGGATGGGCTTCCACTGACTCCTCCAAGTACGTCAACTGAGCTCTGTAGTCTTCATCTTTTTCTTGTTCCTGAAACAAACCCGCCATTAGTATTTAACTTCAATCAACAGAATTTACCTAAAGAAACGACGGATGGAGGGAAGCCGGAAATAGACGGTTTTCAACATAGTCTGGAATTTTGATTACTGAGACCGCTAAGCTAAAAAAAACCCTAAACCGCCACGCACCCGCTCTTTTTGAGTTTTTTTTAGGTGTTCGCTGGGCCACTGTATCCTCTCTACTCTCCAAGCAAACATAATTAATTTTAATTTTAATTAATTTAGTTAATAATAAAGTTCGTAGTCCTTACCAGTTGATACAAAAAGCCGTTAAACGAGTCTGTCTGTTACTCCTTTGAAACAAAACCGTTTAGATCCGGCCACGTTAGCTTCTGGACCCACATCTCTGTGGGTCGGAATTCACCAATTTATAGCACTAATACATAATCGTGCCAAATTTTTAATTAGTAATAAAATAAAAAATTAAATTTGATGTTGATTTTAAATTGAGTATTAAATACAAAATTCAGTTTTTTTTTTTCTATATTTGTTTCATGTGAGCAGCGTAAAAGTTCACTTAATGCTGTTTGAAACTTCAGAAAGTAATTTTAGTAATCATATCTCATAAATGACCGTTTATTTGGTATATGTGACGGCTTTTTGTCAAGATTATGTGGGGAGATAATTGTAATAAGCAAAGATTTAGAGAGCTTCATTATAGTTAATTAATTAGATATTGAAATGATATTAGTGCCTAGCTGAGATGTAAGTTGATGTGGCATATTTAGCTGACTGTGCACCACATCAGCAGACAATTCTTAATGACGCATAAGTAAAGATTTGCGCATAAATTCAGATTGCGTATGCAATTCTTAATGACGCATCGAACACGCAAGATAGGCATGCCGGGCTAATCACGAGACTATAAACTATCGCTTAAAATAATCTATATGAGCTGCCCATCAACTGTACTGAAGATATCGACTCCGGAACATGCATTTATTTAGGGCTTCTTAGACCAAAGCGGTATATTTTTGGATTTTTGGTGCTGAAAGCTCCAGCACAGAATGGCCAGAAAATGATTTCAATATTTTCCGTAGCTTAATAAATGAAATATTATAGTTTCGAAATGGTGTGTCAACCAACAGATAGAGAGATATTGAGTCAAAATTGTCGAATGCTTTTGGAGTTGCACCGATTTTACACATGAATTTATGTTGCGTATGCAATTCTTAATGATGCATCGAGCAAGCAAGATAAGCATGTCGGGCTGACCATGAGATCCCAAACTATCGCCAAGAAGATTTCATACAAGCTGCCGTCAAACGTATCGAAAATATCAGCTCCGAAACAGGCCTTCATATAGGGTTTCTTAGACCAAATGGATATACCTTTGGATTTTTTGTCTTGAAAGCTTTCAATGCTTCCTACAAAGTCAATAGATTAAATATTATAGTCTTGAAATGGAGTGCCAAGCAATAAACAGAGAGATTTGGGCTAAAACTATCGAATGCTTCGGAGTGACATCGATTTTGTACGTGAATTTATATTGCGTATGAAATTCTTAATAGGGTTTAGGGTTCAGATTGCTTTATCTTATGGTTTAAATACAAAGAAAGGCCTCATTGCAGTCTTATAGATCTTGGCGGAGAAACTTTTGATGTTTCTATTTTGAAATTTCAAATGGTGTATTCGAGGTTAAAGCAACAAATGGAGACACCTTCTCGGGCGGGGAAGAGTTTGATAATGCCTTGTTGGATTTATTGGTGAGTGAATTCAAAGCAACTGAAGGTAGCAACATGCCATTTATAACTGCTAATGCATCTGGAAGAACAATTAAATTGGTTTGGCAGCCTATTATTTCTACTCTTTTGGATGCAATAAAAACATTCATGTTTGTGGTGTCTTCATCTATTATGTATGTAGACTTGCTCCTGGACAGCTTCCCTCTGCATACACTTTCTGGTTTATTTCGGATACACTTTTATGGGCACTTGTTTATCTTGCAATTGCAGGTTTTGTATATTTTGTTGTTCATACTTATTGCAGTTAACTATGGCCATTTGTACCACAAAGTGCAGCACTTTCATATGATTTAGTGTCTGGAAATGAAACAAATGACAAGATCTTGTTTTACTGGGTAACTATTGCTGGTTGCCAAGCAAATGTGGGTAGGCTTTTTGTCAGGATTCTGTTAGGATATAATTGTAATAAGTAGTGGTTTGGAGAGCTTAGTTATAGTCAATTAATTAGATATTGAAATAATATTGGTGCCTTGCTGAGATGTAAGTTGACGTGGCATATTTAGCTGATTGTGCAACCACATCAGCAGGCATATTATATATATACTCATGTATCGAGATGTTTAGAATTAATGAATGAATATACAAATCCTCTCTTCCCTATTTTCTCTCGTTTCCTTTCGCTATTCTTCTATTTTCTCTTCTTTTCTCATCTCCCAAACACTCTTATGCTCTTCTCATATAATAAGTTAGGATCCATGATCTATGATCCTAACATTTTTCTTTAGCTGTTATTACTATAGATACTATGATCTATCAACTATAAATATTATTACTAAAATCGCTAAAGAAAATAAAGGGATAGGACATCTGGTAATTGGTCACACCACAGGACCATATACAGCTGCAAACAACTCTTTCCATTTTCTTTCCTTGTAGATGGTGAAAAATCATTCTTTACTTCTGTACAACTTTGAGTTGAGACACTTATTATTTTTTTCAAAAGATAAAAAGAAAAAAAAAAAAAAAAAGAATATCAAAGACCACATTACATTAAATCCAACAAAAAAAAAAAAAAAAAAAAAAGAGGAATATCAAGACACATTACATTATCCATCCTATGTAAACAAAGAGAAAGCAGTCAGACAATTATCTTCCTTTGGCTAATTCTCCATGAATCACATACCTAAACGATGAACTTTGTGGTAACCAATTGAAGTATTTGTCGAGCTTTTTCCTCATACATTTTCTCACAGCTTTCTGTTGCACTTCTGTGAGACACCCACCTATTTCCTCCAAGAGTCCAGACATATCCATTGACATATCCTTTGCAAAATAACAGAGTATTTTTGGTAGGAAAATCTTTGTTTCCTTATGTATGTACACACTAGCTTGAATGAACTCTGCTTTGGCAACCTTCAGTTCTTGAAAGATATTCTTTGCCGTGTAAACTCGAACCTAAACTCAAATAGAAGTCGTATCTCCACTTCAAACAAAGAACTAGAGCAAATAAACAGAAAACTTACTTCAACTCTAACAAATAAAATCAATAAAATGTCCAGAGAAATGCTCTTACAGCAGGGTCAGAATACGCCCCTGAGCAAAGCGCAAAATGAACAAGTGGCTCTGGGTATTCCAAGGCATAGACATGACTGCTGCTCCCTGTCTTTGATTTCCTTCCTGGAGAAAATAGTGTTTGCAACCACTGCATTCATTTGGATTAGGCAATAAGAAAATGGAACTATATAGAAATAAGTAAATGGCTTTCTTTGTATAGAATATGCATGAATAAATGTTTAGTTCCTGAACTCTACTGCCAAATATATTTCACAAATGGAAGAGTATTTTTAATCAGCATCATTTCCTTAACCCTCAGCTGTTAAATATTAATGCAACAGTTCATTTTGAAATTAGCTTTGGAATCCTACCACTAATCTCAAAATTAATTTCACACATCTACACTATGCATTCAAAACAAAGGTACACATGATAACCATATGAGTTTTATTTGGATTTAAAGCATGAGGCATACCGGTTCTGAGTAGTGAGACCGAATCCCAAAAATGGAGTTTTGAATGATACAGGCATTTATGCATTGTCCACCAATATTATATGTTGCCTGAAATATGAAAATTACAGTGATATAACTATTGAACAAAAATTTTAAGTTAAACTAAATAATTTTAAGAAAAATTCTTCACCTTCAAAATCGAGCCTCCTTTTACACGATTACAAGTTCCATAAGCTAAATATGCCTGCCAAGGAGATCTCATAAGCACAAAATTGGCATGTATTTGCAAAAATGCAAATGGTAAATTCAATGTGAAGCAACCTTGGAGGGTAATTTCAATGCTACATAAAGTTTGCCATGGGAGTTATAACCTAAATTGCATAAATTTTATCTTCTGACTCCTCTCATTGTATGGAGTTCATATTGTCCAAAAGAAAGTTAAAATTGTGTGGAAGTGTTGGCATTGGCATAAATTTCTCAGAATATTGTTTGCTGTTTGTTTGAGCAATTTCCTTGAAAGCAGTCCATTTCTGTCTATAAAGTAACTAAGCCAAAGTCAAAGAAGCTTTAAATTTCTTACATACATGCATGACTAATGCATTATGAATGTTGATCCAGAAAGCAAGCCTCTCTTCACGCTTCATCTTGCTTGGATCCACCTTCTCAAGACCTCGAACCAGTGACCTACACAGCTATGAAACAAATGAGAAATTATGCAAAACAAAATAGGTCATTCTTTTTATAAGGGAAAAGATAAGGACTTCAGGGTTTTTTTTATATCTGATGTTTTTTGCTAATGGTGAGAAATGAACCAAAACCCTTATCTCGTGGATTCTATTTGTTCGAGCTGTATGGTAGGACATAATCCCTTCTATGATCCTTGGAAGGATGGGTTACAGTGAAATCAATGCAGTCACACATGCAAGATGCAGAATAGAATTGTTAGGTATTTCTGAACCACCTGAAATTTTTTAGCATTACAGCAGCATAATTGAAACTATCATCATCCAAATATATCTTCATAACTTCCACCATCGCGGCATATGGTCCTCCCCCCTCTTCTTTTAACCCTTGACAACGCAGTATGGTATCCTCACTATATTGTGGACTCCAGTTATCACAGGGATTGCGGGAAGAAAATATACTGGAGGATGACAAAGATGAAGGAGGAGAAGATGGCAAACCCCCGCTGCTATGAGGGGGGTTGGCAAGTCTGCAGTAAATAGAAGATATGCATTTCAATATGTCTTCTGAGAGTCCATCTGGAGTGCGGCTGTTGACTAAGCAAGAAGAACCAAGATGATCTGCAAGGCTGCGACGACCTGAATTGGCGTTCTTCTGGTCCTGATCACATGTTAAGTTTCAGATACAATCACACATAAAAAAAAAAAAAAAAAAAAAAAAAAAAAGGCTGCGTACGACCTGGAATTGGCGTTCTTCTGGTCCCTGATCACCATGTTAAGGTTTCAGATACAATCACACATAAAAAAAAAATAAAAATAAAAAAAAAAAAAAAAAGAAAAAAGGTTTTGATTGACCTGTTTGCAATATGAGCAGAGATTTACACCTATAACGAGATGTAAATATGCACAGACAGCTCTGTGCTCGTGTATTGTGATTTAATGGAAAAATATTTTAAGCAAGAAAGTCATTGCATAGTTACCCTTGTAGATGTTGAATGTAAGCATGAACTTGCAACTCTGCCTGATCTGAGGCTCGGGCCAGCCAGGTGGTGGAGGTGGTCAGCTATATTTTCTGCATTTGGTTCATGGATAAACGAAAACTGGGCTTTCTTCTCTACATACATGGTTGATTTTTACAATTAACTTGGATGTGTGATCTTCCTTGTATTCCAAATGGTTTAGGGGCATTCTGAGAAGGGACAGGCTCAGGTTGTTGCTTTTCAAAAGCTATCCGATAGAGTGACAGAATGAAGATACGCTCCAAATGCAATATTTCAAGCTTTCGAAGCTCTGTTTATGCAATCTCCTTCCTTCAATGCATCAGAACACTGCCATCTGCATTTAGGTAAAGGGACCAGGTATTGAACATTTACGGACTCAGGGAAAAAACTTGAATGAAAAGTAATAAAAAGATTAGGGGAAAAAAACAGATGGCCAGAACATATTTGATTTGCAAAAAAAAAAAAAAAAAAAAAAAAAAAGAAAGAAAAAAAGGTGATTGACTGTTGCAAAGAGCAGAGATTACACAAAGAGATGTAAATATGCACAGACAGCTCTGTTGTATTGAAGAAATTAAGCAAGATAGTCATGCATAGTTACCCTTGTAGATGTTGAATGTAAGCATGAACTGCAACTCTGCCGATCTGAGCTGGCCCAGCCAGGTGGAGGGGTATTTCGGTCATGATAAACGAAACTGCTTCTCTCTACACATGGTTGATTTACAATAACTTTGGATGGTGATTCTTCCTTGTATTCCAAATGGTTTTTAGGGGCATCTGAGAAGACAGGCAGGTGTTCTTCAAAAGCTATCCGATAGAGTGACAGAAGATATCGCTCCAAATGCAATATTTCAGCTTCGAGTGTAGCAATCTCCTTCCTCAATGCATCAGAAGACTGCATGCATTAGGTAAGGACCAGGTTGAACATTAGACTCAGGAAAACTGAATGAAAGAATAAAAAGATAGGGGAAAAACAGATGGCAGAACATTATTTGATTTGCTATTTGTAACATGGATTATCAAAATGCAACAAATTATTTATAGTCTTCTTTTTTTCATTTTTCTTCCTTCAGTGATAAATCATTTTCTGGTTTTTCTGATGACAAATTTTGAGTATAAAGCTCTTCCTTATACTCAGATAGCGACACTCCACTTATGCATATCAATTACCAAGGTGTAACAATCATCAGATACGATTTACTTATCCAAATTGGGATACACTAGTACATAGTCTTAAACCTTCAGAGCCGGAGTGCCATTACTAGGAATAGATACAAATGAGGAACAGCCCGCTGTATTCTCACAGTTCCAATTCTGGGAAGTTTCACAAGATAGTGTATTCTCTGACTTTACAATCTGTATTAAAACATGAAACAGATAAATGGATCAATAATGTACTTGAAATCAGGATTTCTCAATCGCGTATGAAAAATTATCGAGTCTCCGATATTCAGAAGCAAGGTAAACTCGTTATGATCCTAAATAGTAGTATACAGAGAGACATCCAAGGTTAGAAAAAGAGAAATGTAGCACAGATTTAGTATAGGAGGTAGAGACCAAATTATCAGAAGAATACAGGAGAAGGTGATATGAATATGACATGTGATACAGCATGTCCACAAAAAACATTTAAAACAAACAAACGAACAAAAGATAGAAAGTGAACCATTTAAGGAAAATTGACTTTTATTTTTTTTTTTTCTTTGGTAATTAAGAATCAACTGGTTTTGTAATTGATTAAAGAGAAAAACCACTTTCCTTGTGCTGAGATTTGAGAGCAAGCCTATATTGAAGTAAAAATTCAAGTGCAAGTGGCAAAGGACACGAAGTACAGTGAGATCCCTCGCACTATTTACACTATCTAGATAATTCAAAAGTAGATATATTATTGCAGAGAAAGCGCCTGGACTGAAGAGGAGAATAGGTCTTGAAGTAGTAGTTTACTGAGAAAACAGCATATTCAAGCCTCCTTGGAATTTACTTGTTACAGATAACAAATCCGTGAGAATCATAACTGATATTAAGCAATGCTATGAATACCAATGAATAGTTAATCAAGTGAGATTAAGCAAAAATGAGAAGAAGCTTACAGAATCTGGAAGAGCAGATAGCTTAGGAGACACAGTGAGGATTTCATTATCAGATAAGCTGCAAGTAAGGCAAGAGAAAATCACAAAACAGAAAGTCTTATTGTATATCAGTAACAAAATGCAGCGGAAATAAGAAAAGGGCTTACCTGAGGTGAGGAAAAGGAGTAGAAGAAGAATAGGGAGAGTGGCAATTAGCAGCCGGCATCTTCTGTTCCTGTTTTGTCACAAGAAAATCTCCTAATGCCACTGATCACTCACCATAAACAAATAGCCAAAATAAAATAATGACACACAAGTAAACAGTGCAAGATGGAGACCACATCTAACTGACTGAAATAAATAAATAAATAAAACTAATACCCTGGTCAAAACTGCAAACCTATTAATTAATTCTTTTGTACTAAAACGCTTGGAAGTTGCATATATCGCCATCACCAGTTCACCATAAAACTGAAAACTGTAAAGAAGGGGAACGCATAAGCAGTCAAGAAACTGACATTTGCCAGTAAAACGACGAAGAGAATGGGTAACCGTACAAAGCAAAATGCGTTTACTCGTCATATCCAACCAATCCTCCAAAGATGCTTAAAAACAAATGCTAGTAGTACCGCTCCGCTAACTCACAAAGAATTGATACTGCCAACCTATCTAATACTAATACTAATAATAGTAAGAGGTCACATTAACTGCTATTTAGTTGTGTTAGACATGGAGCGGGTGTAAAATTATTAGGCTGACGAAGCGAAAGCCATAATAATATGGGGAGAGGGTAGGGACAGCCCACCAGCAAGGGTAGAATTGGACATTAAAGACAGCAATTATGAGAGTCATTGAGTTGATGACTGATGACTGATGACAGAGCCCAGATGGAGACCTAATTAACAAATACAATTAATTGCTAATCTGGTCTAAACTCTTTACAGTAGATTTATCGTTAAGCAATGAAATTATAGATTTTCTTTTAGTTATGAGATTAGGTGCTACAAAGTAGACAGTGATGATTACGACGACTTTATAATAATAATAACAATAATAAAAACAAAAAGCAGAGCAGGTATTTTAGTAGTTCTTCTCCTCACCCATCGCACTAATTAAATCCCTTGCAACGCATGCATAACCCCATAATATAATACTACGAAAAGCAATTGGAATTGGTAATTAATGTCCAAAAAGTAATTTTAATAGGAATTAGGAATGGTTAATTAGAACTGGGGGGACCTTGATTATTTATAGCCCACTGCTCAGCTGGAGACAAAGAGAGTGCGATGATATTTGTTAACTTTTGGAATGAAAGAAGAGGAGAAGACGGAACAACATGGCCTTGTTTATCTCAATTGAATTTCTTATTCTCTGCATGCAGTTGACCGGCGAATAAAACGGAAGCATCTTCCCTTCTATGCGCTGTCGGTTGATGGGCCTATTTCTGCCGAATCTTAGATTAGCTATCAAGGCCCATGATTTCTCGGTGGCCCACAAATCCAGTGTATCTATCTGAAATGGAAAATGATTATTAGGTTTAAAAAATAAGCTACTGCTAGTGCTAGGATTAAGGAATTTATTAATAACACTTGAAACTCAATCGATGGTCCTATACGGTTGTAATTTAATTCAAGGAAAGATTGTTCTTTTTGACATGTGGGCAAAAGAGGAAATATTTATTTTGTTGGGTTGCTCTTGTTCAAATACAATAATCTCCAGCTCAATGCTAGGGGAAAAAGGAGGACCACTCACTAGCTATTTGGAATGAAATGACAAATTTCATGTTCAAAAGCCAAGCCCAGCCCAATTGCTGGCTTACTACTCCTTTGACCGCAACGCGTCGGGCTTGGAATTGAAAACCATCCAAGTGGGCCCTTATGTCGGAGAACATGCCACTTTCCCACTCGTGTGCATGTCCATGAACAATTGTAATTAATTATTTTGCCATCTTATCCAGTTTCAACTTCAATGAAGCTAAGCCAACACTACGCATGATGAATAGTAGATAGTATTAGTAGTAGGAAAGGAAGGAAACTGACTAGGAGTGGGAGAATTGTGTAGTGCAGGGGACACGAAACAAACAAACAAAAAACGCACCTTGCTGGATCTCACAATACATTAATTAATAATTATATTCATGTGTTGTACTATATCCTCGTCCTATTCCGACGTAGCCAAATTAATTAATTAAAGTTGCAGTCAGTCTGTCAACGGTCAATTACAAATTTGCGATTTGCATTGGCCGACAATTTGTGGAAGAAGTTGCCGATTTCATGGGACAACTCAGCTTCTACTAATTTCATATCCATCCTACCAAAGAGCTGATTGCAACAACACAGGCATCGATTGGTCTATTTCTCAATTCTTTTCTTCTATAAAACAAACAAAAAATCTTTACAGTAATTGTTTGCTCATTCCATTCTCCGTGGGTTTTGCCTATCACTACACTGCAAAACAGCAGTCAACCTAAAGGCCGCTTCCATCGTTTTACTTGAACCCCGTTATCTAACTTTAATTTCTTTTTCGGACCAGCATATCTTAATCTGTACAGGCATTAGTTAGCGCTTGCTCTTAATTGTTCTCTTTAAGCACCGATTTGCTCTTACTTAATTATACTTGATAAATAAAGTAAAAAGACTGGTACTGTTGCGAATTCAATCATTCTCGATAGTGAACTGTCTACCCAATTAGTTATTTGTTATTCTTTTTAATCAAGCCAATTTGTGAGAAGTAATTACGTCGAAGCATAAATAATTTTAAACCAGAGTAGCGGTAGGAATTGCCTAGTAAACCATTACATATGGTCTTACACTTCAAATCTTGATAGATGAACTTGTTTGTTAACTAGACTTGTCCATTGGGAATATGAATTTTGTTGTAATACTTTAAAGATTGTCAATACAAGATTTCAGGGTTGCATCTGGCCATTTTAACATTTAAGAACCTGAAATAGTTGTTCGATTCTAGAAAATTAAATCGCCTACTCAAGTAGAGCGACGAGGAAGCGATTGATTAAGGCATATTATACATAACCGTGAATAAGGAATTAATATTGATATACACTAGATTACTAGAAGCTTATCTATATATATTTATATATATATGGAAGTGGAATGGTGCTGTCATGATCTCAGGAGGAATATACTGAGTTCCTGGCCAGAACTTCCAACTGGATTAATCATGTGAAACGACTCTGAGTCAGCAGAACCGATGACTCGTTCGAAACTGGCACGTAGATACATGAGGTCCCCATCCTCACACTTAGGTGCCACCGGCAAAACGCCAGCACCAACGGAGACAGACTGCATCATCTTGAGCACTGCCAAGTCGCTCACCGTCATCTGCCTCCTAATGGCAAACCCAACCTTCCTCCCATTACAGTACATAGACCAGACCGGGACGTTGAAGAGCGAGCACGAGCTGGAGCGCTCCTTTTGTCGGTCGCACTCGAGCGCTATACGGAGCAGCCCGTACTGCATCTCCCTTGCAAGGTAGGCAGTGGGAACTGCAAACTCGAGCAGTAAAAGAGGAGAGCTGCGGGAGTCGTCTTGGAGGCAGAAACTCACGCGACCCTTCCTGTAACCGAAGAAAGTGCCGGTTACGGTGGAGGCGTGAGCAGAGTCAGTGTCGCTGGAAACGGAGTCGGAGGGCTGGAATCCACAGCAGGGAACCATGCACTCCACAAGAGACCGAAAGGATCTGCGAAACCGAACTTCCCGACCGCAGTCTACTGAGGTTGGAGCGTCCATTATAGGGAGTGAACCTCTTTGGTTGCCCAGGTCTATCATCATCCTCATGTTTACTTACACTTTACTATTCCTCCTCTCAAGGGCACAAACTTACTAGCTGTATATGTAGTTATCCAGAAACACGTACAGAAAGGAGGGAAAGAAAAAGATGGTAGCTAGGTAGCAGAAGCGAGAGCTGTAATATAATATAGTAATAATGTGTATATGGAAACTGCAGATTAATTATGTAATTAAGAGAGGAGAAGAGAGAAGAATAAAGAGCGGAGTGAGTGGCAAAGCCAATAAATAAGCGAATGTTTAAGAATAAAGAAAAGGAAAAGGAGAGTGTGGGCCCTGTAATCGTGGGCAATAATTCTGCCCACGAGGGAGTGTGGGGTCCAATATTTGAAGCACTTGCGAGTGATAGGACCCCTTGGATTGCGAAAGAATACCAAATATAATATTATTAATCTTTCTTTTTTCTTTCTCCAATTGATTTTTGCAAAATTAATGATATTCCTTTCCTATATGGGTATGTGAGTGAGGAAGGGAAAGACTCGGGGTGCAGTAAAGTGAGTTACAGACAGTGAGTGAGTGAGTGAGTGAGTGAGTGGAAGGGACATCGATCGGGATGGGTATTGGCATGCATGAGCATGCACGAGGCAATGATTAAACCCAATCACTCTGCCCTGCTGTGACTGTCATAAACCCTTTTCCTATTCGAACATATATACTCCCATTGTGCGTCTCTAAATTAATCCAAATTAATTTCCATCCCATAAGGCCATAATAAACAATCAATCGAGAACATGTGTAGCTCGATCGCTCCACCCTTCAGGTAATCACAAAGCAATAATGATTACAATTATATGTGTTGTTAAATAATTCATGAAAGATTAGACATTGACATAATTAATAACTTACTTGAACGTGTAAAAGCATCATTCTAGCTAAAGAAAATTAGCCAAGTGCGTTTGAAGTTCCTATACACAGAGATACAGGGTTTTGGTTGGACCGAAAATAAAAGAAATGCCTGTAAGTTGCATAAAAGAACAAGCCAGGCATAGCATCCATCGTTGAAATGAAATCATTTCAAAAAAAGCTTTTTGGCCCACATTGGCGATCAAGAGAACCAGGTTTTTGCACGCTTCACCGCCCTTTTCCTCCCTCTCTAAATTATTCAATGATTTCATGCCTCGCCTACCACCATTTTCCAACTTCCACTTGTCATAATTAGTATTCTATCCGACCAACAGAGGTGCTTTGTGTGGAAAAGACCATCTGCACCTCTTTGTGTCGACTCAATCCAGGAACAAAACAAAATATTAGGATCCTCTTTTTCTTTTTGTAAAGCAGACCTTGCCCTCTACCTCTTCATCATTCTTTCCTGTTCCCATCATAATTTCTCATATTAAACATAAGTGCGTATATACTAATTAATACAAGCAATAGTTATGTAAGACATTCTCAATAATTAATCTATATTTATGGTGGAGCCACACGTCATACATAGACTTATCGACAAAGATATTCTGGCTACTATGCCCTTTCCATTCAGTGATGCTGATTATCTTGCCTTTTCCATTTGCACTGATCTCTTTCTATTATGACTTCTCAATATATAACTATAAGTGCATATTTATATACACAAAGCAATTCATTGATCATTATTGTTGCTATCTCTCATAATATTTTATACTAATTTCCTTTATTTAATACTCAATTAAAGCAAAAGGCAGCAGCTTCTCCTACTTTTTTTCTTTCAACTAATTGACTCCCACGATCTAAATTTCAGTATATATATGTAGATGAAAGGCAGTTAAAAGATGTACATTACTGCTAGAGATAAGAGTAATTAATAATTAAACACAGTACTTTAAGCTTTAACGATAGATGATGGTTGGTAAAGGGAATGCCAGGCTGTAAATATATCAGCAAGATGGCGTTAAAATGTCACACAAACATACAACAGAAGGCATGAGGGACAAAACTTGAGAGGGGGACAAGCATAGTTTTTGCTGTAAAAAGTAGAGCCTTCTTTAACAACATATCACGCAATAACTACCAGCTAGTGGCAAACCTGTGGGGCAAATAGCTACTCCCTGTTTAGCTTAAAGCTGATTGATTGAAGTTTACGTCAACTATGCAAATTTCAATTAGCAACCCCTTCTCTACTTTCTTACCACCACAGCAAAATCCATTATCTGTGTGTCTGAATTGAATTGAAGCAAAGCCAAACAAAATAGAGAAGAGAGCCCCTTGAGCCTCAACTGTCGCTGTCTGAATTTAGAAATGAAAAACAGAAATATATATATATATGTATCATTTTGTTGTTCAAGTTGAAGATGAAGACCAGATAAATTCAAGAGCCCGCGACTGTCTCCTGTTCGTTATCCCCAACAAAAATGAATTATAATTGGGCTTTTGGCCCACAGTTTAAAGGTATGACCTTTTTTGTATTAATTATTCAATAAGCCCAGAGACAAAAGCTTTCCGATTGGGATGTCTCCCGATTGTCTGCTCGAGAGAAAAGTTTCCCTCCTATTATGGAGACAAGAAGCGTTGCCCCGTTGCAAGGCTTTAGCTTCCCAAGGTAAAAAGATTTCGTTTCAAATTACAAAACAAAGCCTTCAGCGTTAGAAAAAGTCATGTTTGGAAAATGAGAATTCTTGGAAAGCTTGGTATGGTTTAATTTGGTCAAATATTATTTAATCCTATTTGAAAAATTTTCAAGCTTTCTGCACGGTAATAATTGATAGCCTCCAAAGTCTTTCACAATCCAATCAATAAGAAAATTAACAACAGTTGGCTAATTTTAACGGCAGAACAAAGCGATGACTTCTTAGAGATCGTACTGGTTAGTAGAACTAGGACCCATATAATTAACTAACTTCTGCTTTATTTCCAATTTCAGGTATCTTTTGCTCCTTGATAGTGCTAGCTTTGTAGTAATATTTTACAGATCAGAGACTTCCCCTTTTAAGGAAGGGGAGGACTTACGAACACTGAACCGATGAAATAAAAGCTAATTAAGGTGGAATACCATAAGGAGGGTTGTCTAAAACAAATTTTCGTTGTTTTGGATAAAGAAATTAATTAAGGGGATCCTTAATTAACTTGAGATTATATAAAGTAGTACGTATTTTTTTAAAAGAAAGAAAGAAAGAATTCTCTAGTTTTCAGTAATACTATATATGGATGTTGTTCTAAAATATACTAACTTTTATTTCTAAACATGACGAGGTACATTAGATAGGTCGATTACAATCCATGATAAAATTCAGAAATACAATCCATGATACCATTCCAATTTCCAAATATAGCAGCGAGCATAGCGAACGGATGCCCTTGCAAGGAAGTGGGCAATCGTATTAACTTGTCTACGGATGCTTGTATTTTTCTTATTATTATGTTTCTTAATGTAATTTTTCATTTTACTTTAAGAAAAAACAATAGGCAAATAGCATTTTTAATGATCATAAGTTATGAGCACACGTAAAATCTTATAGGCCATTTAATAATCATTAAGTTAAGATTTATTATTGATTTGAAATGGAATTCTAGAACTATTTGGATTAGATAATGAGACAATAAATTATAAAATGAACTCCTTCTATTCTATTTAAATTTGTAAAATTTCTAATTGTATAAAAATTAAAAAAATCGTTAACTTACCTCAATTTAAAAGAAATTATAATTGAATAAATTACTCCTTTATCAATTATTTAAATAATTAATCCTTTTTTAGTGCGATACCAAAAGATGAAGATGGAGTTGAAAAAAATAATATTTTCCTGATTTTCTAAAGTAATAAATAGAATAAAAAAATTAATAGTATTCCATTTTATAAAATCCTACTACCCAGCTCAGATTTTGTTGCAGACTTTTGAGAATAGAGAGGCAATCTGTTTCCATTACCAGAAAAGAAAAGATGTGCATTTGATTTGGAAATGATTGACTTTAAAAACAGAAGTAGACATCTCCCTTTCGTTCCATTAATCAGTTAGGTTGACTTAATTAATCGAATTGATGGAAACATAACATAAAACAGATGGCAGACGGTTAATTAATTCCAAGACTTTTGTACTATTCTTATCTTGAATACGTGGACATTTTGATGAAAACATAATCATCTGACCTTAACGTACGGTCAAGATTAAACCATTGTTTTAAAAATGTTTAAACAAGCAATATTGGATTTGGATATAGGATAAGCACTAAACAAAGAGTAGGAGGTGAATGAACGGTGTTGCTCTTCTTTCATTGGTTGGACTGCATTATTTATTATCAACTGACTAAATTTGCTTCTATCTGTCTCGTTGGAGTATCATCGCCGCGAGCAAAAACACGTTGAAGCTGATTGCTATCAAATTAATCAACGTGGTCGATGCCACCAAATAATTATTTTTTTAAAGGAAAATAATTAAAATAACGGTCGTACGGTATTATGAACGAAGAAAGTCGCAGGTCTGACTTTTAGAAAAGGACAAGGTACGACTACGTACAACCCTAAACCGCTCTGCTTAATCAGACGCACATTGTTTGGAAAAGGGCAAATAAAAAACTAGCGAAAAGAAGGAAAGCGGAGGGAGGAGAAAGTGAGAAGGACGACCACGAAAAATGTTTATGTTGCATGTTTATGTTGCATGTTTATGTAGAATGTTTATGTTGTATGTTGCATGCTAAATCTCAAAAATGACGATGGAATAAATTTGTAAACAGAGTTTTTGATTTTTTTTTAAATAATGTGTAAAAAGATAAAAAAAAAAAAAATTACAGGGTTTGTATGACAACTCACACACATTTCTTTAACTATTATTAATTTAGCATTCTATATAGGACCCATTTTTATAGAATCAATATATGACATTTTTATTATTACAATTTATAATAAATGATAGGAACCAATTATTAATTTGTACCGAGCAAGTCTAAGAACCGAGCAACTAATTAAGACCGAACAATATTTATATTCGTTTGAATAGAGTAACGTTCAATCAAAAGAGTCGTTAAAAGTTATTAATTACTAAGATTCTCGCTCGACGTTCATAGTTAAAATTCTTATCATAAATGTACATAGTCAGTTGCAATTCAAGATGTATTATAAGTACCTGTATAAAAACTATGAAGTACATCCTATCAATACAAAAATAGTGCAATCTTGGCATTTTTCTATAATTTTCTGAGTTTACCCCTATCAATAATCTTGTCCTTTTTTTCCTAATTTTGTCTTTTTTTTCTAATGTAAAAACACTAATTACACTGCGTTTGTATCAAATGAGATAAAAATTTATCCCTCGTCATTTTTTAAGAAATAAGAGAATAGTATAAAAATATAATTACCTTCTAAATCACCAACATATCCCCGTATTATTATCTTGCTCAACTTTTTATTTATTTGATTTTTTGATTGAATTTCCTAACGACCTCCTTACAACGTTGATGTTTTTGTTTTAAAATAAAATTTCAATGCCCCTTCCTATTTCCTTTTGTAATAAAGGTTGGATGCATGCACACGTAGGTAATGGTATCCGCGTTTTGTAGTTGTTTTCAAAAGAATCAAGCTATCCGCGTTCTATCTAGATTAATGGCATCGCTTGAATCTTTCTTGCCTTCACACTTTCCATTTACAGTACCTCATCTTCTCCTTAAATTGATGTGTTTCAGAAAAATGTATATTCAGTTCACACTTTTCAATTGACTAACTGGGAAGGTTTTCTTCTTCTTTTTTTTTTTTTTTTTTTTTTTTTGTTTTTGGAAAAGGGCAAAATAAAAACTAGCCGAAAAGAAGGGAACAGCGGAGGGAGGAGGAAAGTGAGAGTGGGAAGGGGACGCCACGAAAAATGTTTTATGTGCATGATTTATGTTCGCATGTTTAGTTGTACAGCGAGATGTTTAATGATTGGTGTCTGGCTTGCGTATGTTTGCCATTGGCCTAAATCTCAAAAAAATGACGAGTGGAATAAAATAAATTTGTAAACAAGAGTTTTTTGATTTTTTTTTAATTTAATGTTGTAAAAAGATAAAAAATAAAAAAAAATACAGGGTTTGTTATGACAAACTCCCACACACATTTCTTTAACTATTATTAATCGTTTTAGCATTCGTATATAAGGACCCATTTTTATAGAATCAATATATTGACATTTTTATTATTACAACTTTATAATAAAATTGATAGGGAAACCAATTATTTAATTTGTACCGAGCAAGTCTTAAAGAACCGAGCCAAACTATTAAGACCGAACAAATATTTTATATTTCGTTGCAATAGAGTAACGTTCAATCAAAAAGAAGTCGTTAAAAAGTTATTAATTACTTAAGATTCGCGCTCGACGTTCATTAAGTTTAAAATTCTTATCATTTTAAATGTTACCATAGTCAGTTTGCAATTCAAAGATTATTATAAGTACCTGTATAAAAAAATATTGAAAGTAACATTCCTATCAATTACAAAAAATAGTGCAATCTTTGGTCATTTTTTTCTATAATTTTCTGATTTACCCCGTATCAATTAATCTTGTCCTTTTTTTTTTCCTAATTTTGTTCTTTTTTCTAATGTAATAAACACTAACTACAACTGCGTTTTGCTACAAATGATGATTTAAAAAATTGTTATCCCTCGGTCATTTTTTTAAAGAAATAAGAGAAGAATAGTATATAAAAATATAATTACCTTCTAAATCACCAAACATATCCCCGTTATCTATTATCTTGCTCAACTTTTTATTTATTTGATTTTTTTGATTGAATTTTCCCTACAACGGACCTCCTTACAACTTTTGATGGTTTTTTGTTTTTTAAAAATAAAATTTTCAATGCCCCTTTCCTATTTTCCTTTTGTAATAAAGGTTGGGATGCATGCACACGTAGGTAATGGTATCCGCGTTTTGGTAGTTGTTTTCAAAAAGACAATCAAGTCTATCCCGTTCTTATCATTAGGGGATTTAATTGGCATCGCTTGAATCTTCTCTTGCCTTCACACTTTCCATTTAACAGCGTTACCTCATCTTCTCCTTAAATTATGCGCTTAGTTTCAGGAAAAATGTATATTCAGTTCACACTTTTCAGATTGACTAACTGGGAAGGTTTTTCTTCATTCTTTTTTTTTTTTTTTTTTTTTTTTTTCTGTTTTTTTGAATATATGAAAATATCTGTACAGGGGAACCATGGGTTTAAAAGAAAATAAAAAAATTAATCCATTTGACTATTTGAAGATAAAACGGAACTTAGACGTAAAAAAGAACCAACTTGCATTGTTTTTTACAGGGAATAATTATGTTACATTTAAACGGTAGAATTCACATATGCGGCTTTTGATTTTCTTCGGACCATTTTTCTCAAGAGCACCTTGCGATTCTCCTACTTTAGGTTTTTTTTTTTTTTTTTTTTGTTTTTCTTTGGTAATAAAAAAAAAACAAACTTTTAGAGCGAACTATTCCTTCGTCGAATTGGTGGTTTAAACCTGATCCTTAAAGGAACGGTTTTTTTTTTTTTTTTTTTTTTTTTGGTAAAAAAAAAAAAAAACTTAGAGCGATATTCCTTCGTCGATGGTGGTTAACCTGAGCCTAAAGGAACGAACAGCCAATTTGGCTCGTCTGGAAGTATACTTCTGCAATCTTCTAACAGAGCCGGATCTGGAATACCCAACAGCAGGCTGCTGCTGCTGCTGCGTCTTATAATTGAAGGGCTTATCAAAGGTCTTAATTTCATCAATGAGAGGTTGTGATGAGGGGGACTGATCCACAACCAAAACAGGAGAAATCCTGGCCTTTTTACGCCGATGACCTCCCTTCTTGGAGGCGTTTTGAAGAGCTACGCTAGCCTTGACAGCTAAAGCAGCCATATCAGAAGCGCTTAGCCTGTTTTGAAGCTTTGATCTTGGAAGAATAAAATATAACTGATTGGCGTATAGCTGAGCGTTGGAATCCAAGGCAGGAATGTAATCATCATAGGATAAGAAATCAGAGTTGCAGAGAAAGAAAGAAGACAAGGAAGATGGTGAGGAGGAAGACAAGGATGCAGCTTCTGTTTGAAGGACTTGAGAAACAAACACAGGAACGCTGTACTCGTGGAGATTACCATTAATTGACACCACTTTTGCTGTAGATGGAGGGAGCTGATGGGATTCGCCGAGGACTGAACAAGACAAGCAGACACCCATTTCGTTGAATTGAAATGAAATGAAATAATTAACGGTTGCAGAGGAAGTGGATGGAGGAAGGTTATAATCTGGCAGGTGGAGAAGAAGAAGAGAGGAAAATGTTTGCCAATAAAGGGGAGAGAGGGAGTATTATAGATGTGGAAAAGAGTAATGACTTAAGCAAGCCCGTCACAAGCGAATTTCCGTTGGAGAAGTTTCCTAATACACAGCGGACAAACGCTGACTCTGTTATCAATTTAGTTGTGGTTGATTTTTATTTTCGGATCCAACTAATATAAGTTACTCAGCAATGACGTGGCACGCGTTTGTCCTTTTCGCCCACGGGAATCTCAAGTCCTCGTAAACTTACTAATCAAGTTCCGCCCACAGAATGCTTGCTTGGGCTACAAACATGTAATAGTAAAAGACAAAATGTAATAATATTTACTCTCCGTAGAATATTCAACTAACTAACAGACAACGTTTCAACTCATTCAAGTGACATCCATCCCTACGTCACTTCCTATTTTGTTGGGGGCCTTTTTGATTGCTTCCATGAATTATGAATATGATGTCCAAATAAATATAAGTAAAACTCACTGAAACTATCCACAATTTATGTCTACTCCTTTTTTTTTTTTTTTTTTTTAAATAAATATTAATGTTAAAACTCCTTGAAACTATCCACCAAATTTATGTCTACTCCTTTTTCTTTTTATTTTTTTTTGAAAGTTAATGTTTTGCTCCTTAACAATAGCTAATGGATTTTTTTTTTTTTTTTTTTGAAAGTAATGTTTGCTCCTTAACAATAGCTAATGGCACAATTTTTTTTATTATTTTTTAAAGATAAATTAAAATAATAACTTGCCTCTCAATTTAGATCTTACTACAAGTAAGGAAAAAGAAAAAAAGTTCAGGTTAATTGTTATTTTCTAACGCACAGAGACTGTATAGACAATAGCAAACGAGATAGATTCTGAATAAGGGGAGAGGTTTACTAATTCGTATCTTATTCTTAATTATTTATTTATACCATATACGGATAATAAGAAAGAAAAGATATAGTGTTTTACACTCCGAGACCGAGACCGAGACCATATCAATTTGATTCAATTCGGCGATACAAACAAATTTGATTTTTTCATAACATACAAATGGAAATATGGCCCGAACATTCACAAACATTTATCATGGACGAGCAGTAATTCTCGGCGGCCCACCAGCAGCTGCGTAAGGGCCAGCCCAGCCCAGCCCAGCCCGTTGCATTCATATGATCTCCATGTTTTAATATATATATATATATATATATATAGATTAGATGAAAGTTCAACCCAATCTCTAGACCTAATTATCTTTTAGTTTCTAATTTATAAATGTAGATTCTTAAAACCTTAATAAATGTCCAAAAATAAAATCAAGTCATCACGCAATCCCCAACCCCCGCCCGCAGTCCCAAATCAATATCTATATAGAATTATAATTTAAGAGAATAATAAATTATTTTTTACTCCTAGGTAAAAGAAAAGAAATGAGAAAATGATCTGAATTGATAATGAAAATCACTTTAGTTACAGTGGCAGTATTACTTACCCAATCAATTAGAGAAAGAAATATCTGCACATAAATACAAATTCTTGAAATCCCAAAAGGCGAACCAATACAAAATTATATAGTTTTAGTTTTTTTTCATTTTTCAGTTTCCTAAACACTATTTTCTTTTTGTTAACATATAAAAATAAAATATATTAAAATAATAATATTAGATTCCTAAATAAACTCAAATTAACAAATAATATAAAAATCATAATCCTTATGTAACACCCCATTTTTCCTGTGTTTCAATAGTAATTTATCGGTCTATGAATAGTACCACCGGTCTATGAATAGTACCACCGGTCCGAGAGTCGGTATTATTTTTTGTCCGAAAAAATTACTATATATCTTTTATATTTTATATAACATTTTTGGAGCATGTATGCATGGTTTTTATGGGTAGGAAATAAGTAATGAATATTTTTGGAGAATTTAGAATAACAACTATCAATTCTCTTGTATTATTTTCAGGTAGGAATTAGGTTTTTTAGTTGGAGTATTGATACAACGGTATTTTAGTTATCTAACTAAAAAATGAAGAAAAGATATGTGGGTCTAATTTGATTTGACACTAATTTTAAAGGTTGAAGATTATGTTAAACTGACGAGAGAACACAGCAGCGCAGAGGGATTGATGAGGTTTGTGTAGAAAAACGAGAAATGACGAAATGTGTAATGGTAATGGCGAAAGGCTGAAGCCTTATCTTAGGACCATTACACTAATTTAGTTTAGTTTATAAGTATTCGTTCGGTTGTTTAAAAATATCTAAAATAAAAATAAAAATATCTAAAATATGTTTTTTTGAAAACAAAAAGAAAAGGAGGCCATTGGGCATTATGCGGAGTGGGCAGTGGCATCCACCGCCTTATCCGCATCCCACTCCACTAGAATGGCTACATCATTTCTGCCTTGTAAGTTTCTACTTTCTGCACATATTTATACTAGTTGTTTTGTCTTCCTATCTAGCGGTGCAACTAATTACGATTTCTCACATGAAAAAACAAAAAAAGAAAAATAAAAGAGACACGTGTCCAGACACAGTCCTCTCATGGATATAACGTGGCAGTTTCTTATTACAGTGTAAGCACTTCACTAGCAGACGCAAAAACACTCCTTCAGCTGGGCTGAGATTTTCTTTTTCCGTCTCTGTAGAATACTTTGGAAACGTCACCCACACTTTCCTTTCTAATAGGGTTTCTATTTTTCATAAAATTTAAAAAAATAATAAAAAAAAAGACATGGGTAATGGGCCCATCCTCAATAATTTCATTATAAACAAATTGATTGTTTGTATCATATTCCATTATTTTTATATCTTTATTTAATGGAATAAGGTTTATTTAACCTTCGCCAGAAAGAAAATAAAATAAATAAAAAATAAGGATAAGGAGGGAATGGCACAAAGTGGGTGGAAGGGGATGAAGGAGAGTAGTGGACTCGCAGACGCAGCCTTTCAGATTCCTCACGGCTCTTATTTATCATCATCATCATCACCCACTTGTTTTTATTAAATTAATTAAATTAAATAAATAAAAGGAGTACATATAGGGAGCATCTGGAGAGGGACGTCTTTGTTCACACAAGCTTTTCCTGTGATTATTTCAACCTAATCTTCTTCCCAATTCTTTTCTTATTTTGAGATTTACCCCTAAACTTTCCCATTCAATTTTCAATAGGGTACAATTTAGATTTGTTTAGCAATCGAGATGCCTACTTCCTAAATAATCATCCTCTGCGTGAACGCAAACGCAAAACCTAAATTGGATTTTTGCCCTGCCTCCCTCGTACTATTCATCATTCAAAAGGATATAAATACAAATACAAGGGAAAGGAATCAGGAATGAAGAATGGGGGATGGCCCTCAAATGGACCATACTTTGTACTTGTCTTTAGAGGACCGGAGGATATAACTAAGCACAGCACATAACCAATCCATTTGACCATATCCCACAACAAGAATTTGCATCCCTGTTTTATTCTCAGACATCCAAATTTACCTGTCCAGAGCTTCTCCTGTTTGCTTTTTTTTTTTTTTTTGCCAAGGGAAATTTTTTGCATCCCTGTTTTATTTCTCAGACATCCAAATTTAACCTGTCCGAGCTTCTCCTGTTTGCTTCTTTTTTTTTTTTTTTTGGTTCATTTTGGCAACATCCATACGTCTAATTCTCTATACACACTTGACAACTCACATTCCGAAACATCCATAACCAATCGCATAATTAGAGCTCCTCAATCATACTACCATGCGCACAATATAGAAGAGCATAAAGGGAAAAGAAAGACTATTCGACTATTTAAAATATCACTATATATCTGTATGGACAAAACACATTCTTCTGTACAATATACATTCATAATGGCACTCCATTATTACTATCTTCCCAACGAACTAGAACCCCATCTGTACATGACATGCTTTTCAATATATTCTAATTAAGATTTCTAATTCAGAAATTAAATCCCACACTTGTTAATAAAATATAAGGGGACCATTTCCTTACTCTATCCCTAATAGAAGAACACTGCCTTCTCTGCTATTTACACAACATACATACTTCTGTCATTTCTTTTCTTCTAGTTTTTTTAGGCCATCTTTCACTACACACTAAACATTATTGCAACCTCTCCCCCCCCCCCCCCCCTCTCCCCCCCCCCCCCCCCCCCGGGGGCCCCTTTTCTTTTTTTTCTTTGGCCCCTTTTCTTTTTTTCTTTTTTTTTTTTTTTTTTTTTTCAGTTTCCCCTTCGCTATATTCTATTTTTCTTCGTTTGTTTAAACTTAAATTTGTGAAATTGATCTCAAAATGGAGCACGATGAGGTATACCCTTTCTTCTCCTCGCATTGCGGTGATTGTATAAGGGAGGAGTGGATGGAGAAATGTTGGTAGTAGCCTCATCACCAGAGCTATGTCCATCGGATGAATAAATTGAAAGTCCGTCCATTAGGCGGTTGAAAGCATGCGTCTTTCTAATCTTCTTTGGTGTAGAGGACTCATCAGATTCAGACCCACCCAGGAACGGATCCCGATTCTGCTTCCCTTTCAGTGTAAATGTGAGGTCTGGGTCACCCCGTTTCATGCCTCCCAGCTGACAGTAACAAAAAGGGCACTTTAGCCATTTGCACTTAAGAAACAGAGTAGGTGAAAATAGGGCACACAGCAGAGAAACCAAAATGTCAATACATTCAAACACGAAATCGATCAAAGATCACAAAGGGGTTAATGTGTGTGCAATACAAGTAAACGGAAATACCAATACAGCTTCGATTCTTCTCTCTCCATTTTATTTTCTTTTTCAGATACAAAACAGAGTTTAGTGATAGAATAACTCTCTATAATCCTGATTTTTGAGATGAAACAATGTAATTTTTTATTAAAAAAATATTTGAAGAAATTGAAGTCTACTGCGGCAAGCTTGATGTAACCTGAACCGACCAATAGGAAAAAGAAAAGAAAAAAATGGAACTTGTAACTTCAACGCGAAGGAAGCAAGCAAGAAACACTCCAAGAGAGAATTAGAAAAGGGAAAAGGACATTGAAAAAGAGAGAATGGAAAAAAAAAAAAAAAAAAAAAAAAAAAAAAAAAAAAAAAACCTTTGAAAAAAAAAAAAAAAAAAAAAACCTTGCATCCGAGAGAACAGAATCTGAAGGAATCGAGGAGGCTCCTGCAACAAATCTCGCAAGTGTTGGTGACGCCCTTTCCAGGCCTTGGCTGTGGCCGCTCGTTTAGGAATACAATCTTGGCGCTATTGATAATGTAAGTCTGGACGCACGATATATCTATGTACTTCTGTATTTCATTAACCCTCACCACGTTATGGTATGAAGATCGCCTAATCTGAAACAATCCACCAACCCACACTTTCGGTCAACTCATCCAATGTAATTCAACACAGATTATAATAGATCATTCAGAGAATAAGATTTATAAGACAAACCTGAACAACTCGGTGATCTTTGTGATTGACCAAACAATAAGAACAAAGGGCATTACCCATACAGTCCAAACAGAACATATTGCATTCACTTTTATTGGAATCCCCATGAATTGAACAGGGGGTGAAATAGCTCGCTCGAAGCATTGGTTTTAACCATGGCGGACCCAAATCCTGGTTGCCCATTTGCCCATATGGACTCACCTGATCAAGTGAAAACATTAATTCAAGTAAGAAAGCAAAATATAATGAATAAAACATATGCAGAGAGATTGAACACTGAGTAAGAGTGGTGTATAGTAGTACCATGACTTTCTCGATACAAAGCGTTGAGAAATGAAATTACACCAATCTCTTCCCAAGTTTCTTCCTGCTGTCGAGTGTTTATAGCTAGCTCTGCCAACTGAAGTGCGAGAAAAGATTGATTGAATCTGGAAGGAAAGAGTAATTAAACGAATCCTGCATTAGAGACCTAGTACACATGTGTCCAATAGCTGCAGCGAAAACCCAATTAAAAGAAAGAAAAGAAAAGGAAAAATTGAGCATTAGAGGCTCAAACCTTCTGCAAGATGAAAGCGGCGGTAGAGGAGAGAATTGGAGGATAGAAGAACGTTAGAGCACAGCAGTAAATGATGGGCTATGGTATTAGGGAAACACAAGACGGAGAAACCTAAAAAAGGAAAGAAATTTATAAGGCGGTCGCAGAAACAGCACATAAATCAAAAAAAAAAAAAAAAAAAAAACATAAATCAAAAAAAAAAAAAAAAAAAAAAAGAGTAATTGTATAAGTAAACTTTAAGAGGCAAAGGAAACGTGCCCACATTTTATAACAGCGGAATTATATCGACGGGCCTTAATGGAGAACAGCAATTAGGGAGGATTCCACTTTTTATTTTATTATACCCGTCGGATTTACTTTGTCGACTTTACCTTTCCCCGATGGTGAAAAAAAAAAAAAAAAAAAAAAGAGTATTTGTATAGTAATTTAAGAGGCAAAGGAAACGTGCCCACATTTTATAACAGCGGAATATATCGACGGGCCTTAATGGAGACAGCAATTAGGAGATTCCCACTTTTATTTTATTTATACCCGTCGGATTACTTTTTCGACTTTACCTTTCCCCGATGGGTTAAGGCCGTTTGCCCTAATCAACCGTCTGATGGTTGGGTGTGGGGCCCCTTGTTTGATTTGGTTGATTGAACACAAGTTGACGGCCCCTTTTTATTCTTACTTTCACAAATCCCACGTGTGCGACTGTGTGTCAATTAGGCAGGCCGTCACCCTTGTATTCTAGCTCTCAAAAACCCTAAGTCAAACTTTCCTCCGTATATGAACCTGTGATTTTATGGGTCAAACCGCCAATCCTCATGTGTCTAGTGTCATCTAGAGGTTTTTTTTTTTTTTTTTAACCTTTGCCATTTATAACATTTCTCTTTTTAGGGAAATCGTAAATCAAATGTACGTCTTTTTACCTTTGCCAATGATCATTTTGTTAAATTAAGCAAAAGAATTATTAATCTAAATAAATATATATTAAGTATGAGAAATTTTGATAGTAAGAAAGCACGTTTGTTCGCTTCTTACAAAAGAAAGTAACAGTAATTTGTACAGGTGGAAGTTCAAGTATGGTCCATAACTTGGAAGATTTGACCGGGGTTCATATCCTTCTTCCGCCTAAGCCCAACCAATGTGGTCCCCACTTAACTATGTTTCGGACAGGTTTATATAAATATCTTACGATTTGCTCTTTATCCGGATTTTCAATTTCCACACGACTTTTGTACTATATTTCATAATGAACAACAAGTTGAAGTTAATCCGTCACTTGTTTTACGCCTAATTTCTTAGTCTGAGATCGTACACACTACAGTAATAAAGAAGAGGGTTATAATATTTCATAGTATTTGACAAAGTACGTAGTAGCTTGAACCAGCTGGAGTCTTCCTCAAGGCTCAAGTCTCACACCCACAAGATGGCATTCGGCCGCCACAGAATACTCCTTTATCTTTAAATGAATGCAAGCTGCTCCTTGAACATTGGATTAATGAATGGTCAAACAACCCACATGTCAAGACTAGAAACTCACAGTGCTTGCTTGTTCGTGCTGCGTTCTATAGAATATTCTACTCTTTGATTGAGCTAAAAAGTGGTTTTTAACAAACATGTAGTATGAATTTTTAGCTCCACTGATCCATTTTTATTATTATTAAAAGATTTATTAAAGTGAGTGACACTCGTTCGATTAAACAACACTTATTCCATCTAATCATGTCGGCTTTTGCTGTCTGATCAAATTTAACATCGTTAAGCGTTAATGTTTATCCTGACTAATTTCTACTGTTCAAGCAAAGCAATTTACAGGTACGTTCATGTCTTGGATATTGTTCCCACATACTCATTTTATCAATCAATTCACATGAATAACATTCAACCAACTATCAGTTGGCTCGGGGAGCTAAATTCTTTAAATAACGTTTAAATGAAGAAAACTGAATTGCAAAGATCACCCTGCAATGAGCCTCCACAAAGAAAAACTATCCTTTATTGTCACAACCAAACCACCATATGAGTGAATTAGTTCCAGCTAAGTATCCAAGATTAAGATAAAAACAATCATTTGGCTAGTTTCTAGAGTTATAAATTGCACCCAACACATTAGCCACATTAACGGGACTCCAGGAATATCTGTGGGAATGCATGTGCTCCATACATAATTCCAAACCCCGAAGCTTGGAATTTATGTATGTGCTGCATCTAGATGAACGGTCAGGTCGAGCGAGACTCCCTGATTGTTCCTTAAAAATGGGCCTTTACCCCTCATTAGGAAACTTGGGCTATGCACTTTTTGTCTACTTCGGCAGGGAATCTAGGCCCAGCCCGTTGCTGATTTATTTACAACTGACAAAGTCAATTTAAGTTCCCCTGTAGAGAGACCTACTGCTCAATCAAATAATGGCACTGGCCCTCCTCTATTATTTTCATTCAACAGCTTGTCTTGTCCCTCAATAATTCCATTCCCTATCTTATCAGATCGGATGGCCATTCCTTTGTCAAATTAAGAAACTAGTCATAAGCATTTGCACCCTCCTCAGAACCAGAAAGAAATTTATTAATTATAACCGAACTCAAGGCATGCTTATACTCCTTGTTCACTCAAAGTATGATGCTTAATAATTTATTTGTCACTTTAGAGAATTAAGATTTCATTAATTGTTTGTTTTTCAATCTTACCCTGTTATTTATACTAAAAAAAGCATTAATTATTTAAAGAATTAATTAAAAAAAGAAAAAAGAATCGAAGTGATTCAATAATCAAAATTTATAAGATCATATTAAACATAAAAAAAAATTCATATATATAGACAAAATTAAAGCAATAATTGAGCTCTACACCACCTTTTTTGGCAATTGCAATATGCAAAACTAGTTTCTGACCACAAATGGAGCAAAGAGGAATGAATGATGCAATTGCAGGGCACGCGTGAAGAGTCCAAATAATGAACACATGTGATCTAATTTATTTCCCAGATAAAAATGAATTTATGAATAAGCCTGTACAGTTCCAATGGTTTTCCGCTCAAATTCCTTGATGGTGGCAGCCAGCTTCTTCATATTATCGTCATAAACATATGGGAGCTTATCGTATAAAGTGACATTCTTTTTGGCTGATGGAGGCAGAAATTCCCGGCAAAGCTCGCCTGGCACCGTAATGGAGTTATGGTAGTGATAATAACGGATCTTATCTTCTGTCTTGTGCAAGGTCTTGCCAACTACATTCTCCGACATATGCACTCCTGTAGCGAATGCTTTCTTTGCCTGAATTGCGTACTTGCGATCCCTCCGAATCCCCGTTCTTGATTCCCTGAATAACAGCTTCTCGAATCCCCATTCCCTAATTCATTTGACAACGAACCAATTAACTTCTATATATTTTAATATTTCAGAACATAATAACATGTGTGTTTAATAGCCGCAGATCTAACAAATACTAATAGGTTTACCTGGAATAGTCACGAGTGGAATCATTTAAACAGAGCACACTGGACATTGGATTCTGCTCAATAGTGAACTGAGTATAATCGGAGAATTCTTTGAGAACCGATTCCAAAGTATTGCCTAAAGGCAAATATATATACTCATCCACATCAAAGTAAAATGTCCAATTGGCAGCATATCGGTACCGATGCAAGCAGTCATTAACCACCAAGAATTGGTTATAATAATACCCATCAAACTCAGCCTGACCTCTTATGTCCTGAACTGTGGCCCTCCCTGCTCGCACCCACGGTTCAAGCGCAGCCCTTACCTCAGGACTCACTCCGCCGGCGTCGTGAAATACAAAATGGGAACTGGATCCGAAGAACCAAGCGTGGTAAGCCATCCATTCCCTCATTCTGGCCGCACTCAAATTCCCGTACAAAGAAGACCCACAGTATAGATACTCATACTGGTAAGGCGGGTGGTACTTGGACTCGTTGTAAGAGCCAGGTGCCTCCTCTAATGCTACGAACTTCTCGTATTTCCTCTGAGATTCACCGTAATAGGCATTGAGCATCAGCTTTCCACCTGCATTGTCCTCGTTAGGATTCACGGAGAAGGTGCAATTCACAACGACAACCGTATAGACGCGACCATAACCCCAGTCCGGAAGCATCTTATAGGCCTTGGCCCTCAAAGAAGAGCCATTGTTGGAGATCCACTCGCACTTGTACCAGGGACGCCCGAAAACGTGAATGGGCTTCGAAGCCAGACCTACCACCGCAAAGGTCCTTGGGCCGCCGCGGTAAGCGCCCATCTGAACAAAAAGAGCAGCGGCGTTTCCATATGCCTGGAAGATCCGCTTGTTTGGGTCAGTGACGACGGGGGTGGAGTACTTTTGTTCAGACACTGAGGTGGTGCTGGCGTAGGAGGTAATAGGCAATGAGGAGGCATTGGAGGCAATTAGGGAGGCTGTAGAGGCGGCGGGAGCAGAGCAAGAACGAGTAGTGGATAGGAGGTTTTGATAATAGGGAGGCAGGTTCCACAGTAGCATGACCAGGGTGAGGGCTAGTACTGTGGCTACTAAAGGCTTAGTTTCGAAGCATAAAGATAGCTTACCGGCAGTGCCGCCGGCGAATGAGGAGAGCGGTGGACAGTCCTTTCTCATTTTTGGTGGTGCTGAGGCCGAAGGGTCAAAGGAGAGTCATAGCCTCGGGTACCGACACACACAAAAGAAACGAGTGGGTGCCTTGGCCTTTTGGGAAATTTGAGGTTGCTTTATTACGAGTTTGGGTATTGATCTACCATTTATTACCAAACTGACCTTGATGTATGCATCTGTCTTTTCTTTGTTTGAGAATTTGAGTAGCAAACTAGTAATAAAAAGAAAAAAGTAGTGGCTTTTATTATCGGCGATGAGATGAGAAGTGCCTGCCTGATTCATTGCCTTAATAGTTTTAGGGTGGCCCCCTCTAAAATCGTACCAATACCATCAATGATCAAACAATGTGGACCCCGCGTGCTATACCAAACGGATCTCTTGTTTGTTCCTTCCTTCCTCCCTCCCTCCCCTCTCAAGTTTTCTACCATTAAATTATGACTGACCATAACTTGCTGTATTAGTATTATTCTTAAAACTCCAAAGCTCATCTTAATTCTTAAACCTAAAACAAGCGATAGACAAGAACATAAATGAAATTGCACTACTATATAACAATGAAATCTTCTTCATTGTTAATTTTGGGACAGATGGCGTTGGGACATGTACTCTAGAAGAAACATTGGCATGTGAAAGACCAAGCTCCACCCTCTACTCTCTTAATTATTATATTATAAGCTAAAAAGATGCTGTTGTTGTGAAATTAAAAGACCAATTCTAAATTTAAGCTTATTATTATTATTATTATTATTACAAAGCTGGCATGTCATGTCTTTTAATTATGTGATAAAACAAAGGGAGAGAAATTTAAGGGTCAAAATTAATGATTCTAATCTTTTATATTTTAGCCATCAAACAGGTGTCGGTGGTAACATAATAAACATTGTTGGTATTGTAAATCATTAATCTTTTATATTTTGTCTAAAGTCTAGACAGTAAAAAAACCCCATTTACTGATTCATTTAATACATCGTATTTGATTTCACTCCAGTACTATTTATACATTAAAATACAAGAAAATTATACAAGTATATATTACAATGCAAAGAATCTAATGTCTCTTTCTAAGTTCTAACCAAAAGCGGTGTGCTGTAGGGACGGTTAGGCATTTCTGTGGCAATGCAAGCATGCAAAACAACGGTTGCTGTGTTCCATCAATATCAACATGATTGCTGGTAATACTCTTATAAATTGGTCCAGAGGGAGTTCTTTTTTTTTATTTTAAATAAAGAATTACCCTATAAAAATACATCCCTCACGCCTAGACATGAACATCTGGAGCATCTGCGAGTGGCCTAAAATTAGAATAGGGTAGATTCTGATACCATGTTATAAAATGAATTCAAAAGCTAACTCAAAACAAAAAAAATTATTCAAATCTTATATTTTACATGTAAGGATCTTAACCCAAGCAATGTGAGATAATACCCCCAAACTACAATTGTTTAGGACTGTCGGCAGAGATGACTCAATTGTTAATCAACGGCTTTCCGACCTTTTCTTTTCTTTTTTCTTTTTTCTTTTTTTTAATTTATTTCCTCCTGCTAATTTCCAGCTCGTGTTCTTACTGTATCAATGAATGTGCTCTTCAATAGTTTCTTGATGGTACTGCAACCAATTATACTTTGGGCCTTCAAATGATTTGGGCCTGGTGGCTTTTGGAACCAGCTCGAGTGGGCTTAGCCTTTGGCAGTTGATGGCGGATGGCCCACCCTTGAATCTTCCAAGTTTTTAACTCAACAGGTAATTTCGAAGTACGTATATATTAACAGGACTTAAGGAATCTTAAATAACAGCCAGCCAATCAGACATGATCAGAAACTTACTTTGAAATTCCGTGATCAAAACTTAAGATAGTTGCTATCCTAAATTAGTGTATGTACTAGCGAATATGCAATTCTTTTCTATGTAGTTTCCTTTGAGTTTTACCTGGTCTCAAAGTATAAAAAAGGGAAAAACACCAGAGATCTATGATTGGGCATCAAAGGGCCTCTTGTCAAACCGATTGATGATTTAGAAAGAAAGAGTGTCCTCTTAAAATTCATGTCCAAAGATGCTCTACAACCCATAACAAAGAAAATTACTAGCAGTGCATTGAATAGTATTATTATGTTATCATTTTATATAGGAGAGTGTTAGTGCACATCCCTTTCTGTGTCTCCAGTGAATCCATTTTCTATAACGTAGAAAAAGGAAAAGGCTGCCAAGTTTCCTTCAGAATCGAATATTATAGCACTGTTGGGGGATTTGGATTCGAAGGCCTTGTAAAGCCATGGAAATTTAGTGGGAAAAACCTAAAAAGCTTGTTACGTATCACTTGCATGAACTAAAAGCTAACAGAAACCTTGACTTTTCTGCAATGGGTATCCTTTTTTTTCCATGCAAGGAATCTGGGTTTTCTGCTGCTTGCCTTCTAAGGGACATGACCCGCATATGTAAATCTATTTTTGCTAATTTCATATAATATCTTAATTAGCTTTTTGCTTCTTTCCTTCACCCTGATTTATTTGTGTTCTGATGAAATATTTAGTATATATTATAAATCAAGTTCTAGAAGATTAATACGAGTATTTAATTTAAAGATTGTTGTATTTATACGTTTTTTTGTGTATTTAGATTTTAGCAAACAGAGACTATAACATTGATCAAACAAGAACAGTAGAATAGTTATTATTATTGGTTTTTTAATGGAACAGTGATAGCACATGTAAGTGCATCATCCCTTTTCTTTCTGTAAGGCGCGCATATGATTAATAGTGCCTCACTTTTTCACCAAAATAAATATTCTGCTTGTGCGGTGCAATTTGCAGCGCCATTTCTAAATATCCAAATTAATAGCCACTCTCATCGTCACTAGTTAAGATAACATGAGCAGCAACAGGGTGCCATTGAAGAAGACGACTTCATTTCCCATGAAAAAATCACCTTCAGTGCAATTTCCAAAGACTCCATCCCCGATTGAATTCCCTACCTCTCCTCACCTTTTGTTGGGAGAAGAATTAATTCATTCCGGTCACCCCCAACACCGTCTGTTTCAGGTTGACCTGCCAGAACTCTTTACCTGCGCAGGCTGCAAAGAGTATGGTTCAGGCAAGAGGTTCACTTGCCAACAATGCGATTTTCAGTTACATGAGTTCTGTGGTTTGGCTCCTCCGCTGCTCAAGGCCCATCCTCTCCATATGCATCACCAACTCTACTTCTCTTCCAAACCAGGTCCATCAATTCATCAATATACATACATATACATATATATATATATGTATGGTTCAGGCAAGAGGTTCCCACTTGCCAACCAATGCGATTTCAGTACATGAAGTTCTGTGGTTTTGGCTCCTCCGCTGCTCAAGGCCCATCCTCTCCCATATGCATCACCAAACTCTACTTCTTCTTCCAAACCAGGTCATCAATTCATTCCAATATACATACATATACCATATATAATAGATATATAATATATAACCAGGTCCATCAATTCAATCAATATACATTACTATACATTTATATAATATATATATATTTATATAGATAACAAATATTCATATCTTTTTCTTTTTTTTTTTAAACTGAAACATAACATGTAACGTTTCAGGTAAAGGTGGGGATTTTAAAATTATATATATAGATAACAAATATTCATATCTTTTTTCTTTTTTTTTTAAATAAACATACATGTATACGTTTCAGGTAAAGGTGGGATTTTAAAATCAAAGTGTGATGTTTGTGGGAAGCCTGCCAAAGGATACAGTTTTAGATGTAACGCCTGCAATTATCAGATGCATCCATGCTGTGCTATGCTTTCTAATGAAATTAACATTTCAGTCCATCCACACCCACTCAAACTCCTACCTGCAGCTGTCATGAGTACTTTGCCAAATGGGGACTCATCAGGTGGCTTTGTTTGTGGAGAATGCAACCGCTTCAAGAGATCAGGCCGAGTGTATCGTTGCACAGTCTGTGAGTATCATCTCCATGCAGTTTGTGCAAAGAACATGGTGAACGGTCTTCACTCCAACGGCATCAAGGTTGAAAATTCCAGCATGTTTGGAACAGCAGCTAAGCTAGCCTCTCAGGTCATCATCCAATTCATCGGAGGAATCATCGAGGGGATTGGAGAAGGCGTCGGAGAAGCCTTCATTCAAAGTATTGCTAGAGGAAGGCGTCCCAGAAGACGTCCAATTGATGAATGAATTAAAAACAAAACAAGTTGAGAAAGGAAAAATGATGAGTAAGCTTTATCTATCTTCAAAGGGCTGATACAATAGTCTGAATTATAAATATGCATTAATTTGCTTATGCCTATGTTTAGCTGATGGGATAATTGAGTCGTAGCTATTAATATTTGTTAATTAAGCTCTGTGGAGAACGTTGTATTTGTAAATTGGGATCAGACCTGTCAATAAACTAATTAATTATTTATTAATTGAATGTTGTCACAGCTCTCAATATATCCACATATAACAATAACAAATAATAATAATTAGGTAAGAGGCGAGGTACTGATCTCTGAGAGCATACAATTATCTTGAAGAGTTTAATTATTTTTGTCTTCATGAGTAGATTTCTTCTGCATGTATAGAGATTCGTGTTTCCAGAGATTCTTTCATTATCAAAGAAAATCCTCGATTCTCTGTTTCTGTAGTACGAGTATATGACTTTAAACTAAATAAGGGAAGATTACAAATAAGAAAGATTGTGTCTTTCCAAAGATGAGATATATAATTAGTTGTTCGAAGGGCATCAGGCATCAGCAAAATTAAGCTCCTCTTCGGCACAAGAAAATGATGATTATCATTGGTGATCCACTCAGTACTAAACTAATAAAGGGACCTGAACAGCATTCCAATAGTATGACTATCTCATTTATTGACTGTTCAATGTGATTCTCATTAATTACTTTCAACTGACTTCTTAACAGCAACTGGGCTGTTATCAGATATCTGGAGCCATTTGTTGAGTTTGTGCAGGAAATGTTTTCATGACTGGGTTGAAGGTCAAGCACTACCGGCTCAGTTGTGGTGTTCTAGAATATCAGACGATTTTTCATTGCTGAAACTCCAGAGATCAGAGATTCTGAATCTGAACCAGTCTTGTTCAGCAAGGAATGCAGAGCTGAAAGGGTTGAAATTCTATGCCATTTTATGATTGTAATAGCTTCCTAAATCAATAGACAGATTCCTGAGACCTCCTGGTATTGAAATTTGGAAGCAGCCTATACCCGGACAGGATCCATCGATGATGTTTAATGTATTGCCCTCGGGTTCAGACATGAAAAGCAAGCATGTCACAGCCAAGAACTGTGAACCTGTTCTCAGTATCAGAGAAGGAATAAACATTAGAGCAACCCCAATGTCGCAATGATATGCGGAGAGCTGGTATGTTGCTGTTTGGGCCTAATAGAAGCATATCCCAGAATAGCTTGGATTACTCTAAATTCGATAATTCTCTAAGGTTTTGGACTCTTGATTGGTATATGAGAAGCAATTTGTAAGTGAGGGTGTCGTTTTGGTTTTTCTTGCTTGTTTGTTTAGCATATTGTCCTGTTTGTAATAGTCAACAGGACAGATGAGAGAGACGGCCATCAGATTATTCAAAGTTCCAAGTAAAGATTAAGCAGGAAAAAAGAAAGAGAGAAATCCGTGTTTAACTCCTAGTTTCTAAGTAAAACAATATCTTTTCAAATGTCAAAATCAGACATGAAACAAAATCAACAAAAGCAGTTTCCTTCCTGGTAGTTAGTCGCTTGGTTTTATCCACAAAACCGAAATACAGAGAAAGATAACCTTTCGAGCTTTCCAAAAACAGGACCACCATCATCGATATGGTAAAAGCTACTAAGTCTTAAAAGAAATGGGAAAACTAGAAATTTTATTGGCTTTTAGCGGATTGTCATATGGACTGAGGACTATGACTATCAGCGGTCCAATTCTCAGAAACAATATTTATTTGCCTATGCTGTGGGTAACAGCTCAATTGGAATATTCCAATATTATGCTATTTTTAATTATTTATAATTAAATCAAATCATGTTTAACCGATATATAATTTAAAAGAACACTCTCATTTGCAAAATCTCATCACCACTTAAATTCTTCTATTAGAAGTTATCCCATAGGAGAAAATCTGGATACATGCCTTTATGAAGAAAATTTTGATTTCACAGGAGGAAGAAAGGCCACAGGGATATTAAAATGGATGGGGCATGCCTGTTATTCCAAATATAATTTAATAAATATTTCACTATTTGATAATACAATATTTCAGTTCTGTGAATGATCAACTTTACAGTAAGAAATCAAATACATTGTCAGTAATACCTCAAACTTAGTAACTTCTTTAATTGTAAAAAGGTAGGAAAGAAAAATCCGAAAAAAAAAAAGGTAAAAAAGGAAGAAACGGAAACATAAATTAACATTCTTTTCACCTTTCATTTCCCTGATGCTTCACTTTCAAAGCATGGTCTATCCTAAAAAATCCTTCAGCTTTCTGCTGCATCTCTCAGCTCGTCTTGCATCCAATAATTATATCCCATTCCAGGTCGCCGCGGCTGAAAGTTTCAACAACTCAAAAAAATAGTGTTCCCATACAGCAAATGGTCCTCGGAGATGACAGTTTGCTAACAACAGTAGGCAGCATTTGATGCCATTGCACCTATTTCCTCCACTCTTTGGCAAGCAAGGAAACCCACTTCCACCCGTTAAATCTCAATTTCCTTTCCAGAGTATAACTGCATATATAGGAGCACATGAGCTATTGTCTGCTGAGTATGTCATTTCTTCAACCCCTTGCTTACTTTTCACCCATAGAAGTTTCACATTTATCTCTAAATGGTGCCATAATCTAAAGTCTCCCATTTGAAAGGAGCAACTAAGCCAATGTCTGGAGCACCTCGCAAGAACAGGCAGACACAAACACAGACAGCCGCAATGGCTAGCATTGAATGAACATAGGGACGCTGAAGCAGGCCCTGTGAACCTCGAATACTCCTGTTGTATTTTGCTGCCACAGCCGCACATCTCGCACAAGATCTACGCCCTTGCTGGAAGTATGGTTGTCCCATCTCAGTTCCAATTGTCAAAGACACTTGACTATTTCTTCTGTCAGCAAGTTTACGAGCCACCAATGTGTTATAAGAGTGGTTATTTGTCATAATAGCATAAGCATACGGAGACTGATCATTTGCATCCAGAAGAGAATTCCAACAGGACAACCCAATCTGCAGTACAAAAGGAAAACTTCTACATAAATGAGTCTTGAAAGTAGAAAATATAGAGAATACAAAGGATGCACACGAGAAAAGAGAAAGGAAAAAGGTATCAAGTCAGCATTGATGGCAGGGAGCAAGAGAAGAAAGAATATTTACCTCCTGTGGGTCATTTGTCAAAGCATCCACTAAATCATCCGAGCCTGATGTACAAGCAGCCAAATGTAGAGATGTGATCCCACCAGGTCCTGGAAGATTTGGTGGGAAAATATAACTTCTAGAGGAAACATCATTGTTATTAATGGAATAATGGATAAGTAAGTCCACCATTTTCCTGCACCTCCTCTTCACAGCTCGGTTCACGAGCTGAACCTCAGATAGCATATCTAGTGACTCCTTGGACAGCCCATTCATGTCCAAATTTCTTTCCACCAGCATGTCTAAAACAGTTTTTATCAAGACACAATAATCTCTTTCAACTGAGAAAATGAGCAAAAACTTGAACCTGCTAAGCGAAAAATCTGGAAGCTCAAACATGGAAAAAGCTCTTCTTTGGAACAGCCATCCAAGTTCATTCAAGAAGTGCCAAACCTCCTCCCTTGATCTAGGCCGACCCAAACATTGAGCTTGTTCTTCTGAAATAATATCAGTCTCTTCAGTCCCTTCATCAAACTCAGATTCAAGGAGTCTAAGCTCTTTACAGATTGTAGCATCAGCTATTATTAAAGGAAAACTGTTGCCCTTGAAACCATTTTCCACCTGTTTATAACATTGGCAGATGTCACATACATTACTCTCATTGATTCTATTTAAGCATTTCTAAGTTTCTAAAATACATAACAAGGTCTCAAGTCTTACTTCAATGAAACAGCGACCCAGAACACTTGGAGATGCACCATGAATTTTAAAACCATTCATGTTTATCTCATCATGCATGGCTCGTGGAGAAATTGATCCTGTGATTTCCTTCGATGTGTATCCGCCCATATAAGTACAATGAATCCTGCATGAATCATGAATGAGCCTTCCTGAACACACAAAGATATAAGTCAACAAACAACACTTCACTGAGGAATTGCTTACTTGGTGCCAGGATTAGTTAGATTTCTTCCCCTTAATAATAGAGAGGTTTCTTGCCCACCAACAACTGCCACTGGGGACACTGACAGCAACTCTGGGGAACTCCATGTTCTCCAAGATTTGCATAAACGAACCATTCCTGAACATTCATTACATACAAAGATTCATAGTTAAAAAGATGCATAATTCCCTCATATTTCACATAAACACTATAGCCAATTTCTTTCATATCGTATAAAAATTAAAAAGATACAACTTCTTTGGCCGCCCAGTGTGATCATTATGTGATATAAAAATTATGAGCCTAAGCTTACAAAAAGAAAAATGTGAACAGTTAAAAAAGGAGGGATGGGATAAAGAGTTACAACATGAAATAGGAGGGATGCAACCCTCATCTTTTGTACGCACCATCTTTATGTGATGCTAGTTGCCTGCCTGTATGTAATAAGAATCTTCCACTTCTCCAAAAATCAGAACATGAATCTTGAACCAATGAATTGACTTTCCGGAGCAGATTTCTTTCAAACTGCAAGGACATAATATACCCGACAAATTGTCAGCATAAAGCAACACTATAATTTCTAATATGTTTTTCTGCAGTTCACTTACTTGTTCCCATTCAACAGATGACATTGACAAATAAACTGACAGGACCACACAACCAGGCCTTATGTAGCTCTCCATTTCAGAAGGACTGTTAGAAAGCCAATTGTAGATCTGAAACAAGTAGAGTGATGACTACTAGGTTTCCAGTAAAAAAAGTAAATACTACTGCATCTCCACTCAACAGTCAACACCTGCACACCCCTCAAATATATACAACAACAATAATAGTCACCATAAACTGACCTGCGATCGTAGTTTCCCTGGGAAATGACTGGGATCTTTGTCAAATAGTTTAAAGATTATTCGTCCAGTGCGATCCTATGGATCAGGCATAAAGAAACAGAAATATGATTAAATATTATATAATGAAAATCAGCACTTCATTACATGCAAAAACAGAAAATTGAAGCAGAAAACAAATAGAACTCAGAGACAATCAAATGGCAGCATATACCTGAGCATCAGAGTTCTGACTAGAAGGTGAATGATCTGACCCAGAGGAAGATGTATATCCAGCTTGATATGGAAAATTTTGAAATGAACTTTGATCAGCACCTGAATTTGAACTTCTAAAGAGTTCAAGAGGCAAAATACATCCATGGGTTCTGCTACCTTCAACATTGGCATTGACCTCTCTACTGACTGACATCTTTTCGGACTTCACAGTCTCAGTTGTACTCTGCATTGGAAACAACTTCTGAACAACTGGAGGAGATGACGACGGAGATTGCCCTTCGCTTGGATTACTGCTGTCAGAAGAGAAATACTTCATAGAAGATGCCATTTTTGGAGGGCTATTATTCTCAGGTGAGGAACCAAATAGCTGTAACGGTAAATTAGGGAATTTTTCTTTTAGCTGGCAACCTGAATCTTCAATGGGAGACCGGTAACAGCTACTACTTCTCTCACCACCCACAGCAGGTAAATCTATAACAGGTCTCTTCTGCATATTGGGACCTGTAGCTTGATCAATGCAAGTCAACCTAGATTTCTCACTGTCACTGCTCTGGCTGCTTCTTTGAGATAGAATTGCAAGAGCATCTGGTGCAGATGCTGCTAAAGTTGCTGAAAGAACCGCAAGTAAGTCCATGGTTGATGGTGAAGATGCGGTTCCATGCAATATTTTTTGCTGTTCTGGTGATAGTTGCGCAGCAGTTTTCCTATTTAAACTTGCAATGTTCGATAGCTTTGCAGCCAGATCCACTGGTAAAGGTAACGAATTTATTTTACTAAGAATTCGAATGAGTTGTTCCCTATCAGGTACGGATGAATTGTTATTGATACTTTTCTCCTCATTCTTCCCTGTAGTTTTGAAAACCCAAACTCAGCATGTGAGAGGAAAAAAAAAAATTGAATTCATTTAAGCGATTCATCACCTTGAGTGCGAGCCAAAACAGTTAGCAAGTTAACAATATCTAAATTTGCAGTGCTGGTTGTGTCATGGTTTGCAGGGAGAAGCAGTCGTGAGGCAACATCTTCAGGCTGGGTTTTCCTCCTTCGCCGATTGTGCCCAGCAAGCCTACGCCTGCAACTTCTCTTTCCCTCGTCAAACTCAGAAAGTGGATGAAACCTGGACAAGTCATGAGTAAGGTTTGACGTGAGTTCAATCGATGAAGCCATGAAAAAAGAAAACTACAACCAGAACATATATTCACGGCATTGAACAACCGAGGAAAAAGCATCAGAACCCAAAAGGAGAGTACTTGTAAACTGAAGTTAAAATTAAGAATTTGTGGAGCAACAACATGAAGGTCAAAGTGTGACTTTTGATGAGTAAAGAGATGAAACCTGCTACACTGTTGACAAAACCTCTGCATCTGCTTCCCAACTAGAGCTTTAGTGGATTTGCTATGAACCTCGCACACTTTATGGCGGCGGTGATAGTCCTTTGCATTTGAAAGATCTTCCTTACAGTTATCGACCTGGCACATTGGATAGGTAGCTGTGCCAGGAGATCCGGAACGAACTCTTTTGTTTGGTCTGGAGACAGGCTCCTCAACGGAACTCAAGCCCCCAGCAAGATTCAAGCGAAGTCCATCATCTTCATCCAGCTTGGCATTTTTCAAGGGCAAACGATTGCCGGAAGCTTCCACCTTCTTCTTGTTCAACTCAGAGGATGTGATTCCCAATTGCAAAATATTGCTGTTGGCGTCGGCATCCGAGGGTTTGGCCACAAACCTGACACTGTCCCAATCCCATGCCTTAGGATTCCAGTTGTCTCTAGGGTTTTGAACAAAGCGGTGTTGCTGCTGGAGCTGAAAATTGGGAGCCTGATAAGAAAGATCGCGCTTTTTGGGCAGGGGTGTTGCATCACAGAATAGACCAGAAAGCGGTTGATGGATGAAAATTGGAGCCACTTGCGCACCAACCTCCTCCATAACTCCAAGAAAGGCTTAGCCTTCCAAGCGGACAAACCTATTCAACGACGGAAAAGCTAAATAAAATTACACAAAAAAATAAAATAACAAACTATCGTTTTGAGATGATTCGCACCACAGAGCTTATTTCCAGAGAAAGATCAGGGAAAAACTGGGAAAGAAGAAATAGATGAAGTCTCCATGGGAAGTCAAAGTTGGTAAGAGAGGCGACTAGTTTTCCAGTGGGTAAAAGTTTTTTCTTTTTTTTTTTTTAAATCAAATTTAAAGATAATTGTTTTTTCACGTAAAGATTTAAGTCCAAAAAGGGGCAAGGAAACGGTTATACATAGTAATTGATGGATTGATATAATTAGCAAAAAGTCCAACTAATATAACTGCAGAAATCTAGGTAAATAAATTCCATACCTTTACAGAAATCTCATCTCCGTTCTCACTTCAAATCCGGGCTTTCCAACAATATCGAACCTCAGATCTAGAGATGAATCCGAAGGTGAGTTGTGAAAAAGCTGGTCTCGTCACCGGAAATAATCTTCAAAGACCTCCGCAATAAATCAGAATTCCTGGAATCTGGTAACGGACAGAATTATTCTGCGAAACAGTTAAGGGAGCCAGCCAGAGTTGAGAGAAGATGACATGAAAGGAAGGAAGGAAGGAAGGGAAGAAAACGTCTGTGCACGAGGTTGCTTTTTTACTTTCCCTTGCCTTAATAATAATATTATTTTTGCGCCTCAACCTTTTCCTGTCCTCTCTTGTAAGTTGTAACAAACATTTGTAAATTGTTTCGGTTTTGGGCGGTGATTTTGGCATAAACCGTAAATTCAAGAAAGTTCAGGGGGAGAGTTGGGAGGTTGGGACCGCCCACGGACAAACGAAGAATCCAAGACTCTTCCTCCTACTTCACCATAATTTTCTTTTCTTTTCTTTTCTCAAAAAAGCAAGAATTAACGATTAACTATTAACGCGCACACACAAAAAAAACAGCGTTAATATTAATTACTGTTGTGTTAGATGTCAGAAGATGATCCCAACCTTTATCGTACCAGGAGAGAAATGACGATAATGGCCACCACTCCACTCCACTCCCACTCCATAGTCCTTTCCTTTGGTCTGGCAATCAAGACAACATTTGTGATAAAGCATAGTACTCATCCGATGTCATTTTCGAAAATAACCTTGCCCAAAGATACATAAATGAATGAATGCTAAAAAACAAATATATTCCGGAAAGAATTTCCGCCAATGGAAGCTACCTCACACTATCCTTTTATTATTCTTCCAACTTGGAACAGTTAAATACCCTACCCTTCACTTCTCATACAACTGTGGAGTTAGATCAGGGATATTGACAATTCATTTTCTTTACTGCATCACTTGTAAAATGAAAATTAACTCCCCTAATTAAGATTAGCCAACTGCTTAATTCACACTCAAAGAGCCAAAAAGATAAACAAATAGGATACATGTAAAAGAAGGGAGTCTCAAGTTTTGACTCTCTCCAAACATAGATTTTTCTTTTCTTCTTTATTTTTTTTATCATCTGAAATGGTCAACAAGTCTGTTAATGGAAATCAACTGGCTTTGGATGTCTTCTCATCATCCATTTTCCACAGAATTAACAATGACAGCTTTGGACTTTCCCATATTTTTTGGTATTTTTATAGCAAAATTCCCTTTTCTTCACATGTGTTTCTTAAATAAAATTGTATCCTAACAGTAATAATGAAGACACCTCACCTCAATTAATCCCACGGCCGGCGGCGGCAAGACGAAAACTTCCGGTCGAAATAATTTATACATCAGGACTGAGATGGGTTTGTTTTTATGCAGCAAAATTGTCAACACGTATAAGATAATAATATAAATCCCATTTAATTAAAAGTTAAATTTATACATAAATAGCAAATAACTATCCGAGGGGAAACGGCGCCTCCATGTGTCGTCGGCGCTACGAAAACGTAATTGCCAGTTGCCACACATTTCTTACTTTCCTTTCCCGTACATAAACCGCGTTTTAGATTTACCATCGCACTAAAATGACAAAAACAGCCCTGGAAGGGTCTTTAAAATCAGAAATCATGCAGTAAGTACGTTTTTGTCCCCTAATGGATAATGGGGATTGGGTGTGTAGGGCAGGGGAAAAGGAAAAGAGTGGTGGTGGAGGTGGAGGTGGTGGCTCTATCGTCCGGACAGATTGACGTGTGGGAACCAGCTGTATCGCGTACGATGCATTCGGTCGGATTTTATGTGCGACTCACTTTTATTGCCTGCAAAGGTTTGCACCTACCATTTTTTTTTTTCTCCAGCTAATTCAACCTTCAACGCTTAATTATATTAGAGCATCCATTATTAATTACTTGGTTAATTGCTCATGCTGCGCCTGCAAATATCAAAACCAAGAAATATTTCATTTAAAAAAAAAAAAATCAAACAAAAATGAAAATCGTCAATCAGCTTAGGATTTGATTGGATTCAAATCGCTGACCATCCCTTTCATGATTGTCCTATACATTATCAGGCACTTTGATAGGCGAGAGATGAAATTAGAGAGAAAAGACGATCCTCCAACTTGGTAGCCGTAGACAGTAGAGTGCTAGTGCTTTAACTTCCGCTGGTCCCCATCAGGACTCCAAAACGGTACCTAAACACCCATGTGATATTTCATGTACGGACGGCTTTTAACTGGGTGGATTTTGGCGCTCATTTCTCAAGTCCCTTCCTTTTCTACTAGTAGTAGCAGTAATTATTGTTTCAATTCATGATTAATTAAAAAAAAAAAAAAAGAAATCGTACATTGACTTGCATTTCCTTTGCACGTGTCGTGAAAAAGACTTTAAATCAGGTGCGTGGGTTAGTCATTAGTGATTAATAAACTTAATTATTAAACTGTACAAATTATAATGGGCCTGCCTGGCCTGGCATGGCCTAGCTCAGGGGAGAGAGCATTGGGCTTTGGCATGAGATAATAGCTCTTCCACCACTGCTCTCGTCGCGTGTTCCGAGTTACAGAAACAGTCAACTCTTAAAAAGGTCCAGAAGAATCAATAGGAAAATAATTAGAGCTGTCTTTATGTTTACATTGACTGATAAGCTTCTATTATTATGCAAATACATCTCTGCTTCGTTTTCAAAAACCATACATCTAAAATCTTATACCAATCAGCCAACAGCTGGTGAGTAACAATCAATCAACTTGCGCTCTCTCCGACAAAGGAAAAGACAAAAAACCATTCTACTTATTTCATTCATATATACCGTACAAAATAGAAGCAATCACTGAAAAGTAATATTTATATGGGCATATCAATAGAGAACCAATCTATCAGGGGTATATCTGAAACCACTCACAGTTAATTAAATAATGCAAACTGCAAGGAAAATACTGCCGAGAGAGAAAAAGAATTGCCTAAATATCTATCGAACCATGCACTCATACTCTATAGATTATCTAGTTAGTCAACAAATATATTTAGAAACCAAGCCATTGTAGAGAGAAGCTGCCACTTCCAATTAAAAATAAGGCAAGAACAACAAGAGCACTAAGAAGGACCCACATCCAGGTCTGCATCCTTCTCTTACCCCGATTGCGAAGTGGCAGAGGCATAGATTTTGACTTTGTTTGCTTATTGAAATGAGATGGCTTTTGAGATCTCTTAGTTATTGTCGTTATCACTGGCTTCTCTCCTGATTCAGACTGCTTGGTTTCAGTTGGAGTTTCAGAAATTGGAGAATATTCTCCCTCATTGACATTACCGATGTCATCTGCTGCTAAGGCCTTCCTTTTGTCCTTCTTTCTTGCCTTCTTCTCCCTTTCCTGGATAAAAGTAATTCACAATGGGTCATGCACAATACAAAGAATAAATCCTTTACAGCAGAGAAACCTCAAATAACAGAAGAAAAAAGCCATTGTAAAATTTATCACACTGAGAAATTTGTACGAACTGCCAGGTGCTCAATACATAGAGTGGTAATGTTACCTTCTCTTTCTGCTCAGCTTCCTTTATTGCTCTTAGTGCGGCCCTAGCTAGGGCCTTATCTGCATTCCTTTTCTTCCTCTCCAGTGCTTCCTTAGCTTTGGCTTTCTCCTCCAATCGCCGTTGTTCCTTCAACAATGCCGCTTCCTCCGCTTTTCTCAATTCCTCAGCCTTCCTAGCTAACTCCTCTTCCTCCTTTGTTTGCTTATGCTCCTCTTGCCTCGAGTTTTCAATCTCATTCCTGCCAGAAACAACTGTCTTTTCAATCCCATTCCTGCCAGAAGCAGTTGTCTTTTCAATGCCATTCCTGCCAGAAGCAGTTGTAGTTGCCAAGCCATTATCCATAGGAGCATGTTCTTCCATTTTTTTAGATTTAACCGTTAGGTTATTTTGGTCCCCAACTTTTGCTGTATCGTCTATCTTCTGTGTCTCCATAGGGGCAACTGTTTTTTCTCCTTCATGAGTGGAAATAGAAGATACAATGTTGTTATTGGCCACTCTTTCATGAACAGAAATGGGAAGCACAGGCGGTTCCTCATCAGGTCCAAGTGAACGACCATCTAATGTCCGTAGTCTCCTCACTGTACTCCTCATATTGCATCTAATGTATTCTTTCCGGAACTCATCATCATTGTTCCATAATTCCATAACCCTCTCCACCTAAATCATAAACTTGTAAGTTCATAATCAGAGCCGATTAACCAGAACAAAAAAAAAAAAAAAAAAAAAAAAAAAAAAAAGAAGAGTTTCATAATCAGTCTTCACCCTGGTTAACACAATAACATTGGAGTTTCCTCTCTATCTCCCTTGGATGCTAAATCATAAGCCGCCTTTGCGCAATTCATCCTCGTGTTACTTTCAGAAGAAAAAAAAAAAAAAAAAAAAAAAAAAAAGAAGAGTTTCATTAGCTCACCTGGTTAACACAATAACATTGGAGTTCCTCTCTATCTCCCTTGGATGCTAAATCATAAGCCGCCTTCGCATCATCCTTGTACTTCCAGAAGTATTTATTCTGAAGATGGAAATAATAGTGTTAATCACTTTTCTTTATTCACAAAGGAGTGGACTAGATGGCTAAAATTCATAATCCCAAAAAGCAATTCGCCATTTTGTTCAAAGATTAAGAAAAAAAACACTGAAACTATGGTGGAATAACTAAAATTGACCAAATCATATAGCTCATCTGAAAAACTTAGGAGAATATTCGAAGTATTTAGTGGTTCTCATCTTATCATTTGCAGGAGAATTTCCTCCTCATAAGGGGAGGCAATGCAAAATATAAGGGTAAAACTAAGATTGCACAAAGTTTTATGAGTTTGCTCTCCTCAACAATATATAAACTTCCATCCATGCCATGATATAAAATTTGGCACACAGCCAAATGTAGAACACATTTTGAAAAATAGATTTAAGTGCAAATATAGAAACAATATACCTTTTCATAGGATCGTTTCCTCAAACTCTGTAGATGTGCATATGCTTCTTGCCGAATGTTATCTGCAGCTCTGAACTGGTTGATCAATTCATTCAGCTTAGCATTTTCATCATGATATTTCTTCTTAGCATTTTTGGTGGCTGCTTCAGCTTTGAGAACATTTTCTCTCAAAAGATCTGCTTCTTTCCTCAAATGCTGCACCAGAGTGTCAATTGTAATAAGCAATCCAATGCCTCAACTATACAATTGTACAATGAAAATAGCTCTTTGTAATCTAGGTAATAAAATGAAAAACATTCTCCTAATTTATGCATAAGAGAAAATACAGGAGTAAATACAAGGGAATAAGAGATAACTGTTTTCCCTTATAGCATAATAAGACAAAGCTGCACACACCATGTTTGGCAACTCATATTTCCACTGCCATCTCGACCATTTCAAACATGGAACTTATACGTATCCGCAATGAAAGCAACTAGAGATTTAATACCTTCAGGCGCTCTTCAACTTGTTCTTTCTGATCTATGGCCTCCTGAACTTCATCTTGGTTACCCAGACTAGAAGAGAGTTGTTCACGAATTTGCTTCAACTGCTTCATCTCTCGAAGATAATTCTTTTCTTCCTTCAGTGGCAGGGTTTCATGTTGTATCATGTGTTCCATATTACGTATCTGCTTACCATTGATTGAACCCCCAATGAGATGGAAAGAAAGACCATTTATATATTCAAAAGCATTTAAATTGCACAGACAATTAACAAAACTTTCTAAAAGAAAAATCCAAAAAAAGAATGGGTGGAAATACCTTGCCATCAATATCCTCAATAGAAAAGGCACTCTTTACTCTGTTAATCACAAACAGCACAGAGTCAATTTCCTTTCGTTTGGCCTTAAGCAATTCACGGGCTGCTGCCTCTCCTGATTTGGCAGCATTTAGACAATCACCGCACTCATTACAATCGGCCTAATCATAGAAGCATTTCAGCAATAATACAAGGATAAACATAAATAGAATTTTCAGAGAAGTACTAAGAGAATTCCTACCCTCTTCCTTTGCATTTCAGCTCGAATAACATCCCGACTTTTTGTCTTCTCATCGACTTGAAACTGAGCATATTTGATCTGTTCTTTTAAGTTTTCATCATCATCATATCTAGGAATTCTGATCATGTAGTAAAACGGCCTTTTCACCACCTCAGTGACTGCATTTTGCCAATCAGAAGCATCAACAGAGGCTTTTGGAGATGATATGGCGGCTTCTTCTCTATTAACCCCATCATTGAACTCTATTTCTTTATGCATTTTCTCAAGACCATCAATGCTGACCAACTGATCTCTGTTTTCACCATTTACGTCATTCTCAATGCAATCTAAGTTTCTTTCACTATCATTGACAGAGCCATTCAAAACCTCAGGTTTAGATACATGGCCATCTGGAACAATTGATGTGTTTTCAATTTTCAACTCTGCTTTCACATCAACTGGAACTGATTCCTCAACTGAAACAAAGTTGTTGTCAAGACATTTAGCAACCAGCCCTGAAACTTCAGATTCTATGCCCACCTCATCACTTGAGAAAGTAGACACTTTTTCCACGGATTCAATAACTGTGGAATCAGTCTTAATTTCTGGCATTATCTCATTACCCGGGCAACTTGCTGTTGTACCACTATCTGGCTCAATAACAAGCTCTTCGTCACCAACAAGGTGAGAAATGACACTTTCACTGCTATTAACATTTTGGTTTCCCACCATAGTGTCAGTTCTCATATCATCAGAAATGACACCTTCAATCTGGTCTTCATCATTACTGGACTGATTCAGCTCACATTCAGAAATAATTGTACTGTTCGTGATCTCGACATTACCAGACTGATTGCACTCTGATTCAGCAACATCAGTACTGCTTGAGACCACAGGGCAAGAATCCCCAATTTCAACTGCCGGTTCTGATGCTGTATCAGGAGCAACTGGAATGGTGTTCACAACTTCAGAAGGCTTATTTTCTTCTGTTGTGGTTTGGATTTGGATGAAGTTAATAGCGGCTTGTGGAACACTTGCTTCAGTATGAAGAGTAGCCAAATTTTCTCCTTTTTCATATTTAATATGGCCATTAGCAGCCTCTGGTTCCAACTGTACAACAGGCACAATTATTCCATTTGTTGGATATCCAATTGCATCATTATCATTTGAAGCTGGCGAGCTCTCGCCAGTGTCAGGATCAGAAGGTTGGGTTTCATGCCTGCCAAGTTCAGCATCAATAGAAATCAAAGTTTCAACCTCCTCAGGATAGCTGCTCTGTTCAGCTGTGTTTTGACTGGCACCAAAAAAGTCATTAACAACACCCATTTCTGAAGCAGTGTCTTGAGCGTGACTTGCAGACAAGTTATCAGCATATTCACTGCACGCAGTTGATTCTGCTCCTTCCAATTTTCCATCAGCCCACGAATTTGTTTCTATATTCTCCTCTAAGTTCATCTTAGATGAATTCTGTGAACCTTTCACAGGAAAGTTGTCTGTTAATCCCACTGGTTCCTTCACCGGACTCGAGTCCAAATCATTATCATTGTCAAAGCAATCACTAATTACAATTGGAGAATGTTGGTTTTCTTTTATATCTGTAACCAAATTCGATTTTCTTTCACCTTCAATCTGGTCTTCGTCGTTACTAGACTGATTCAGCTCTGATCCAGAAACACCTGTTCTGGTTATGACCTCAACATTACCACACTGACTCTGCTCTGATTCAGCAACTTCGGAGTTGTCAAAGCAATCAGTAATTACAATTAGAGAATGTTGGTTTTCCTTTTTATCTGTAACCAAATTAGATTTTCTTTCACCTTCGATCTGTTCTTCGTCATTACTAGACGGATTTTGCTCTGCTTCGGAAACACCTGTACTGCTTATGACCTCAACATTACTGCACTGATTCTGGTCTGATTCAGCAACATCTGCAGATTTCTGAGTTATAATCGATTCAATACTGTCTTCCTCCCCAGCCCTTTTATTGTCAGCAGCACACTGTAACAATTCAGCTTCAGGTTCAACAGCGACTTCAACATTGACTTGAAATTCCTGACTCTCCTGTGCATCTAAAGGCTCGACATGCTCCTCCTCAATCTGCTCTTGAAAATCCAGCCCATGCGCTTCTAAACCTACAACAGGCGCCGTTTCATTTGACACTTGAACAGCACCATCGTCCTGTTCTTTGCTGTTCTTTGAGGTGACCTCATTATTCAAGGGAGAATCAGCATCCTTCCCTACAGCAGCACTAGCACTAAGATTCGCAATTCCAGGATTAACCTCGGATTCTGAAACTTTATTCTCACGAGGATCGACATTGTCAACCAGTTCAAACTTCCCATCGGGATCAGCAGTCTCGGCAGGTTCATCAGCGCCAACGTCATTTCCAGCGACAAAAACGTAGGAGGCGTCGGAATCATCCTCCCCATTTCCCCTAGCATTCTCATTCCCGTCCTCAACCCCATTGCTGGCTGCAGCAGCTGCTGTCGGCAGATCCTCATTGCTACCGTGCGAACCACAATTGTCCTCCATTTCACTCGTTGACACGTTCACACTGACATTCACATCCGACTTCATTGCTCCGTTATACTAAACTCGACCTCTCTCTCACAGCTATACGATCACACCGACACAGAAATCAAAAACAGGACCAACGATAATAACTGGTATAATTAAAAACTCAGATTAAAAAAAAAAAAAAAAGTCCACTCAGTGAACAAAAACAAATCAATCTACAAATTAAAATCATAAAAATCTACATATTTGCAAAGATCAGATACACTCACCTGGTCCAGATCAGACAGCAGCGGATGCAAGCGCTGGAACCACCGGATCAAGAGAGGGATCAACGGAATAAGCAAAGCCAATGCAGTGAGTTTGGATGTGCGGATCTAAGGGTTTTGGGAGAGAATTATGATGAGCTTGAGAAGAGAAGGTGGCTTTAAAAAAAAAATCTTAAAATGAAACAAACAGCTGGCGAGAGGGAAGGAGAGAAAGTTAGTAGTGTTTATGTGACCCTTCTGTTTGAAGTTCGAACTTGAAAACAAATCCCCTCTGTCTCAACTTCGTTTTAAATTTCCTTTTTTTTTTTTATCTTTTACCTCTCATTTAACTGTGAAATCCATCGCTGTCCTATCCATTTTACCGCGTTGAATTAAACAGGCTGTATAAACCTTGTCCATTGATCAACATTTCTTTTTTTCTTTTTCTTTTTTTAATTAATCTTTTACCGCTAACGTCTATTCTGTAGATATTGGATAACATTCACCTGCCACCTGTTTTTTTGGTTTTTCATAATTAGAAGTGTAATCTCACCTAAAGATTTTTAGCCATCTTATCATTTTAAAGAAGTGACGTTTCTAACGATCCGACCGACACTTTATTAATTCTTTTTGTTATGATAAAATTATTATAGAACATATTTATCTTATCTTAATTTGATCATATTAAAAGATAAGACTTGGTCTAAATTCAGTTTATATATTCATTTATCCAGTAATTAATTAATTAAAACTACTTTATTCATCCACAACTGTTTAGAAATAATTTCGTTTCAATAAAAAATTATTCTTTTTTTATTTAGTTCATAAATAATTTATAAACTAAATTTAAACAAGTTAATCTTTGAATTACATTAGACTGCAAAGCAAATTATTAAGATTGGTTTTATTTTTTTACTGATTATCCTACCTTATATTACTTTTATAAATACTCTATTTTAAACCTTATTCACCATTTTTTAAATAGTTTTTTTATTTAGATGAATTTTTTTTTATATTTTGGTGGGAATTTTTATAATTTGTTTTTAACTAGTTTGACTTTCAATATTAAAAAATTACAAAATAAAAAAAGAGTAATGTACAGTAAATTTTTACTATTTAAGATGTATAATAATTAATAATTAATATAGTTAGATTTCATTATCATAACTAAATAAAAAAAGTGTAATTTAAAGTAAAAGAAAAAATGAATTGTTTTGTTATTTAGAAAAGGAGCGATGATTTTGATGAGAGGCGCAGAGGAAATAAACGATGCAAAAAATGTAACCAAAACGTAGGGTCCACTGTCCAAAAGAAATGCGCAAACGCGTGAAGTGAAGAACTTAGACAAGGACCTTCTTCTTTGTTGTCTACTGCCAATAAGGAGAGAAAGAAGCACTAAAACCTCGTGAGACTCAGAGCTGAGAGCACCACCGCCCACCGCCACCGGGTCCCAACTCAACCCCTCCTTTTCTTTCCGTCAAACGGCCTAATTGCATGGATTTTCTTGTTATTCAGTCCTAAATAAAAGTTGAATTTGCTCTCAACTTGCACCTTTTAGTTTAACTTGTCCCCTGAATTTATAATTCAGTGCAATTTTGCTTTAAAAAGTCTATCAATTTTACCTAATTCTCGCGCGAATTTAGGCTTTTAAAATGTAAATTATATTAAGTTTAGAGGGCAATTTGGACTTTACATTTTTAAATATGTAAGAAATAGAATTTGATTAATTTAATTTTATAGCTCCATATCCATAGGATCTACCCAGATGCATCCATACCTTAATCCAGATTAGGGATAGGGATTATTTTAATAAGTGCCTAAACTTAATTTAGCACAGGACAAAGGGACAGTGTCGGCATTTGCCTGTCTAATCTATCTTTGTTATTTATGATAATAGTACCAATTTTGCTCCAGCTGTGCTGAAAATGATTTTTATTTAAAAATGCTTAATCAGGAATTTAAATTACAATTTTCTGTGATAGAAAATAAAGAGTAAATGATGCAGAATGTCAAACCATAAGTAATGGATGGTGTCACACTTTTCATACTCCTAAATTGGAATTTGACATTTTCGATAATGACTGTCATGAAGGGGGACAAAGCACAGGTATGTCTAATTTCAGAAGCATCATCAAAACTTTTGCACCAGTAAAATACTTATTTAGACGAGTACATTAACTAATACAAATAAAATTATTTTTATTTTATTATCTTTTCTCGATATATAGGCAGAATTTTTTTTTATTAATTTGATTCATATGAAAAAAAAAAGAAAATTAAAAAAAAAAAAAAAACCAAAACGGAATTCACATGTTTCATCAAGCACAGAGGGACCCTCGGATACATATATGTTCATTAGAAAGATGGTCACTCAAATTACAAAGAACGGACGATGTTGATTTTGATTACGCATGCCTGACTTAAGCCACGCCTTATCCCAAAGTAACTTTCTAATAGGATCAATAAGGGGACCAATTGCATTATTTTACATTTAGCAACATATTATATTCAATCTTTTTTATAACCTATATTATTAATAATAAATTTTAAAATATTTGATTTTTAAATGTTAAATATTGGGTTAGTGTATGGTTGCTGTAATTTTTTCAAAAAATAAGTTTTATATTTTTAATCATTTAATCAGTATTTAATTTATATTTTAGAGCGGTTAAAGATTTTTAAATGTAAACATCAACATTATCTCTTGTGTGCAAATAGAAAAGAAAAGAAAAGATAAATTGAGCAAATAAAGTGAAATTAAATATCTGATGCACATGCTATGCTTCGTGTTCGTAAAAGAAAAGTTTTTTTTTTTTTTTGGTCCAAATGAAATAATGTAACGGTTGACAATTATCATATTAGAGATGAAATGCAAGTAATAAAGTAATAGTAGGATCATATCACATGAAACCACATGAGTTTTGGGCTCCGCATGTGCATTTTCCTAATCTAAACCTACCTACCTGCAAGTATTCTACAGCTACAATAATTAATAACTACACACTACAGACTTATATATATTAGTACTTACGCATAAAAATAAAAACAAATAAAATGAATTGGAGAATTACGTACTATTATATTTATAAAAAATTAATGAAATTAAATATAAAAAACTGAAAATATATGAAAATAGAAAATATATTAATTATGGATCAGTTTATACTTATATATTAATTAGGGACTCTAAAAAATTAAATCCGACGAGTTAAAACTTTATTAATTAAGACGCTGTTTATCATTAAGTGAGATGGGCCTTTAATGATCTCCTCGGTCCCTCAAGCCCCGGCCTAATATCGCTCCAGGGGCCTTGGCGATGTTGATCTACTTATATTGGGCTTTATAGTACAATCGTGAACTGCTCAACCCTGACCGTTCATTTTCAGTCAATTGCGAGAAAATTCCTAAAGCTAGTGCTAAACTTGATTTTTGGAAATTTACCGTGTAATAAAGATGACAAAAGTGACCTGAATTTCAAGTTCCAAGTCACTTGTCAGTTACAAATACACCGAGAAATCAAATTCTCCGGTCATCTCTCCGTACTCTGTACATTCAAAAACATGTATTATATTACATCAACTTGAGAACAGAACACAGATTGTTATGAAATGGATCTGATATGTGCTCAAGAAGGTTCTGAACTGGACCTTTACCAGTCAGAGCAGCTTGGGCATAAAAGCCTAACCATGCAACCATAGCTAAGCGCCCATTTTTAATTTCTTTCACCTTCAGCTCCTCGAAAGCTACTGGATCACCCGAGAGATTCAAGGGATCAAAAAGTGCCCCTCCTGGATAATTTATATCTCCTGGTAGGTAAATTCCCAAAGGCTCCAATGCCTCAATCCCACAATATCTTGCATACTCTGGTCCGACCTGTTTATAGAGGCAGTGAGATTCCAAGAACCTAAATATATACAATGGTAGAACTGCATGCAGCGTCCAAGAACTTGCATTTCTAGTTGAGTATCTAAAATATTTTACACTCTTGGAATGCGAAGGATGACAATCTGTAAGAGCGAGTTTAATGCACCATATTCCATCACATGAACTAATTATGAATATGCCAGTATCCTATTTTCATATGGGTTGTGCGGTTGGGAGATCAGGCAATAGGGAGGCGCAAAGCAAGCCCCTAATTCAGCCAACATGAATTAAGCTCTATTAGTTTTGCTAGAACTCGAGCATGGTCCAAATTCACCCAACTGACGATTTTGTAAAGGTATATGCACAAAGAAAAATGTAAGACATTGCATGGTTATTGGAGGCCAGAAAATAGTATAGCTCGACAGGGATGTTAATTACCATGAGGAGAGCTTGGCAAATAGCAATGACAATCACACCTTGGCTTCCAGCTAGGTGCAATCCTGGGATGCCAAGATAATCCAGTGTATCTCCCTGATAAAAGAAAAGAGATCGGTCAATTGATATTGCTGTTAAACTAAGCAAATTCATGCAACAACATCGAATACAACAGGTAAAATTGTATATCGCTCAAATTTCCAGCACAAAGATTGTCTGGAGTCAAAAGATGGCAAGTTAGGAAATCCATGAGCCAAAAATATGTGGAGCATTATGGACTTACTGAAACCAAAGATGCTAACCTTAAGCTTTGAATAGCCAACTCGCCACCATACAGGTTCAATGAAGTGGAAGGCACCAGATAAATCCAGTAACTCTGGAACCAAAGCACCAAGGGCAGCAAGCATAGCCCAACGAGCATGAAGTATTTCAAAGCTGCACAAAAATGGAGATCAAATTCGGTATTTATAACTCAATCGTAAATATTTCAAAAGGAAAATATAGCCTCATTCATTGTTCTTATACTAGATCCTTAAAATTTACAATATATATGCTCGACTGTATGGCTCTACATTGTCCAAACTAAGTGATGGTGAAAACTGTAGAAAAACAGCCCTAGAGAACATTAACCTTTGATAGGTTTCTGCAAAAAGAGCTGGGCAACCAGCCACAAGAAAAAGCCACATAATAAAACATTTACACAATTGCAGATTGCAAATACTTCAAAGATTGAATAATAATTATTCAGTACACAAACTTAGCAATGCCTTGCCATTAATCTTGTTACAAAGTTTAAAACTTCTATTTCCATTGAATTAATGACATGGGAAGATTGTGCTTAAAAATGCATGCCTTGAATAGAACAATAAATGTCTAACATACTTGAAGTATCTCTGGAAAGCCACAGGGTCTTTGCTTAGACCTGCAACATCAAAACCATAATCTCCAGGCAGTTCTCCAGTAAGATATTGGGGGTAGTCATATGGAATGGGACCAAGCCAGTGGGGACGCTCTTCTCCATACCACAAGCTGCAATTGAGAATTCTTATATTATATATGCATTAGAGAAAGTAATACATACCAATATATGACTGAACATCTGTCTACATTGTAAATGTGCTCTGTGGTTTTTCCTTCTAAGATGTTATAGGTAAAATTATTTGCATACTGAATTTAATAAAAGTAGTGCATACCTTACAGGGGGATCTGCTATATTAAAAATAGGTGGGTCTAGACTTATTCATTTATTGGTTCTTTTTCATGCTCGCATGGTGAGTGTTATATTTCTTTACAGGAAAAACATAAAAATAGAGGAACACGCAACTAATGGCGCTCAAAAGCTTCTGTATGTTTTTTTATTGGTTTTCATAAGGAAATCTGCATGAGATATAAGTTTAGCAACAATACAAATTTTGATGGAGTTTACTATGAACAGAAATTAAAATTTCTCAAAATCCATATAGATTAAGTCCTTTTTCAGATTAGGGGAAAAAAAAAAGCCACATTCTTATATTGTTCCCTTAAAGTTTAATTAACCCCCAACAACAATCTACCAAATGTTAGTTGCCTAAATCCCCCGGGAGAGTGCAAGCCCCATAAATAACACGGAATTCAAAATATGTAAGTTTTTGGAATTTCATGATTACAAAGGAAATATATGCTTTCAACGGGGTTTGTTTATTTTCATGTAGATTATTTTAAAAGTTGGAGATATGATCTCCTAATTTGTGGTTAACGAGTAAAAACAAAGTCTTCTAATTTTGAACAACTCTATCGATCATCCAAGTTCGATAGTGCAAAAAAACAACTTTCCAATTTCATAACGGCAGATACAAAAGAAAGCCATCTGCTTACCCCGAAATTACCTCTCTTTACGGGCCTTTGCAGCTAAAGCCTGGAGCTTGGAGGATTCCTGGATGGCAACTTTCTTCCTCTCCTCCATTCGTCTCTGGAGAGACTCACCCAGCGGACTATTGGCAATAGCTTTCACTGCTGTGAAAGGAATCGCCGAGAAAACCAGAACTCCAGCGAGCTTCAAACAGCAATATTGAAGTACATAGTTCTAATTAATCAATACTGAATCCAAAATTCACAGACTAAAAATGAAATAATTAAAAATAAGAGAAAAGACGTAGTGATGCGCAGAGTACCTCTTGCCATGAAGCTTTGCAAGGGGGAGTAGAACTGCTGGCGATTCTTTTGAGCAGAATTTTTCGAGGTTTTGGGGCCAGTGGTTTTGAGCCTTGCACAAAGAAAGAAGAAGAAGAAGAAGATAATAAAGGAGAGGACACCGAAGCCTGTGGATGAAGTTGCAGAACCATGACTGCTGGCCCCCGAAGGCACCAATTGTTCGGTATTTTTCGCGGACTGCATTTTAACCGTTAAAAGAAAAAGACTTCTACATATTTTTTAATTAATGATAAATTTAAAACATTTAATTTTATTCAAAAATATTCTTTAAATTTATAAATTTTATTTTCAATAAATGAAATTTATAAAAAATTTTATAATCCGAGCAAGCATTTTATTATTGTAATAGATGTATAGTTTTTTTAGAAACTTATTGGAAATAATTTCTTATTCATTTTGAAATTTTTAAATAAAGATTTATGTGAATATAATATGAAAACATCACCGTCGTCATTGCTCGATTAATATTTATAATTCATTAAAGTTTCAATTTCACTTTAATTTCAAATATATATAATTTAGTACATTATTAAAAATATAAAATTATAATCAAACAAGAAAATCCTTTTTTTCATTTTATAATTTGAATTGTACTAATTATAAAAAAAGCTTTGCTAGATTGACATAATATACTTATGAGATTGTTTTAAAGTCCCAAAAAATTTAAGCAAAAATAAAGTTTTCAAACTTTATCATTTTGATTATTGTGTTTCGATTTTTCATTTTTTTAAATATAAAGTTATAAAAATTAAGATGATTTGATATTAAAATCATAAGATCATGAAGAAGCCAATTAAGAATTTGTATACTTTTCAATTTTTATCTATATCCTATTTATCTAAAAGCAGTAAAAAAAAGATCGATTAATTCAATTTAATTTTCCCTAAAAAGAAAAATTTGTTGCGTATTTACTTTAACTTGCATTTACTACGGACATTATATGCATTCGTCGTTAGGCTAATATAAAATTCATATTATTAAAATCTAACGTGATAGTAAAATTCTTAGCAAAAAATAAATGTGATAGTAAAATTTAATATAGTGATAAATTTGAATGATTTTTCATAAACAGTTAATAAATCCTCGGGTCATATGCTTAATACGCCAAACCTAAAACACAAACATTGGGTTTCATTATTATTGGGGCTCATAATCTTCGGCCCACATGATTGACAAAACACGTAAATGTTATAGAGGCTAGACGCCGTCGCTTTAAATAAACGCTGCCGTCTTATTATTTGTCGGAATGCCAAAGGCGGTGATGCAAAAACAACACTAGCAACTGGCGGTCTTTTTTAATCTCAACTCAACGGTGAAAAGGTGCAGTCTTAGCATCTGTAATACCGTAGTCGGAGGAGGAGGAAGTGGGAGGGAGGTTCTTTGTTCAAATTTTCACGAAGGGGTTTATCATTCCATACTTTAACAGGGGAGATTCTTTGGCTATTGTAAGCACTCTGTTTCATTTTCTGTATCTCTGCGAGTTGCTTTTGTTAGTTTAGGTTTAACATAAGTTCCAGTAATTGTGATAATAGGTTTGTATGAAATCTTAGATAACAGGCTTATAGCCATTCGATTTTACTCTGCCTTTTTTTTTTTTTTAAATTTATCTTAAACCCTAGACTTTCTGAACTTATTATTGTAATTTTAATCTTTTTTATTTTGTGCAACTTAGGGTTTTGAGTGCCAGAAAATTTAATGGCACATCTAGGTGGTGGTGCGGAGGCACACGCCCGATTTAAGCAGTATGAGTACCGAGCCAACTCCAGTCTGGTGCTTACCACTGATTCTCGCCCACGCGACACCCACGAGCCCACCGGTGAACCTGAGTCCCTTTATGGCAAGATTGATCCTAAAAGCTTCGGTGAGCGTGCATATAGAGGCAGACCACCCGAGCTAGACGAAAAGATTAAGAAATCTAAGAAGAAGAAGGAGCGGGACCCACTTTCAGAGCCTGTTCCCAGTCGCCAAGCTAAGAAGCGCCGTCTGCGAGAAGAGAGTGTCCTCACTTCTACTGAGGAAGGTGTTTATCAGCCCAAAACCAAGGAAACAAGAGCTGCCTATGAGGCCATGCTCAGTTTCATTCAGCAGCAGTTGGGGGGTCAGCCTCTCAATATTGTTAGTGCAGCTGCAGATGAGATTTTGGCTGTCCTCAAGAATGATGCTATTAAGGCCCCTGATAAGAAGAAAGAGATTGAGAAGTTGCTGAATCCTATTCCCAATCACGTTTTTGATCAGCTTGTTTCCACTGGCAGGCTCATCACTGATTACCAAGATGGTGGTGATGCTGCAGGGCCTGCTTTGGCTAATGGTGATGATGCCCTTGACGATGATGTGGGTGTGGCTGTTGAGTTTGATGAAGAAAATGAGGATGAGGATGATGATAGTGATCTTGACGCAGTGCCTGATGAGGAAGAGGAGGATGATGATGTGGCAGAGCCTAATGGTACAGGGGCTATGCAAATGGGTGGTGGAATTGATGATGAAGACATGCAGGAGGCTAATGAAGGAATGAGCCTCAATGTGCAGGATATTGATGCTTATTGGCTTCAGAGGAAGATCTCACAAGCTTATGAACAACAAATTGACCCACAACAATGCCAGAAGCTTGCCGAGGAGGTGCTTAAAATTCTTGCTGAGGGAGATGACAGGGAGGTTGAAAGCAAGTTGTTGTACCATCTTCAATTTGAGAAGTTCAGCCTCATTAAGTTTCTCTGTCATAACAGGCTTAAGATCGTATGGTGTACTCGTTTGGCAAGGGCTAAAGACCAACAGGAGAGGAAACAGATTGAGGAGGAAATGATGAGCTCAGGTCCAGATTTGGTGGCAATTTTGGAGCAGTTGCATGCAACAAGGGCAACAGCAAAAGAGAGGCAAAGGAACTTGGAGAAAAGTATAAGGGAAGAGGCACGTCGGCTCAAGGACGAGAGTGGTGGTGATGGTGATAGGGATAGGAGGGGGCTTATTGACAGAGATATTGACAGTGGTTGGGTGAAAGGTCAGCCTCAGTTGCTTGATCTAGACAACCTTGCATTTGAGCAAGGTGGTCTTTTGATGGCAAATAAGAAATGTGATCTTCCAGTGGGTTCCTTTAGGAATCCAGGCAAGGGTTATGAAGAAGTTCATGTTCCAGCCTTAAAGCCCAGACCATTAGAGCCTGATGAGAGGCTTGTGAAAATATCTGATATGCCAGACTGGGCACAACCAGCTTTCAAAGGGATGCAACAGCTGAACAGGGTCCAAAGCAAAGTCTATGAGACTGCTCTTTTTAAGGCAGATAACATCCTCCTCTGTGCCCCCACTGGGGCAGGAAAAACCAATGTTGCTGTACTCACCATTCTCCAGCAGATTGCACTGAATAGGAACCCAGATGGTTCATTCAATCATAGCAACTATAAGATAGTCTATGTGGCGCCTATGAAAGCTCTTGTGGCTGAAGTAGTGGGCAATTTATCCAATCGCCTGCAAGAGTATGGTGTCAAGGTCAAGGAACTAAGCGGAGACCAGACATTGACTCGTCAACAAATTGAAGAAACTCAAATAATTGTGACTACTCCTGAAAAATGGGATATTATTACCCGAAAGTCTGGGGATCGCACTTACACTCAGCTTGTGAAACTTCTTATAATTGACGAAATTCATCTTCTCCATGATAATAGAGGACCTGTGCTTGAGAGTATTGTTGCTAGAACTGTTAGACAAATTGAAACTACAAAAGAACATATCCGGCTGGTAGGTTTATCTGCTACACTACCTAATTTTGAAGACGTGGCATTGTTTCTAAGAGTTGATGTTGAAAAAGGACTCTTTCATTTTGACAATAGCTATAGACCTGTCCCACTGACTCAACAGTACATTGGAATTACAGTTAAGAAGCCGCTGCAAAGGTTTCAGTTGATGAATGATATCTGTTATGAGAAGGTAATGGCTGTGGCAGGAAAACATCAAGTTCTCATTTTTGTTCACTCGAGGAAGGAAACAGCAAAGACAGCTCGGGCAATAAGAGATACTGCACTTGCTAATGATACTCTAGGCAGATTCTTGAGAGAAGACAGTGCGAGCCGTGAGATTCTCCAAAGTCATACAGATATGGTCAAAAGCAATGATTTGAAAGATCTTTTACCCTATGGTTTTGCGGTCCACCACGCGGGCATGACAAGGGTTGACCGTCAACTTGTTGAGGATCTTTTTGCTGATGGCCATGTGCAAGTGTTGGTTTCCACTGCAACTCTTGCTTGGGGTGTTAACTTGCCTGCACATAGTGTGATTATTAAAGGAACTCAGATTTACAATCCAGAAAAAGGAGCATGGACTGAATTAAGTCCTTTGGATGTTATGCAGATGTTGGGTCGTGCAGGAAGGCCTCAGTTTGATTCATATGGGGAAGGAATTATCATCACTGGCCATAGTGAACTTCAGTACTATCTATCTTTAATGAATCAACAACTACCTATTGAGAGTCAATTTGTATCCAAACTGGCTGATCAATTGAATGCAGAAATTGTTCTTGGAACTGTCCAAAATGCTAGAGAAGCCTGCAATTGGCTTGGGTATACTTACTTGTATGTACGCATGCTGCGGAATCCGACACTTTATGGATTGGCACCGGATGTTCTCACAAGAGATATTACACTGGAGGAGAGGAGGGCTGATTTGGTAACCATCAAACCCTCAGTGGCTTTGTTGTAGTTGATGTTGCTCTGATTCTTTTTATTATGTTTTAATATGGATTTATGCATGCAACTTTTTCATCATAAATATTGGTTTAGCAGTTCCTTTTTGTTTATTGGAAGATTGGATTGGGGAGTGCAGATTTAATTTATTTATCTAATCATGTTCAATTTCAATATGAACAAATAATGATTCCAAATAAATCTATGAAGGCAGCTTATCGGTTTTTGGTTTATGTGCTTAGAGGTCGTAGATATTGTCTGTTATGGTCAAGTAAATCATTCATTATAGGCATTATACATTGGAATTATGCTCTTGCTAATTGCATATAGCAGCTATACGTGATGCATCTTTGCATTTTAAATAAAGAAAAAAAAAAAAAAAAAAATTATACAATTCATAATATAGCAAATACATTGAATATGCTACTGCTAATTGCATAATAGCAGCTATACGTGATGCCATTACTTTGCAATTTTCATAAAGAAAAAAAAAAAATAAATAAAAAAAAAAAAAAAAAAAAAATTCTTGCACTAGTAGTGCTGCTACTTGCATCAGGATATTTAAATGTTTATTTGGATACTTATTCTTGCGTCTAGTTTTAACTGTTGTTGCATTCTTTTCCACCTCATATAATTTCTTCGGAAGCATGTTGTTGTGCAAGTGGAACTTATTTAATTTCCACTCTTTCTTAGTTTCTTCTTCAATTTCAGCTGCTATTTGTATCTATATTATCTATAATATGGATCTAATCTTATTCTAATATTGTTCACAGATTCATTCTGCTGCTACTATCCTGGAGAAAAATAATCTGGTTAAGTATGACAGAAAAAGTGGATATTTCCAGGTTACTGATTTGGGACGGATCGCTAGTTACTACTACATCACTCATGGGACAATATCCACATATAATGAACATCTGAAGCCAACAATGGGGGATATAGAGCTATGCCGTTTGTTTTCACTGAGTGAAGAATTTAAATACGTAACAGTGAGACAAGATGAGAAGATGGAACTGGCAAAGCTTTTGGATCGTGTTCCAATTCCAATCAAGGAAAGCCTAGAGGAGCCCAGTGCTAAGATTAATGTTTTGCTTCAGGCCTATATTTCACAACTTAAGCTCGAAGGGCTTTCTCTCACGTCAGACATGGTGTTCATAACCCAGGTAATTTTTTTGCAACTAGTTGTTTGTTCTTCCTTAATTTGCTATTTCTGTTAAGAGACATTCATTCATTTTGTTTTTAAATTTTCTTGTTCAGAGTGCGGGTCGTCTTATGCGAGCTCTTTTTGAGATTGTCTTGAAAAGAGGCTGGGCACAGTTGGCTGAGAAGGCTCTGAACTTATGTAAAATGGTCAATAAGAGGATGTGGAGCGTCCAGACCCCACTTCGCCAATTCAATGGGATTCCAAATGAAATCCTGATGAAATTGGAGAAGAAAGATTTAGCTTGGGAAAGGTTTTATGACCTTTCATCACAAGAGATCGGTGAACTGATTCGCTTCCCAAAGATGGGCAGAACATTGCACAAGTTCATCCACCAGTTCCCTAAGCTAAACCTGGCAGCTCATGTTCAGCCAATCACTCGTACAGTCTTGAGAATTGAACTCACTATAACACCAGACTTCCAGTGGGAGGACAAGGTACATGGATATGTGGAGCCTTTTTGGGTCATTGTGGAGGACAATGATGGTGAATATATTCTTCATCATGAGTACTTTATGCTGAAGAAGCAATACATTGATGAGGACCACACGTTGAACTTTACAGTGCCTATCTATGAGCCATTGTCCCCTCAGTATTTCATACGTGTTGTGTCCGATAAGTGGCTTGGGTCACAGACTGTTTTACCCGTCTCTTTTAGGCACCTTATCTTACCAGAAAAGTATCCTCCACCAACAGAGTTATTAGACTTGCAACCTCTGCCTGTTACTGCTTTGAGGAATCCATCGTATGAAGCTCTGTATCAAGATTTTAAACATTTCAATCCTGTACAAACTCAGGTATTTACAGTTCTATATAACACAGATGACAACATTTTGGTTGCTGCTCCAACAGGGAGTGGGAAAACTATCTGTGCTGAGTTTGCTATATTGCGGAATCTTCAAAAGGGACCTGATAGTATCATGCGTGCTGTGTATATTGCACCTCTTGAAGCAATTGCAAAGGAACGTTATCGAGATTGGGAGAGAAAGTTTGGTCAAGGTCTTGGCATACGGGTTGTTGAATTGACTGGGGAAACAGCGACTGACTTGAAACTGCTTGAAAAGGGTCAAATAATCATCAGTACTCCAGAGAAATGGGATGCCTTGTCTCGTCGCTGGAAGCAAAGGAAGTATGTGCAACAGGTGAGTCTATTTATCATTGATGAGCTCCACTTGATTGGGGGTCAAGGTGGTCCTGTTTTGGAGGTGATTGTTTCTAGAATGAGGTATATTGCCAGTCAGATTGAGAACAAGATTCGAATTGTGGCTTTGTCATCATCTCTTGCAAATGCCAGGGATCTTGGGGAATGGATTGGAGCCACCTCCCACGGCCTTTTTAATTTCCCTCCTACTGTGCGTCCTGTTCCCTTGGAAATACACATTCAGGGAGTGGATATTGCCAATTTTGAAGCGAGGATGCAGGCCATGACCAAACCAACATATACTGCAATAGTCCAACATGCCAAAAATGGGAAGCCTGCTATCGTGTTTGTTCCAACAAGAAAGCATGTGCAGCTCACTGCAGTGGATCTGATGACATACTCTAGTGTGGACAGCGGAGAGAAGCCTGCTTTTATGTTGCGATCCTCAGAGGAACTGGAGCCTTTTGTTGGAAAGATTCAGGATGGAATGTTAAAAGCCACTTTACTTCATGGAGTTGGCTATTTGCATGAGGGCTTGAGAAGTTTGGATCAAGAGGTTGTGTCACAGTTGTTTGAAGCTGGGTGGATTCAAGTTTGCGTTATGAGCAGTTCAATGTGTTGGGGGGTGCCATTGTCAGCACATTTGGTGATTGTGATGGGAACTCAATATTATGATGGACGTGAAAATGCTCACACAGATTACCCTGTTACAGATCTCCTACAAATGATGGGTCATGCTAGTCGACCTCTTCTAGATAACTCTGGAAAGTGTGTCATCCTTTGCCATGCACCCAGGAAAGAGTATTACAAGAAATTCTTATATGAAGCATTCCCTGTAGAGAGTCATTTGCACCATTTCCTGCACGATAATTTTAATGCAGAAGTTGTTGCTGGAGTTATTGAAAACAAGCAGGATGCTGTGGATTATCTTACATGGACTTTTATGTATCGGCGGCTCACTCAAAATCCAAACTACTACAATCTCCAGGGTGTCAGTCACAGGCATCTTTCTGATCACCTTTCAGAGCTTGTTGAAAATACATTGAAGGATTTGGAAGCAAGTAAATGTGTTGCTATTGAGGAAGACATGGATCTGTCTCCATTGAATCTTGGCATGATAGCATCTTACTACTACATCAGCTATACTACTATCGAGCGTTTTAGTTCTTCTTTGACTCCCAAAACAAAGATGAAGGGTCTTCTGGAAATTTTGGCTTCAGCTTCAGAGTATGCACAACTTCCAGTACGACCCGGAGAGGAAGAGGTGCTTCGGCGGCTGATCAATCACCAGAGGTTCTCATTTGAAAATCCTAGGTACACTGATCCACATGTGAAGGCAAATGTACTTCTACAAGCCCATTTCTCGAGGCAATATGTGGGTGGGAACCTAGCGCTGGATCAGCGAGAGGTGCTCCTTTCTGCCGCTAGATTGCTTCAAGCAATTGTTGATGTTATTTCGAGCAATGGTTGGTTAAGCCTTGCTCTTCTTGCGATGGAAGTTAGCCAAATGGTGACTCAGGGGATGTGGGAGCGTGATTCAATGCTTCTGCAGCTTCCACACTTCACAAAGGAATTGGCAAAGAAATGCCAAGAGAATCCTGGAAAGAGTATAGAAACAGTGTTTGATTTGGTAGAAATGGAAGATGATGAGAGGCGGGAGCTTCTCCAGATGTCGGACTCACAGTTGCTAGATATTGTGAGGTTTTGCAATCGCTTCCCAAACATCGATATGTCATATGAGGTGATAGACGGTGAGCATGTGAGAGTGGGAGAAGATATAACTTTGCAGGTCACCCTTGAACGAGATATGGAAGGAAGGACAGAGGTGGGACCAGTTGATGCTCCCAGGTATCCTAAAGCCAAAGAAGAAGGATGGTGGCTTGTTGTGGGTGATACCAAGAGCAACCAGCTGCTTGCTATCAAGAGGGTTTCTCTCCAGAGGAGGTCAAAGGTGAAGCTCGAGTTTGCTGCTCCCTCGGAAGGTGGAAGGAAGTCTTATAATCTGTTTTTTATGTGTGATTCTTATTTGGGCTGCGATCAGGAATATAGCTTCGACGTTGATGTCAAAGAAGCAGGTGGCCGGGATGATGACGGTGGGAGGGAGTAAAATCCATTTTTTGATTTTCTATTTAATAACTTTTTGTAGCATCGATGATAACTATTAAAGTGATTTTGGTCGGTGTATTTGCTTTTCTTCTTGATTATCTGATGCATGTAACTTGATTTCCCTGAACATACTCTTGTGATGGAGGTGAAAGTATTATTATATGTGGCGATGCCTTAATTTTCCATATCTATACATTATGTATGAGTTCACTTCTTGATAAATGAAATGCTCATGTAAAAGTGTAATCCAGTATTGTATTATATTCTTTGCTACAAAATAAGATTCTCGCGAATATGCATGTTGATTTAGGCTTTTAGCTGATACTCTATGAAATCAATAATAGTCATTAACAGACGTTTTTAACAACATGAAATTTAATTTACCAATAGGGGGTGTAATACAGTAAATGTAAAAGGAAACAGACTGACAGGCATGCACTAACAAAATGCTTAGAAAAACTACATTACATCATCAACGGTGTACTAATAGTTAAAGCTAATCCTTCGTAGATGCAACACTCGTCGGTTTCAGGATTGTAAATTTAATCTTCGTAGATGCGACACTCGTCGGTTTCAGGATTGTCCTGGCAGAAATACTCGAGAGGATCCCGTTTCTCCAACTTGAGCCTGAAATTGGCTTTGGCCTCGCTCACCTCCTCTACCTCATCCCACGCCACTTTGCACTCGTCTGAGGTTCTGTCTCCTTCGCATACCTCCTTCGCTTCTATCACCTTCTGCTCTATCATCTCCGTCAGCTGCTTTTCCCTCATCTGCGTCCCTTTGAACTTCGGTGTTCCTCCCCTCGCTTTCACCCTCAGATTCAAACCCGCTTTACTTCTACTTCCTTTTAAGGCTAACGAATTGGGGAAAAGGTTGCAGAAACCGTCGGATCGTCGCGAGAAAGACGAAGAAAAGATCAACGTTTCTCTCGTTGGAGCACTTACAGCTGTTGCGAAAGCATGGGATGCCATTTTCTTCTGTTAACGTCGATTGATCAGCAGACTCTTTAATGGAGATGGATGTAAGTGGAAAATAAGACTCTTCTGGATTTTGTTCACCAATACCAGCTCTAGGATATAAACGTAATTTTAGAGTTTTATTAGATTGGTTGGTTGGCCTCATAGTGGTTTCAACGGCCTGGATTTCATGCCGTAAAATGACGGCAATTGACGGCAATTGTTTTGTGAGTGTGACATCCATACCTTTCAACGATAGGAAGTAGAAAAACATTATCCAAATACATCCACATCAACAGCCTACTTTGGAGAAAGAGATAAGTTCAAAACAATATGACGAACCAGAGCTGTCCTTTTGTCGTTGCTTTTATCACCCTTCCTTTCTATGGGCTCTTTCCGTTTTTTCTTATTCTATTTTTCACTCTAATGGGCTTCCTGCAAACAAGGCCTTACCTAGTTTTCGGGTTTCGGTGTGGCCCAAATACAGAAGCCCACTTTTTGAGTTTTTCTATTAAATAAATTAAAATTCAAACTCCAAAAAGGTAGGGCCACGCACAAACGTTCATCCCATAAAATTTAAATCAACTGGTCCTTGAGAAGCAACGGCTAGTTCTTGATTTCAAAATTTCCTAGCTTACTCGCCGGCTTTCTCAGCGCTTGAAGAAAAAGAAGGAGTAATGGAAGATATTCAAGTAGGCGGATTGGATCCGGAGTCGCAGTTTCTTGCCTCAAAGCAGGAGACGGGTTATGAATGGGAACTCTTCAAGGAGAATGTGAGGCCCTTGAAGAGAGGCCGTAATGTTCGTCTCTTGAACGACGCTCTCAAATCGCACATCCTCAGTCAACCCAAGAAGTCTCTTCTTGAGACTCGAAGGTCCTTCTTCTTCTTAATCTTTATATTTTATTTCTACTTGTTTTTTAAGTCATTTTTCTTTTTAATTTTGTTGTCTGTTCCTTTCTCTTATTCTTAATTTGGATGGGTGTAGGAGGTTGATTGAGGCAATTGATGAGTATGAAGGGGATGATCCTCTCCTTCCATGGCTCGAGTAATTAAGTTTCACCTTCTATTTTTTTCATATTCATCTCTTATAACCTAGATCCAACTTGTCTTTTTCTGTTTTCATGTACTTGTCTGTTTGACTAGTACTGCTTTCTTTTTCAAGGTGTATCAAATGGGTTCAGGAGTCATTTCCGCCCGGTGGAGATTCCTCGGGACTTATAGTGATATATGAACAATGTGTGCGTGCGTTTTGGCATTCAGACCGCTACAAGGATGATCTTCGCTACCTCAAAGTGTGGCTGGAATACGTGGGTTCTTTTTTTGCCGATTCCTTGCTGTTCTTGAAATTTAATACTATTGCTTACCTCCGGTATCCATTTAGGATTTTCTTTGTTCGCTCAAGTAGGCCTGATGTGTTAACGACCTTGTATTTAGGCTGAAAACTGCATTGATGCGGAAGTCATCTACAATTTTCTTGATGCAAATGAAATTGGAAAGTCTCATTCTGCTTATTACATTGCATACGCTTTGCATATGGAGTACAAATCTAAGATGAGGGCTGCAAATGACATATTCAATCTCGGTATATCTAGGCAAGTCTTCTTTTTCTTTCTTCTTTCTTCATTTTTAATTCTTCATTTTATGTGTGCTGATTTCTTTTTGTATAGCATGTAATAGAACTATCTTGATATAAATAATAACAAAAAAAATCTATGTTTATGGCTTAACCTTTTTTGCCTGGTCTTTTTCACAAGGATTTATGCTACCACTATACAGATTTGATTTATGTTTGAGCTTGTTAAATTTGTCAGCTTAGTGTTATTGACAAATATAGCCTAAATTGAACTCGCGATGGTTAAATCCGATTAATGAGTTGTTCAGCGCTGAGATGTAAAATTGTATTTACTTGAAAATTCATGCCTAGATCGAAGCTGCGAGAGATTTCTGCCTCAAAAGCTTAGGTTTGTTACCGTCTGGTTGAACATTATGTGAGGTTAGTTTATATCATGGAATGAATTCTGCATTAGGTTCTGGATATGGAGAGGTCAATATTATTTGGGCTTTGTCATGAAAAATACTTGATTTATAAAATGTTATTCCATCTCTGCAAATATCATCTCCTGCTGCTCTGTTGTTACATATGTCCAACCAAAAGCAGCATAGAATATTAGCTCTTTTTTCAACATGTTACATATAATTCATTTTGTTATGCAGTGATGAACTTGCTTATCTGATTGTTTTTTCTGCTACACAGGGATGCTCAACCAATAGAAAAATTGAAGGATGCGTATAAGAAATTTCTCATTAGATCAATGGGGAGACCCAAAATTGTGGAGGTATACAACTTTTTTGGAGGGAGTTAAATAATTTTCATGTGAATGACATATTGTTCGATTTTCTTTCAATTTTTAGGAGGATGCTGGAGAAAATAACCTGCCAGCCCGAAGCTTTGGAACTGTGCTGACCAGAGTAGGAAATGGTAAGTTTGTTCTTATTCCTGTGTTCCTCGATCTTAACATTTTACATGCTAAGAAACATATTTCGTATCTTATAGGAAGGCAAAATATGGGGACGTCAGATATTGCCAGGAACGGATTGAAACAGAACAGGTAAAGGTTATAGGAGTGAAGACTGCATCATTTTAGGAATAGAAGAAACTTAATACTGCAACCAAAGGCACACATAGGCACTCATAATTTCCACTTATGCAATAAATTGTCTATTGCATTACGCTTTGAATCAAAAGAGAACAGTTGGAATGGATCAAATTGTTATTAAAACCATCAGCTATGAAGTTCTAATTAAATTATAACCGTTTGAAGGGTTCTTATAGTTCGTAAAATTTAAAGGTTTTTGATAATGTAGTTGTCGTAAGGCATCATTGGGATACTAATATACTGATTCATTTTGTAGGGCTCAAAAGACTCCGCTTTCTATTTATAAAGACTCAAATACTGATGTCATTCTGGGGCATCAACCTGGGAAGTCAAAAACAGATTTTAATCCTTGGAACAGTCTTGGAGCTCGTGCTGAGAGAAACAAAGAAAATAACGCAGTGCCTACCAAGTGGACTACCCACAAAGTACCCCTTCTCTAAAGCATCTAGCCTCACTTCCAATTCTTGCTAGAGCACAGTTTTTTCATATCTTCACAATTCACACGAAACATCTAACCTTGGGACTGTGACTTGTTTCAGATTCCACAGAGACCCGGACCTAGAGCCCCTGGAGCAACTGCAAGTGCCTGCATTCAAGTATTTGTTGACGACGAATACGTGGAGTAAGTAATTTTACTTTTCCTTGAGACTGTGTTCTCAAATTTGTAGAAATATTCTTCTTGTTTGATATTTCTGACCCTCCTATAAAAATTTCTTACCAGAACTGATAGATCACATGGTGATGGTGGCAAGCCTTCAACTTTGCTACTCCGGCAACGGGATGACCTAGATATTAAAAAGTAAGTGGTAGCTGCAACTTGTGGTGCTTTCGGTGTCCGAGTTGCACAAAGTGGTGACCATTTCTCATCTTTCATGTGCAGGGAGACGGAGTTATTAAGAGAGAACCCATTGCGGAATTTCCCTTCTAGCAGCCTTCCCAGATGATCGACGTGTTTGTGGAAATTTGTTGTATGAAGAAGATTGAAGAGCATGGATCAGCTTTTAGCTCTAAAGCCGGCTCCCTGTCTCGGCATTTTATATTATTTACTTTTCTGGACACTTTGATTCTGAAATCTCGAGTTGTCGAGAAGTTCCGAGTTTGTTTGAGTGTGTTTTATTAGTTTTTAATTGCTATATTGATGAACATGTTTCTACTGTGATAGCTAGTTCAGTTTGATAAACCTGGCAAAGTATTTATTTTGGATTCTTGATTAAAGGAGATAATATACTAGCAGATATATTAAAACCATCAAAAATTCAAAATCCTACAAGCTAGTCTCCTTGGTTACGTATGAGAAGTGAGAGGTAAGATTTCTTGATTTTCTTTTATTAATTTAAAATATGTTTCATATTTTTTATTTCTTTTTCATTGATTTTATTTTTTTAGTAAACGACAAGATATATATTAAAAATAATTGAAAATCTGAAAATTAGAATCGTAAAAATAAGAGTGACTTTTCGATTATTTCAGATTAATTGGAATCAACACAAATCAAATAAATGAAGAAATAGAATTGAAACATCCGGTGCATTACGTATAGATGCATGATATTTAGATATATGAATCGAATTTGAATTCTCTGGTCTCCACGAGAATGAGTAACCTAGCATATTATTTTAGTAACAAAAAAAATTTAAAATCCTGCCAGAAATTGCAAGCCAATAAATAGTTTCATAGATAATTGTAGGCCGTCTATACGCAATTCAAAAACATAAAGGCCCATGGTCTCACATAATAATGGCCCGTTTTAATTTCCAAAACAAAAAAAAAAAAAGGCCTAGGCTTTTGTTGGGCTTCTTTGTCAAGATTGGTATCTTTTGGTCAAATACTCAAAAGTCGATGAATCCTAGGAAGGCTAACCGATTTGATGAATCGAAAACACGAGGCAGAGGAGGTTCCTTTGTTTTGCTTCAGAAATAGAGAGACTAGAACCTTCCACAATCCAAGGTTGCCCCCTATTTCCCCAAATTCGTTTTCATCTTAGGGTTTTTCGAACTCGCTTTCCTCTCGTCTACCCGCCCAGGAATCGAATTATTTCTTATTAGGGCTTTTAAAACTACAAACGCATTTTATCTTCTTATACTTTGAATTTCCCTCGTATCATTGAAAAAATAACCTAACCGGAGCCGTCAAAGCTTCGAATTCCATTGACCATGGCGGAGCATTTGGCTTCAATTTTCGGTACCGAAAAGGACCGTGTTAACTGCCCCTTCTACTTCAAGATCGGGGCGTGCCGTCATGGAGACCGTTGCTCCCGTCTGCACAACCGCCCAACAATCTCCCCAACTCTTCTCTTATCCAACATGTACCAGCGCCCCGATATGATCACCCCTGGCGTCGACGCCCAGGGCCAGCCTATTGACCCCCGAAAGATCCAGGAGCATTTTGAGGATTTCTACGAAGACATCTTCGAAGAACTCAGCAAGTTTGGCGAGATCGAGAGCCTCAACGTCTGCGATAACCTTGCTGACCACATGATCGGAAATGTCTACGTTCAGTTCAGGGAAGAAGAGCAGGCCGCAGCTGCTCTGCAAGCTCTGCAGGGCCGGTTTTACTCCGGTCGCCCTATCATTGCTGATTTTTCGCCCGTTACTGATTTCCGTGAAGCTACATGCAGGCAGTTTGAGGAGAATAATTGTAACCGTGGTGGTTACTGTAATTTTATGCACGTGAAGCTGATTGGAAGAGATTTGAGGAGAAAGCTATTTGGAAGGTACCGTGGGTACAGAGGGAGTAGAAGCAGGAGCAGGAGTGCGAGTCCGAAGCATAGGAGGGATAAGGATAGGGATAATGATAGGCGAGACAGGGATTACCGAGACCGTGATTACCGTGGGAACGGGCGTAGAAGTGGGGAAAGAAACGAGAGGTATGAAAGAGATAGTGGTAGAAGACGACACGGTAGTCCTAGGCGGAGCAGGAGCCCTGTCAGGGAAGGCAGTGAAGAACGGAGGGCCAGGATTGAACAGTGGAATCGAGAGAGGGAGGAAAAGCAGTGAGGGAGACTGAGTCGGGCTTGTTCCTACTTGGGCATGTCTTTTGGCATTTTTCTTATTGGTAATATTTCTAGGCTCAGATGTTTGGTTTATGCTCCTTGATACTCTGGATATTTGACACTTGATAACCTTCATTTGAAGGATTGGTAATATTTTTGCTGTAGGATGGCGGTGTTGGTAATTATGTCACTTAGAGTGTTACTTTAGCACTGATGGCAGTATTTTTCCACTCCTTATCTGATGTTTAAGATGCAAGGTGCTTTAATCCTCCTGTCAAATTGGTTTTGTGAACCTCCTGTTGTTTATTGTTTTTTTTTATCATCATATCAGATGTTATATATTTCTCTTTCCATGGTCTGGTTGTGTTAATTTTCTCTCTCTAAGTTGCTGGTGAGCACTTGTCTATGTCTATTTTTAGGCTTGCCAATTATGGAATTCCACTTTAGAGCAGCTAGAGTACGTCGAAATGCCTGGAACTTGTTCTTTTTAATCTATATTCCAATAACAAAATTACTAAACCAGACCGAGTTCAATCTAAGTGATGAAATTGTGCAGTATCTACGTAGATATTGTAAGTAGATTGCCTTCTTAATGGAATTTTCTTATAATTTATATAAGTAATGTATCAATATCGTTCAATGCTGGTCATCCAATCTGATTGATTTGCTATGTAATGATTTATGCTTAATGGTGGATTTCCATGCAGCATGTTAGCTTTCCCTGCTACAATATGCTGTCATTTTCTTAATGAAATGGTTAAAGTGTGTTGATTGATCTGCAAGGAAACACATCATTGTAAAGGCTTCTCTTTTCCTTTTCCTTTAGTTGTTGGTTTGATTGATGAATGGGAATAGATTGTGAGTGAGAGAACTTATGAAATTCATTTCTATGATTGTAGATGAAATTTGAATTTTGTGGATGGAATTTACTTAGGAGTTAGGACCCAGTACTATAAGTTCAAAGCAGTTTTAGATATTCTGTTTACTTTGTGCCTGGGATTTTGAGCTGTAGACTGACCAGGAAACCATCAATGAGAGCGGGATTGGTAAATAAAACGACTTAGCATTGTGGAACTTATTGCCCTAGAAAACGTTTTGTAGTTGGAGTTTTAAGTTTTGTCTGGATTTGATTTTGGTATTGGGAGAAGATGGCATACAATGCACAAAAGTTTCATTTCTATGATTTTACTGAATAGCTATCTTGTTTTATGAACATTATATATTGACATGCTTTTGTTAAATGTGAAATGGTGCTAGGAATGTGCTTCTAACACTTCCATAAATGTTAGGTTCCGGTGTTATAGACATCTTATGTATTGGCTCTCTGGTGTGGATGCATGCTTTACTTATGTTCTTTTGTACTGTTCAGAATCTAACTTGTTGTTCATTGAGTGTCAAGCTAGCGTAATTACTGATATTAAGAAAGATGAAGCACCAAGCTATTGCCTAATTTTTGGTATGTGAAAGGTGCGATTAGTTTCTAAACTTTTTTCTAATCATCACTTAATTTTTAGCTTTGATCAATAAGAAGCCGCCAAAGTTTGTCATAAATTCTTTAATAAGCTGAGTTTTGGCAGCCTATCTATGGTCATATTTCCATTATTTTTCTTATTTGAACATTAAGGTTTCTAATTAATGAGGAATGGTGTTTTCTCTCTTCCTCTGCTTTTTGTTGTTTTTGTAGCTTGGCAAACATAGCATGTGGCTCAAACAAGTTAGAATTAGCCAATGGATCTACTGCCATTGCAGCATGAATGTTACTTGAAAAATGGATTCTGTGTTTATTTTCTTTGTATTGTCGTTCCCCTGTGGGCTAGATAAGGTTATGTTGGACTTGGGGTTTTAGGGGAGGCAACTGTTATGTCATGATCAGCAAACATTTCAACAATTTCACATTTTACAAACATTCTGTTCATGCTTATAAGGAGGACCTTTTCATTGATGACGCTGTTTGCTGTTCAGCACTATCAGTCAGTTGGATCAGCAATTACATGTTCTTTAGCATTTTGTAGGGAAGTAGTGAGGATTTTGCTTCAGACTGCATTTAAAAGACTATTAAGTCACAAGGATACAACAATAGGTATCAGAAAGTTCTGTGCTTTGCTGACTCTTGGGAGTACGATTATTATACTTCATTACTTTTTATTTCCCTTTCACAAGACAAAGTAATTACCGTTGCTTATTTTGCTAATGACTTTATCCACTATTGATTTTAGGGCCAGTTTTGGATCTCTGAATTGGGCTAGATGAACACAAGGGTGGCCAGAAAAGAGTCGTTGTCCTGTTAGTATGTTGAATTTTTATTATTGTTCAGTAACTCCCCAAGGGTCAAAACATTAAGTCATGGAACGTGTTGCTGTAGAATTTTTTTTTTTTCTGAAAGAAATTAATTTCTGTGAAAAGCAATATTTTCAAAAGAGTACTATTCAAGTGATAATACTGCAGGAATTTTGATAGTCTTAGGTGAAACTAGTTGAAATGTACGCTTCACTTTTAGTTTCTGTGAAGCAGAATTGAGTCAGGTTTCAGATCATTGTTGGGAGAATTATGAAGTTAGAGTTTCTCTATGATTGTATAAAGACAGCTAACTGAAATGGAGTTGATAGATCGCTGCTGGGATTTCATTTCTCGGTGAGTAGATATTTTGGGTCCCCTTTTTTCCTTATGCTACTTATATGCCATTTCCGATTGATAACCATGGTCCATGGTAGAGGGCAACTCAAGAGTTGCGAGAACTTGATTTCCTTAGCAATGCATGTATTTTTGGTTTTGCCAATGCCGTGGATATGTTGGTCAGAGTGTTTTTGTAAGTTTAGAAATCTACCACTGGCAAAGTGTTTCCATTGGGGTGTTTGTATCGGCCAACTTGCAGAAAGCTTGCTTTAAAAGTGGATTGCTTAGTGGCAAGAAAATGGATTGTGAAAAGGTTTGCCAAGGCTTTAGTTGGATGCTGATTTTTCAAAATGGGGAAAATGTGATTTGAATCAAGAATGAGACCTGATCCCTCTGATTCAAAACTTAGAACCCTCATGCAATGTCTTTAATACCGCTCTCGGCTTCAATTCTTCAACACTTACTGCCTACCTATCTATTATTTCTTACTTTCACGCTTTTAACTTCATTTTTTTAATGATATATGTTTTTTTTTTTATTATTCTAGTAAATTATGATTCGCAATAAAAGGGTGAGTTAACTCACCAAGAATTTGAATTTCAAATTTCATGGAACTTAAATTCCATAAATTTCACAAAAGCAATTGATTTCACCTTTAATGTTTCCAAAGTACTAATTTTGTATTTTACGCAGCTACTGCTGAGTAATTACAAAAGCAAACAAAATAGATCCATTCAGAAATTTGTACTAGTTTTCCAATTTTTCCGCGTGGAGAGCCACGAGGTCTAATTGTCCACGAAGAGCGTTTCTATTGGTCAGATGATGGCATCGTCAAGTCTTACAGGAGTAAGGATCCTCTGTCAATCAAAGATGTACGAATATTCGTGCAACAGCACTTAAATCTGCCCACGTTGTTGGACAAGTTTTAGACTGTAAATCTAATTGGTACGCGTTCTGGTGACTCCGTGGGTCTCTTTACACGTGGACGGTAGATGGTCATAGTAAAAGCATGTAACTGTTTCGTTTCCTTATCATCGAAGGAACCAGACTATACCTCCGTCACCGCCGCCAACAACCTTCTGCGAAATTTCTTAAAGCTGATATTGTCGCTATAAATGATACAGTGTTCTTAGGAGAAGGATGATTCACTGCTTTTCTTTTGGCTGCCTGTAAATAAGTAGTTTAGTTCAATTGTATTTGATTTGTGATTATTCTGAGTCTCTATATGATGGAGGATACAGAATTTCAGGAAGGTGACATATTCCGGCTAGTAAATTTCGATGATCTAGAACAGCTTGATTGGGATAATCTGTTTACTGGACTACCTGACGGTTTACCTTCTCTGCCTACGAAATCACCACCTCCTATTGATGTCTTTAACTCGTCCCCTGATTCAGTGTCTTCGTGGATCGGGCAGCTTGAGAACGTTTTGATGGAAGATGATGACGATTGGGCAGCTGAGCCCAGCTTGCAAATTTCTGAAAATTTTTTCGCTGATATACTAGTTGATTCGCCCCCTGGCTCTGCCGAGGTTGCTGATGCTTCCACCGACAAGGACTCGGCTGCTTCCGATCATGGAAACAGTGGCGCTTCAGAGACGGAAAAGGAATCGGAGAAGATAGTTCCTGATAGAGCTGAGGTGAAAAACGACGATGAAGACCCCGATGATCACATTTCTAAAAAACTGAGAAGGTATATCTAATTTATTCATTTAACTTGTTACATTATTTCCTACCTAAATTGATAGTCTTATTTCATTTGAACTTATGTTGAACAAACGACTCAGTTTATATATGGAGATACGATTTTTAATTCTGATTTATATATCGGTGGTATGCTGTTTGTCTAGAATGGTTGTGTGCGTTTGATTAATAGCTTTTGGACATTTTCTATTGCGTTTTTTATTATCGATGATGATGATCATTATGACATCTGCGTTTTGTTTATGTATAATGCATTAAGCTTTGCCGTTGTTGCGAGCATTTCGATGATGGATAATGATTTCTGTTTTAGCAAGACTCAACTGCATCATTAAGCTTTCAGAAGATACTAGTATTTATGCATCTGATCTGAGAAAGTAATGTATGTATTTACCTTCCACTGGGAAGAGATCCTGTAATGACTGTATGTGATAATTTTCTGATTTTCAGGCAATTGAGAAATAGGGATGCGGCAGTTAGATCAAGGGAAAGAAAAAAGATGTATGTGAGGGATCTTGAAATTAAGAGCAGGTATTTGGAGGGAGAATGCAGAAGATTGGGGCGGTTGCTTCAGTGTTTTGTTGCAGAGAATCAAGCTCTGCGTCTTAGTTTGCAGAAGGATAATGCATTTGGTGTTTCCTCGGCCAAGCAGGAGTCTGCTGTGCTCTTGTTGGGTATGTATCGTAAACCATCTTGCCAATGCTTCATCTATTTTGTCTTTTATAATTCGCTATCAGAAGACGTAGAAATTTCTTGAAATAAAATGATGAGAATCAGCAGCAGATGTAGGATAAATTTCTAAGCTGGGTGGGTTTGTCCAAGCATAGCACCCGCAAAAGTTACTTAAATATCACAAATCTAACGATCTTTAACCATCAATTGCGATACGAATTCAAGATTTAACATATCCGGCAAGATGATTTGGCATTCACCACAATGGATTCCACTATACTTGCATATACTGTTGATCATCGTTATACTTTGGCTAATTTAACAATTTGGGTTGCTTTGCAGAATCCCTGCTGTTGGGTTCCCTGCTTTGGTTCCTGGGCATCATGTGCCTATTCACTTTGCCCAAGCTTCCACACTTAACTCTGGTGGCAGTTCCACTGGAAAACGAGGAAAAGAAAATGGCAGAAAAAGGAGCAGGAAGTAAGATGGTGATAGGACCTTTAATGAACAGTAGGAGATGCAAAGCATCAAGGACAAGGATGAAAACAGAATCCATTTCTGATGGAGTCTTGGTGTGAATCTTTTCTGATGCGACGAAACTCTTTCTAAGTGAGTAAAAATGCTGGTGGAATTGGACTTCTATGAACTTGGCCACTACTGTTCCCCAGCACTGATGGTTTGGCCATGATATGTTAACCTTTGATTTGTCGTGAAAATCTTTATTTATTTGCTTCTTTTTTATATATGTATTATGAATTTTCAATCGTTTTAGTATTATATTACATTTAGTATATTAAGAAAATGCCATCTAGTTGGGACAGTTGACCTTTCTTTATAAAGGAGCTTTTAGTCACACCCTGACGGGGTAACATAGGACTGGAAAACCCTTCGCATTCCTTGGATAGCCAAATGGTACATTTCTTTTTTAACCAATTGCACGCTCTATCATGGGATGAGTGTAGAGCAGTCTAAGCTACGGTAGTGAGTTGTGACTGCTTGGCTAAACAGAGAATTCAAATTGCAAAATGTTGTAAGATACTGAATGATGGTGCTGCAAAGGGAGGCAACATGTGGTCCATTCGATAATTGTTATTGAATTAATTCCATCAAATAAATTTTTTTTAAAAAAAGGATAGTTTGCTTTTGTTTCATTTGGGCAAACTAATTTTCAATGTCCAAGTTCCTCTAAATAAACAAATAGTGATAGAGAATGGGTTAAATTGAAACAGTGCAGCGATGGATTGAATATCAAGCGAAAGCCCAAATAAGACCTGTAAAAGAAGCCACAGTAAACTTGAAAATTGTGGCTGTTGAGCGTTAGGTGAAAGGATCCATTTCATTTCATTTCAAGCTTTTGTTTGTTAAGTCAGTGACTCAGATTTTTACAAGAATATCCTTTTCATCATATTCATCTACCTTCCAGTCACCTTTCGGTCCAACATTTTATTCGTCATGAATTTTCATCAGCCACCTCAACCATACAAGTGCCTCTTTTTCTAGAATCCTACAGCAAGGAACTACTTATACCAGGGAATATTTTTATCGTATCCCAAAATATTTAAACAGAGTAGATTACATATTTTTAACTCACTACAGCATACATAGTGTAAAGAAATTATAAATCACAAATTTTAAATAAGTGATTTTTTATTTGGTATATAAATCAATCTCAACTATTTACACTTGTTTTCATTGGATCATATAATATTTGTTAAATTTATTTTGTTCAGAATCAAAATCGAATAGAAACTATATCAATTGATTTCAAAATCTTAACAAGAACTATGATTATATAACAAATGAAGTTCTCATTTCATAAACATTTCTTTAATTGGTGATGTACAATTTGAAATTTCTATTTTGCCTTTTTTCTCTGAACAGTTCAAATTTTTCAATCGAATAACTTTATTCAAATAATTATTTTGTAAAATAGATCTCTAAAAGAAAGAATTGTTCAATATAAATTTAAATAACTTATAAAATCACCATTATATTATATTATTATCCTAAGGTTTGTCTACGTAATATACTAAAGATAAATGTATATTTTGTTGGTGGGTCAATACAATTGAATTGAAAAATGCGCTAACCATCCTATTCTGGTTTTTGAATTTTCAGTCTTTGTATTGTCTTCGGCAGCTGAGATATCAGACTTACCGTGGGCTCTTAGATAAGCTTCAGGCATAAATTTGGTAATTTAGTTAGTTCTAGGTCTAATAGAGTAAGGACAATTAAGTAATTCTCCACCATAAAAAATCGTGGGTATTTCGTAATAACTCTAGAAAGCGAGGCGAAATTTGAGAGGAAAAACCAAAACTGGTGCGCTTTGGTTGGTTGTATCGCCGGGTCCTCTATTTTCCTTTCACTTCTTCCCCCCTATAAAAACGGTCTTTTGAAGAAAGAAGAGAAGCAGTACCACTACCTACTCTGCTATTATACAACAGTCACCAAACCACACCAACGATAACTGCTCCGCTATGGATTCCGATTTCGGCATTCCCAGAGAACTTTCCGAGCTTCAAAAACAACGATCTCATTACCAGCCGGAGCTCCCTCCTTGTCTTCAGGTAGTTCACTCACTACGTCCTTTTTTAGCTTTTCCATTCATTTCTTCTATTCTATTCGCCATGTCCCGTTTCCTCTGCTATTGGATTTAGGTAGATGATCGCTCTTTCCCTTTTTTTTTCTCATTTTTGACGTTTCAACGAGGTTGAGATCTTCTGGAAATTTCGACGAGTTGATGATTTTGTACAGTTCGACTGTTAGGTTTTTGCTGCTGAGATCTAATTACATGCAGAGATTTTGGCTAGCTGATATTAACAGATCTTATTCTTATTGCTAATTATGTTTTGCTAACCATCCTTTAACTAGTTTTTGCTGCTTACTTAATTCTTGGTTCGTGATTCTCATTTTTTGAAGTACTGATGAATAGTAAATTTGATTCTATGAATATTTACTGAGATTATACTTTGACCATGCCATTATGCAGGGAACCACTGTGAGGGTTGAATTTGGCGACGGTACTATAGCTGCAGATGCAGCTGGCGCCCACACCATAAGCCGATCTTTTCCCCACACTTATGGTCAGCCTCTGGCTCACTTTCTTAGGGCAACTGCTAAAGTACCGGATGCTCACATCATTACTGAGCATCCAGCTATGAGGTGTGTTCAACTATGTTCCTTTATCCAGTGTGAGGATGTGAATTTATGAAAACCAAGATGTTGTTGTATGAATATGCTCTTTGTTTGTTTTAATATTGGCGTTCATGGCATTTATGAGGACCTACATGCTATGAAAAAATTGCTTCTTTTACTTTGCTAATTGCTGGTGTATTATCTCTTAACAGGGTGGGAATAGTCTTTTGTGGAAGACAATCTCCTGGAGGCCACAATGTCATATGGGGCCTTCTCAATGCTCTTAAAATCCACAACCCCAACAGTACTTTACTTGGATTTCTAGGTAAACAGCAGTATTCCTTCAGATTTTTGGTGTGACTGTTTGGGCTTATCTTTGTTTGCGATACTTGTAAAACCGTTAGTTTAGAAAAATGCACTTCTTTTAGAAGAACTATTGACCTGTCTCGAACTTCCTTTGTTTTTTTTAGCTTAATTTATATTGCCGCGTCTGACAAAAAAAGTTAAAAAAGAAGATTCTCTTAGGTTACGCATCTTAATTTGTCATTTTCTAAGTGGTCTCCCCCTATATGATTGTGGGTTGTAGGAACCATGTAGTACTTTCTATTTGCTTCAAGATCCATTATCATTATTTATGCATCTTTCACTCAGGAAATACACTTGCTATGTATTGTTTTTCATTATTAACATCTTCATTTTTTTCAATAAGGCCTGATCTATTTTCTTCAATTGGATTGATGTTTACATTCTGTTTATGTGAACAGGTGGCTCTGAAGGTTTGTTTGCCCAGAAAACTCTTGAAATCACAGATGAAATTCTCTCTACCTATAAAAATCAAGGTATCTAACAACGTCAGATAATTTTCAAATTGAGACTTTCAATTTCACATGGCCATGCAGCTTGACTAATTTAGTAATTTCTAATCTGATTATGCTTGTCAAGGTGGTTATGATTTGCTTGGTCGGACTAAAGATCAAATAAGAACAACTGAGCAAGTTAAAGCTGCACTAACCACATGCCAAGATTTGAAATTGGATGGACTTGTTATTATTGGAGGTAAGATTCATTCTTGAGAATTTCAATAAATGTGTACATAAAGTTTTCGACAAAATGCTACCGTAGAACTTTGTTTTGTTTCTTTTCTTTTTCAGGAGTTACATCAAACACAGATGCTGCGCAGCTGGCTGAAACATTTGCTGAGGCAAAGTGCCCAACAAAAGTATTTTTCATGTGCCTTTTAAATTGACATTGAATAGCCATCACATGAACTTGCATATTTTAATGTTTCTTTCGTTGTTTGTGTTGCAACCTCTGCAACTTGAGCATACTTATGTGTTACCTTAATTAACTGAATATGAGATTTTTAGGTGGTTGGCGTTCCGGTTACTTTGAATGGAGATCTCAAGAATCAATTTGTGGAAACAAATGTTGGTTTTGATACTATATGCAAGGTATTGTGTGATTGATGCTCTTATCTCTGCATTAGTGAATAGATTGATTGTTTTTCTTTGAAAATTGCAATATATGCTGAAAAGGAAGACAGAGGACTACCTATAATGTTGCTCTTCTGCATTTCTACTAAAGTGAATTGTTTGAATTTTTCTTCGTTCTGATATTCACGTCAATATGCTGTTCATTTCTCTCTTCTCTCTCTCATCATTGTCATTATCATCAACATCATCATCATTTTCATGAAAGGTGCCCTGGGCATGGAAAGTGGATATCATGTAACTAGGATGACAATATGACCAGTTTAGATATGCTAACTGAGGGATGATTTAACTCAGAAAAGAAGTCAACTTGCGCGAGAGCAGTTGTCGATGTGTGTGTGTGTGTTTTTTTTTTTTTTTTTTTTTTGTTCGATGTGTGTGTGTGTGTTTTTTTTTTTTTTTTTTTTTGGATATGCGTATAATGCCTTCATATTTGGGAGTTCTTTTGTATGTTTGTATTACCTAAAGTATTTCACTTTTTTTTTTTTTTTTTTTTTGGATATGCGTATAATGCTTCATATTTGAGTCTTTGTATGTGTATTACTAAAGTATTTCACTAGATTCCATTTGCAATTACATGATTTGTTGTTGATTTATATATGATATTATGTTATAATATGCATAAAAGAGTGCAGAAATGATGATATATTTTGAAACCTTAACTTTTGAGATTATGACCTATGTGAAATAGAGCGATGGTTCCTGATCAAATTGTTAAACTTCGGTTGCAAAGTTCTAATATAAATTCTTCACACTGTAAAATACTAAGGAAAAGTTTTTTTTTTTGTCCATTTCTATTTTGATTTTGGTGATAATGGATCTTGTATTTTCTTTTTTGTTTGCTCCTGAGATAAAATTTCATTTTCTTGATACGTAGGTCAATTCTCAGCTGATCAGCAATGTCTGTATAGATGCTCTCTCTGCAGAGAAGGTAATGACTTTATTTTATCTTTGACTCTACTCCATTTCATCAATTATCAGATTATTTCATGGATACTGTGCATCGTTTAATAAACATTAATCGGAGGATAGACAGGAGTTTTCTTTCCCATCTCTTTGATCGAACTAGGAACCAGTGATTAGAGGTGCATATGCTGAAATAAAATGGAATAGTAAAAGCTATTTTGATTGCTTAAATTTGTCTGATGAGTTGAACCTTTATTTTACT